AACTAGTTCCAGAGAAATTTTGTAACTTTCCCATCAATGGTTTCAACTACTCTATTACATCATCTAAAGTGAGGCAAAAGCCAAAAAACATTTTGTTGAGCCCAATTTTTGTTCCTAAAATCCTAACTTGACCGTGGATTAAATTTGGAATTTAGCAAAATTTAGGTCCCCGCCCATTGTTAATCCCAATTAAACTCAAAAAATTTTAAGTGAATAAATTATTTACTTGCTCCCAAATTCGCATCCTGACTTGAACGAATTTAAAAATGTCGGGCTCTTGAAAACTGTTGGGTCCACGAAAGACTCGGTGTGCATCATCATTGTGTTAGTAGGAAATATAACATTCTAAAACAGATTTTATAAAGATTTCGTTTATATTTTTATAATTTTATTAAATTGTGGTTAAATTTAATTTTTAAATAAAATTCTAAAATGAATTTAAAAATTTAATTCATTTCTTTAATTCAAAAAAAATTCAAAAATATTCCGAAATCTCATATACTAGTACCTATATTTATTTAAAAAAATTTTTCCATAAAAAATTCTATTTCCAATTTTTAACGCCCAGCTTCTATCTTTTATGCCGTGTCTACATCAGTGATGGGAAAGTTCCAGTTCCAGTTCCGGAACCGACTCGGTTCCAGTTCCAGTTCCAGAACTGGAACCGTGGAACCGGTAAAGGTCTGGAACCGGTTTGGAACTGGAACCGTGGAACCGACTAAGGTCCGGAACCGGTTTGGAACCGGAACTGTGGAACCGATAGATGCTTGGAACCGGTTTGGAACTGGAACCGTGGAACCGGCAAAGGTCCAGAACCGGTTTAGAACCGGTTCCGGAACCGGTTCCAAAGATACACCCCTAATGATGAGAGAAAAAAGTAAAGTGAGCAAAAATATGGGAGTCCTGAGAAGAAAAGAGCGAAAATTGAGACGGGTAAAAGAGATTTTCCTTCCTCTTCTTTCTATGGATGGGTGGTTGACTGGATAGTGTGTTGGGTTTGTAGTTTTGAGGACTATCTGGGTACTAGGTTCGAACCCAAACTTAGTGAATGATTAATTATTAGATTTTTTGGCTTAAGGATCTTTCAAAATTTTTAAAATTTGCGCCTGCGGCGCCGAAAAAGAAAGATTTTTGGCTTAAGAATCCTCCAAAATTTTCAAAATTTTCGCCTGCAGCGCTAATTGGGGAAGTTTTGGTCTAAATAGCAATATCATACTTCGGCTCCGGATCTGCAACGAGAATTTGATTAGTATTAGGGTTGAAAAAATAAAATGCATAAGATATTCACTGATATCCGTTCAAATGTCTGATATTCCCTCTATCCCTTCAAATCATTAATCCTTCAATATCTCTCTAAATCATTGATATCCCTTGAACCCACCCTTAATCCCTCAAAAACTACTTATACCTAACCTCAAACCGACATACCTAACCTCAGACCGACAGACCATGAAACCGACAAACCCTATTATTGATACATCTTAACAGTTGATTACATTATTAATTCATTTATATGCACCTTATATATGAAAAAAATAAATTTCTTTTCATTAAAATAGCTAAAAAAATTTTGGAACTGGAACCGGTTTGGAACCGGTTCCAGAACCGGAACTGGAACCGCCAAAATTAAAAAATCGGTTCCGGAACTGGAACTGGAACCGACGAAATTTAAAAAGCAGTTCCAGAACTGGAACCGGTTCCAGAGAAATTTTGGAACTTTCCCATCACTGGTCTACATAGAAAATAGCTTGGCCTTTTGTCGAAAATAGTATGGAAAATGAGAGAGAATTGGAAGATTTCGGAAATCGGAAATTGGAAACTATTCCAAAATTTTTGAATACGAATTTGGATTCCCGATCGACCTCTGGTTATATTAAGCGGTTCATTTATTATTTTAAAATTTAAGTAAATTTATTACATGAAAGTATTCCATGTCAATAATTTTTTTCCCGAGCTTTCTTGTAGAAAATTCAACATCGAGTTTGTTGGTGTTCCAAATGTTTTCTGTTTTTTGTTTCAATTGCATAAGTTCTCGGTATACCAAAGATTTTGGCTTAAAATATTTGAATATTATTAATAAAAATATTTTTATTATAGTCTTATTATCAGACAGGATTGAAAATACAGTAAGAGTGAGGTAAAAGTATAATCCCGGGCAGGCTTCGATCCTGCGACTTCCTGGCAGTTATTCCTAGGCGCTTTCGCTCACTACGTATAGGTGCTCTGCCATCTGAGCTACCAGGATGCTGCTTTTACCTTCTCTTTTTAATCTCTTATCTAAATTTTTTACCAAATATTCTATCCAAATTTTCCACAATTTAATGGGAATAATAGGATTCACAGAATTTTTCTATTTTGTTTATGCTATTTGTACGAGCCTTTGGCTTGAATTTTTATCCGAAAATTTGAGATTAGCCTATATTATGTCTTGCTAAGGAATTCCATCGTAGAAAGGCCCAATATAGGCTTAATCCCGGGCAGGCTTCGATCTTTCCATTCACCCTATAAATGATATTTCTATTCACAAACAAAACCTCTGGATTAATTTCTTTCATCACCATGCTGCCTATCGGAACTATAACTTTGAGAAATATCGAAGACTTCAACCCCACATTTTTTAGTGATAGAAGAATGTCGCCAGTAGCAGAACTTGCTGTGGCAATAGCATCTGCCGCTGTATCAATTACGGCTAAAAATTAATTTTGATTTTTAAAATTAAAATATATTTTGCTAGTTTCCTATGAAACAATTATGTACAGTTAATATCAAATAAAAAATAGGTATATGAGGGTTAAGAGGAAATTTGGGGATTAACAGGATATCTAGGGATTTAGGAGTATTAAGGATGATATCTGAGAAATAAGTCTGATATAAAACGAAGATTTGGAAGGGAATCTCTGGTTCTATGAGAATTAAGGCAATTAAAAGCGGACTCAATCAGTTTTTTGGCGCCGCACGTGAAAATTTTGAGAAACTTGGAAGGACAAAAAATTCCCGATTTTGCAGGAAAATTTCGGAAATTGGGAACGGGAATTCCCTTGAAAAAATAAATTCCCGATTTCGGGAATTTATGGATTAGGTCGGCAGGATTCCAGGTGTTCGAGTAGAGTTCTTTAAAAATCTTAGGGAAGTGCGAGTACAAGCAAATTTTTAATTTTCAACCATTGACGGTACCTAAAAAGTGGTATCTGTCAAACAACTCCCTCTATCATTTGGTCTAAAACTTTTTAAAATGTATCTTAAATTGAGAGGTTGAGAGAATTAATTGTTTTTATATGTATCTAATGGTATAGTTGTTTTTTCTCGAGTGCCCTAAAATCAGAGTATCGAATAGAAATTTAAAACCGTCAATCTTAAAACTATAAAAGTTGTTTTTTTAAGTACATATTTTTCAATTAATATTTATAAGAGACGTTTAGAAAATCTTAAAAATTTTAAATAAAATTTTAAAAAACAGAAAAAAATATTGAGAAAAAAATATTTGAAATACAGAAAAAAATATTTGAGAGATAAAAATTAAATTAATAAATTTTATTTACAGTTGGAAGTTGAAGAAAGCCCGATTTGTAAAGTGTTGTCTCCATTTGCACAGCTCAAAGAAATAATTAAGACAGTTGACAGAAGTATAAACTTCCAACCCATTTCACTAAATTTAATTAAAAAATTCATAAAATTATTGTTAAATTAAATAAAAATATCGCATTTCGGAAGGAGAATTATTAAAATAATCGTACACTTTGTTTTACTTATCTTCTCGATCGTTCCCCGACTATTTGGAAAAATATTTCCTAGAATAGTTGCAAATGATTACTCATCGCCGCCTTTCAATGTCTCGCCACTTTGATAACAAATGTTTATTTTCTTCAGTTTATTTATGTTCATTATTCGTTAAATCTTTAGTCTATTGTGACTTTATCCTTAGTTTCCCCTTAATCGTTAATCAAAAGATTTTCCGTCTAAAAAATAAACATTTTAACGTGTTAGAATTAACTGGAGTTGTTAGTCAAGAGATTAATATAGTTTAAAATATTAATAGAATATTGGATAAATCCCCCCATCACACATTCCGTAAAAAGATATTTTGTGAAAGAGATAATAAGATAAAATTTTGGAAGAGAAAATTTTAAAAAATTGTTTGAAAAATTTTAAATTTTGAAGAATTGGCAAAAAAAATAATTTAAATTGATATATAGGAAAATGAAAAGTTTTATTGATAAATGATAATTTAGTAGAGTTTAGATACCTGGCAAGAATCGGGTGTGAAATTTTGGAAGTTGTTCTGTAATGAACTTTGCAAGGAACTTCTTTGGAACTTCGGGACTTCTTTGGAACTTCCTTTGGAGCTTCTTTGAACTTGACTTTTTCAGAATTTTGTAAAGAAATTTCTTCAACTCGTTCAGGTTGAGGTTCTTTTACCTATCTTCGACCTTTTGTTTTTTTAAATACTAGTCAGGGTTAATGATTATTGTAAATACGTTTCTTATCAAAATAAACTCTGGTCTTTACAAAAGAATTTTTCAAAATAAATTATGAAACATTTTAATATGAAAAATTTGTTTGCGTTATTATTTCCATACACCATATGTATTTTTTATTTTATTTATTACCCTCTTTTAATTTTATCAGTTATTTTTTTCAGTTAACTATAGCAATTAACTATAGGTAATTTATTAATTTAGATAAGCAAGCTCATAAAATAAATAATTTTAGCAGTTGTCAATCACCAAAAGACTGCTCTTTTCTCAATTTAATAATTTACTTGGCTGGATCAATATTGTCTCCCTCTATAAAATAAAGCAAAAAATGAAAATAATGTTAACAACTTTGCAAAGAACTCTAAATAAAAACGTTCTAAAATTAAGATTTTCTGGAAAATTTAAAATGAATTTTTAAATGGATTTTGTTAAATAAATTTCTTTTGGGTATCTTTCCATTTATTTTACTATTAAATTTTTTAAATGCACTAATTCCCTATTTTCTGTTCCTTAAAAAATTTTTATTCAATATTGAGTAAATCCACTAGTTGAATAATCATTTTTATCTGTTGAAAATGTTATGTTGGATGATATTCTTCTTTGTTTTGTTAGTTGCTTCGTTCGTTCTCTCGAAGCTGTCCGTGGAGTTTCTTTTGCATCACAAATATCGGGAGAATCCACAACCTCGGAAGGTCTTTGATTATTTTGAGTCTGTTCAGTTTGCTCCCCTCCGAAACTTGTTTCTTCGTAATTAGCTCCTTTATTGTCATATCCTGTGATTGTGTTGACTTTGACTATGTTTTTACGTGTTTTTTCAGTTGCTGGTTGTTTTAAGTTTACATTATTAAAGGTTCCGTTTTGAGCAAAACATTCTCCTTTCAAAAAGGAATTTACCTTAAAAATAATAGGAATACTGAAAATAAAATAGGATGGAACTCAAACTTGTTGAAGCAATTTTCGTGGGATCTTCACGCATAGAGTGAATAAGGCGGAGAGAGCATATATCGCAATCTTAAGTTTTGTTAAGTAAGAATAATTAAAGTTTTCCGGAAATGTTTTTACAATTATGTTTATTGTACTTTAATTAAGTTTGTATTTTTGTATATTTAATCTGCAATTGTAATGTTTCTTAAACTTTTTAATTGTTTTGAAACAATGTTTTCCGTAATGTTTATTTTATATAAACATATGTTTGTTTTATTGTTTTATTTTTTAAATGTTTTCCGGAATGTTCAGTTTAAATAATTATTTTACAATTGTCATGTTTTTCCTAATTGTTCGCATTTCCTAAACAGAAACATGTTTGTTTTTGTTTTTTAAATGTTTTCCGGAAAGTTCAGTTTAATAATTTACAATTGTAATGTTCATCCGGAAAGTTTATATTACACAAACATGCTTAATTTTTAAATGTTTTCCGGAATGTTCAATTTCAATAATTATTTTACAATTGTAATGTTCATCCGAAAAGTTTCTACTACTATATTCTTTACAATTGTACTTAAATGTTTTCCAGAAACAATTTCAAAAAATGTTTCTCAGATAGTTCATTTTACACTATTATTAGTTATTTACCTGTATCATTGTAATAATTGAGAGTCCTAGGAAAAATCCAAATTGGCCGCCAATCTGCGACATAAATCCGGGGACAGAAATTGTATAGACCTGATATTTAAAATTAAAAATAATTTTTTGAGAGTAAATTTGCCTCCTTGACATGTTCATATTGTAAATCGTAGAAACTAATTTCCAAATTAAATTCCTTAAATTTTTAATTTCATTTGAAAGTTAATATTTTTATTTTTTAATATTTTTAATTATTTTTTAAATATTTTTAAAATATTTTAAAATTTTTACGTGTTGTACAAAGGGTTGTAAAGCTGGACTTTGTTGTAGGGAAACGCTGAAAAATTAATTATTCTAATTTAAAAATGTTTAAAAATTTTGACCGTATATGAAATGAGTGCTCGGATCGCATTTTTCCTTACATTTTTCCTTACTTCGGAATGGGGTCAATTTTCCTTAGTATTTGATGTTTGTCATAAGGCAAAATTGTGTAAAAAATATTTTTTTTCTCTGTTTATTTTGTTGGGTGAGTGGCAAAACTCGGTCTTACAAAGCTCGGTCGAGGCAAAACTTGGTCGGACAAAACTTGGAACGATCAAGTCGGTCTTACCAAAACTCGGTGCAATTTGTCTGTTGTTGTTTTTCCGTTCCGTTAGATAGCCTGACACGAAAATAAAGAACCAAAGATAACAGCACTCATCCAAAAAAATCCCAAACAAAATGGACCGAGTTTTGGTAAGACAGACTTGGGCTTTTCAAGTTTGTCCGACCAAGCTTTGCCTCGACCGAGCTTTGTAAGACCGAGTTTTGCCACTCACCCAACAAAATAAATAGAGAAAAAAATATTTTTTACACAATTTTGCCTTATGACAAACATCAAATACTAAGGAAAATTGACCCCATTCCGAAGTAAGGAAAAATGTAAGGAAAAATGCGATCCGAGCACTCATTTCATATACTGCCAAAATTTTTTTTTTATTTTTTATTTCCCTCAAATTAAAAATTCAAACCCATATTCCCATCGGGAACACCCTGGAACACACTGAAAAAATAATTAATAAGACTTCTATCAGGATTTTAATGACCTCCTGGCTGTGAACGGCTCCAGAATGAACAAGTTGTATAGCATTGTAATAACTTAAAATTAAAGTTTAAATTAAATATTATTCCCCAACTTTTCGGCCAAAACTTTGACTTCACATATTGGAAGGTTGTTTGATATGCCCTTAGTATCTTCCAAGTAGGGTACTGTACAGTTGAAAGCATCTGAAATTTTGTTTTGTAGTTTGTTTTGGTTTTTACAATTGATGTTTACTGAACTTGTTTTGCAATAAACACAAAACAAGTTTTCCCAACATGTTTTTACGATCTGTTTTTACAACTTGTTTTATTATTTTACAAAATAAACATTTTCAAAAACATGTTTATTTTACATTAAAACATTTGTAAAACAAGTTTATTTAATTTTGCTAAAACAAATTTTACAACTTGTTTTAAGTTGGGAAAAAACTTTTTTCAAAACATGTTTATTTTACATAAACTTTACAACTATTTGTAAAACATTGTTTATTTCGTACATTTTACAAAACATGTTTTCCCATCAAGTTTATTTATTTAACATTTGTAATTTCTCTTATTACAGTTTGTAAAATTTGTTTTCCGAAAACATATTTTACAATAAGCATTCAAACATGTTCATTTAACTAAGCGCACCTATAACATTTGCAGTTAACCAATTCCTTACAAAACAATTAGCATCCTTCCCAACCAACTCGTTTGTACAATCACTAAGTTATTAATTCATATTTTACAATTTTGTTAATTAATAAAACTTTGGGTGTTCAAGCAGTTCAATGAACCTAGCAATAAAATGCATTCTGTTCCATTCATGCGGGTATAAGTAAAATCGAGGGAAATCAACGACTTGTTCAAAATTGTCGTTTACATAAATTATTATCTGTACTAGAAAACAAATAATTTTTCCAATTTTAAAAATTAATTTAGTGCTTGTGCAGTTTCCCTCCCCTATAAGCTCCGCCCCCTTATATTTGGTACTTGTTTAGTTTCCCTCCCCTATAAGCTCCGCCCTCTTGTATTTTCCTTCCACATAAGCTCCGCCCCCTTATATTTAGTACTAGTGTAGTTCCCCCCATAAACTCCGCCCCTTATAAGCTCCACCCTCTGTTATTTTTTTAAATTTCCATAAATTTTTAAAATTAATTATTAAACACGCCTGAGGCTGGAAAAAATTATATTGAGGGGAGGTGATGCTGGGTAATGCCTTCATTTCTAACACAAGTCTTCCTATATCATCCGCTTCTGTCTAATTTTTTAATTTTTCTTTAATTAAATTAATGTTTTTTGCCTGGTTTAATTGTGGTTTAGTTTGGTAGCATAGACCACGACGCATGACTGGTCTTGAACGGAATATTGCATCACAACTTTATTATAATTTATTTGAGTATTAAACTGGGCCCTCCCTCACCCTATAATTAACTCACCAATTATGCTTTTTCCCTCCAAGTTCACAATTAACAAATAAATCCGTGCATTTATAACCAAATTTTTCCTACAAATAATTTTAACAACTTTCCTTTTAATTTACCTGTATTTCTTGAAAGAATTGTTTAGTGCCTATGGAACGGCGCCACCGGTCATATAGCTGTCCCAACATTTGCATATATGTCTGGTTAAATTCGGGAAGTCCATCCTTAAATAATTCTTTGAAATACTCGGGAAAATTAATTAAAATTTATTTTCAGGCCAATTTACCATGTTTTCCAGTCCACTTCCACCGATCCAATAGCTAAAAATGTCAAAACTTTAAAAATTCATAAAATTGCTTAAAATCAACATTTTTGTCTCAAATTTCGAAATTAATTAATTTAATCCTTTTCCTATCAAATTCCAAAATTTCAGAATTTTACATCTAGTATACCCTAAGTTATGGCCAAATAAAAGCCGTTACCTCACTAGATCTCTTGCAACGTTACCTCACTATCTCTCCAAATCTTAAAAATTCACAAAATTGCCTAAAATCAACATTTTTGTCTCAAATTTTGTATTTAATTAATTTTATCCATTTTCTATCAAATCCCAAAATTTCATAATTTTATGTCTAATACAACCCAAGTTATGGCCAAATAAATGACGTTACCTCACAAGATCTCTTGCAACGTCCGTATTTATTCCACCTATTTTTTCGTTCATATCTCGATAAAGAGCGTCAAAGTTGAAGGCATCTGGGACCTTTGGGCATATTGTAATTGCTGGCAATTCTAAGCTAGGAACCTATAGAATTTTTTAAAAATATTGCTAAGAAAAAATGACGAAGTGAAAATTGGCAAAATGATTTTTGACGAAATGTCCCTTTTCACAAAATGCACTTTTGGCGAAATGTACTTTTGGCAAAATGAAAAATTTTAACAGAAAATTTTCCTTAGAGACAAACCAATCTAATAGTTGTACTTGAAGCTGTGGGTCCTCGAATATATTCAATAATAACAAGTACTGTAGTAGCTGTTCCACAACAAGTACACAACACCTTCATTTTTCAAATTTAATTAAAAAATCCAAAAAGAAAAGAACCAAAACCATCCACCAGAAAACCCGCAACTGAAGCGACTTGCTAAGCAAAGCTTGTGACATTCCGTGGATTTCACCAGTCCATGGGGGATAGTCCCGATCGTGACATTGACACGTGGAGTCGATACGGAACAGTCCGCTAGGGGGGATTCGGACACCTTTTTAATTTTAGTTTTCTTATCCAGGAAAATCTTTGGAAACTTGCCTCTCTTTATTCGTTCCTGTATTTGTTGTTTTTTAAAATTATCTGTTGGAAAGGGAATGGATGATTGGGTTGAGGAAGCTGGTAGTTTATATTGTTGAGAGTGTGGGTTTGGATGTGTGACGGAATACCGTAACATGATTTAGGTTTGTGATGAATTTACTGTCCAAACTTAACCTAATACATGATAACCTCAATTTAGGATACGTTTTTAAATTTTGTTTGGCCCCTGCTATGACTAAGTTCGGATATCGCTGAATTTTCTGATCGAATACCCGGATTTCGCAGGTCCAGCTACTTAAGATACATCCCAATGCAAGTATAAATAGGTAGTTGTCTGGGTGAGCTTATAAATGGATGCTCTCTATTTAGGCTACACCTCGATACAGAATAGTATGTATTAAGGGGGTGTGCCGAAACCGATTTTAAAAATTGAAACGTGAAAGTCCAAAAACGCAAAAATCCGCGAAAGTCGAAACGCGAAACTGGCACGCTCCTAATTATTAGTTTCAAGGGTTTTATGAGGTTCATCTGTATTGTTTGGGGAGATTTAAAATGGATACCCTCTATTTAAGATACACCCCAATGCAAGAACGGTTCTAAAAATTCACGAAATCGACGAAAGACGAAACGCGAAACTGGCACACCCCATGTGAGGGTTGTATGTATCGGAAATTATTTTGTCGATAAAAAAATTTATTTTTCTGTTTTGGCACCTTTCTCGTACAAATAAAGAAAACAAACAGCTTAACTTTATTAAGAAATAACCCGTCGTTGAGTAGGTGTATCTAATGTTTACCTACATTTTACCGCTGTCTCAATTTTCTCAAAGCTTTGAGGGATTTATGCTAACATAGGAAACAACGCCCACATTAATTCCTAGAATGTATTTGTTGCTTTTTATGTTATGTGGGGGTGAATAACTAACGGAAAAATTGGGATTTGAAAAGAGAAAAAGGATTGCGGATAAACGACATTTGCGCACAAAATTGAAGCCAACTACTACAATTGGAACTTATTGCCACTTGAAATTGACAAAAGGTCAGAGGGGCTAGAAAGAAGGTCTAAAGGCCATGGCCTAAGCATATGCTAATTTCACCATCAAATCTCAGAACAATAAAAACTTAAAAAATGGCGCTACTGCAAATTACTCTCAAAATGTTCGCAAAGGTCGCAAACACCATCGGCTGCCAAATTGTCCCCTTACCCTAGCGGAGGCTAAATGGGGAAAATTAAAGGCAACAAATAAGGCTCCAAAAAAATACTTAAATTTACACAAAAAAATTTTTGGACAAAATATAACGACCACACAAACATAAATTACAACAATAAAGATATCGAATATATCGCCTACAGAATTCCTAATTATTTCCTCTCTTCATTTTCTCAATTCTTTTCCTTCCCCTTCAGTTTACGGATCCCAAACGGATTCACAGCACACAGAACAAAATAGGAAGCGACACCGACTGCAGCAGCAACAATTCCATATGGCATAATACGTTGAGGAAGAGGAAGATTGAAGGCATTTTGGATTGGTTGCTGAAAAAATAAATTTTTTGAAAATTTTGAAAATTTTTTGAAAAATATTTTTTACATTTGGAGCAGCCATTTTATTGTTCTGTTTGCAGAAAAGTTTGTAGAGAAGTTTAAATATTGTTTAGAGAATATTTGTTGTGCTAAAATTAAAAAAGGATTTAAGAGAAAAACATTAAAAACAAAAGGAAAAACATGGAAATAAACTAAAGGAAAATAAAAGAAACGAACAAAACATTCGGCTTTTATAGTATTGTTTGGTAGGTTTAAGAAAAACATTAAAACAACAAGAAAAAGAGAAAAACAAAACAAGAATGTTTTTCTTCTTTATAAACAATGTTAAAAACATTTATACAAACGAACATTAAAACAAACAAACATTTATATAAACAAACATAAAAACAAACAAACATCAAAACAACCTTATAAACACCTTAAAAACATTAAAACAAACACAACAACATGTTTTAAATGACATTAAAACAATTAAAAAAAAACACCAGAAGAAACATTAAAAACAACATTACAACAAACATCTAAACATCCAAACATTTAAACAAACAAACAGTTAGACAAACAAACATTAAAAACAAGAAAAACATGAAGAATAAAACTTAGGAAAACAATGTTTCTCTCATTTATTTTTCAAACTTTGTTTTCTTCCAAACATAACGCCAATTGAATTAAAATTAAATATTTGAATTTTCTTACTGTATAGAATTGTAGGAGGTGACGCTAGTTTTTTATCCATAACTTTTTTTAAAGATTTCATAAAATTCTGAAATTTTGCACACTTATAGAGCAAAAGTAGGGCTTTTAAATAAACATAAAATTGAACTTAAAGCTTCAAAATTGAAGGTGCTGTGATTTTTAGAAGTTTCGAAGATATTAATTAGCGAATTAATTTGATTTTGCTTCAATTTTATTTTTAAAATTTAATCAGAAAGAGTCTAATCTTTTATTTAATACATGTATCATAGATAAACACAGTCAGACCTCGCTTTTAATTGCGTTTTTTTCAAACCTAGGTTGGCTTCATGTGTGGTGGGGCGAGGACTGGATGAGGGAGCTTCCGCCTCGTTATACCTAATCTACATGACCCTAAGAGTGTGTTTTTAAAGCGAGGTCCGACTATCTAATTAATTAAGCTTATTTTCTTCTTTTCTTGTAATATTTCTTATATTTCTTCTATTTCTCGACCACAATCTTTGCCAAAATTTAATCAAAATTTTCCAAAATTTAATCAAAATCCATTTTGTAAACTTCCAAACAACCACCAAAATAACACCCAAAAATACAATTGAAAAGGTTATAACATCCAGAGAATAATAAATAAACCAATTTAATTCCCTGTCTCCAGGCAAATCAAGTTCTGATAAATCGTCAAATTCTGCTGCAAACTCAACCCATTTTACTAGCCTTTCTTTTGGTTTGAATGGAGTTAATTTTAATTTTTTGGATAATATTTGGGCATTCTGGCGAAATGAGGGGACTTGGAGGATCTTAAAAATAAAATTTATTTTTTTATGATTTTTAAAAACTTATTATAAGACAGAAGGTAATGCCTAACTCACCAACCCAATTGTCACCTAATTTTAAAAAATGGGGGTATTACGGCCCTCGCGGACACAATTAATGACATGACATTTGCGCACATGACAATTGCGGACAATAATTGCAACCCCCTCCTCAATTATTATATCCAGAATTGTCGGCTGTAGTTGTATCCAAATTTAGGTATGCGTTATAAAGGGTGTATCTTATAACGAGGATCTCTTATAGAAATTTCAATTTTTACCCTTTCTAAAGCCTCAAATAAAATATTTTTGGCATTCGGCCCATTCAATTCATTAACATCTATTTGTAGCCCTATACCATGTGTAACGGCAACATCAGCATTGTAAAATTGGTCTCCAAAAAGAGGAATGCCAATAATAGGAACACCGGCATACACCGATTCAGTTAGACTGTTTTGTCCGCAGTGTGTGATAAATGCGTTCAAGTTGGGATGAACTAGAGAAAAATGTTTTACAATAGTAATATTACAATTTGTAATATCGTCTTAAATTACAATTATAAATATAAACTTAAATTGCAATTGCAAATATAAACTTGAAACACAATTATAAAAATAAACTTGAATTACAATTAAAATAAACCTGAATTACAATTGCAAAAACAAACTTAAAGTCAATTAAAAATTAAACCTTAATTACAATTACAAAAATAAACTTGAAATACAATCATTAAATAAACTTGAAATGCACTTACAAAATAAACTTGAATTACAATTGCAAAAATAAACTTGAATTGCAATTAACAAAAATAAACTTGAATTACAATTACAAAAATAAACTTGAAATACAATCATTAAATAAACTTGAATTACAATTAAACTAAATAAACCTTAATTACAATTGCAAAAATAAACTTGAATTACAACAAACAAAAACAAACTTGAATTACAATTAAAATGTAAAACACAAAACAAAACTTGCAACTTTTTTTAAAACTTTTCGCATCACAATTAAAAAAACTTGAATACAATCATAATTACAAAAATAAACTTGAAATAAACTTAAGATTGCGGAAAAAATAAACTTGAATTACAATTAACAAAAACTTAAGTTTTAACTTATTTAATTTCCCACCTAAAATAGCTGCTTGTCTAAGCCACTCAAACGTATGAATATTGGGTGCTGAATTAATTAATTCAGACATATTTTTAATTGTTTCAGAATCCAATTTCCAAATAAATTGAATATTAGGGAATCGTCTAAAAGCATTTACAATACCCTCTATAATTTTTAAATTTAATTTGGTTGTGTCAGCAATTGATCCAAACGAGAAAAGGACGGCGCCTTCGACTGCCTCGTCCAATATTTTTTTAATTTTCTTTAAAAAAATTTTTTTTCTTAATTTATATTTAATCAGAATGTCAATTTACTGGTTCCAATTTTTTATTAGCCTCAGTTGCCAAATTATCCACCAACCCGCCAATATAAACAACTTTGTTTGAGGTTGGTCTAGGCATCTCAAAGAAGGGGTTTGAGTTGAAAAAGACGAGAGAAACTTTTTTTGTTAAATATTTTAAATCGGGAAAGCCTGAGCCGAATTCTTGACGAATTATTTGTTCCTAAAAATGAAAAAAAAATTTCAAAAAATTTCCTAAATTTTTTAGAAAAATTTTTTTCTAGACCTCCTCTCTCAAAATATAATCATCCATCCAAATCCAGTCATAAAATTCATTGTAAAAATTAAAAAATCTGTAGTAAAAAGAAGATTGTAGGCCCAAATGTGAGGCGAAAGTGTCTAATAAATTAATAAAAAATCCAAAAATTTTTTAATGAAAATACTTGGCACGAAACTAGCAAAACTAGGAATGTCAAATTTTCTGCCAACCATTTGCAACAAGGGAACTGCAAATGCTGCTAGCCTTGTTTTTACGCCTAGTTTATGAAAAAGTGCAGCAGCACAATACTCGTACATTTCTGATATTCCAACATCAAACTTTTCTTTGGTTAATTGTTGTAAAAGTTTGTGTTGTTGTATTGTTTCTATAAACATGAAACAAATAAAACTTCAAACAACATAAAATACAAAAATGAAATACAAAAAATATACAAAAACACATTCAATAAAATACTAAAACAAAACAAACAACTAAAACATTAAAAACAAAAATACAAAAACTTAAAAACAAAAATACAATAACATATAAAACACAAAAGTCACAACAAATAAATAAACTTGGATTCAAACAAAAACTTGAACACAAAAACATAAAACACAAAAAAAAATAAACTTAGAAACATAAAACTTAAAAAAACAAAATACAAAAATAAACTTTTTTAAACAACCAAATAAAATACATTAAATAAACTTGAATTTAAGCAAAACTTGGAAACAAAACAAAATACAACAAATAAATCTAAACACAATGTAAAACACATTAAATAAACTTGAATTCAAACAAAACACAAAAATAAACCTAAAACAAATAAAAACAAAACTTTAACACAAACATGAAACACAAAAACATAAAACATAAAAACAAACGAACACAAAAACATAAAACACAAAAACACATAAACAACAAACAAACAAAATACAAACAAAACACAAACAAAAAATATAAATGTTTGCCTTTGCAAGCAGTAGCCATCATTGGTCCAAAATGAGTCATTGGATGATTAAAGTAATTTATCAACGGTTTATCGCTATGGAATGCTTCTGTTACTAGTTTGTTATTTTTAATGTCCAAAATTTCAACACTTTCAGGATTTGCTTGGATAACATGAATATGTTTTACTCGAGTAGTTTCATTTTTGAAGTTTAACGTAGGGTCCATAATGAATTTAAGGAAATGCTGAATAATTTAATTTTAATTCAGAAAAATTTTCAATATTAGAATCATATTGAAAATTTAATTACTCCCACAAATTAAACTTAAGAGTATAGAAAAACATGTTTTACAAGTTTAAACTTTTCCTAATGTTCAAAACATTTTTCACAATTTAAAAATGTTTTTTCATTAATTGTTTCCGAACATTTAGAATATTTTTTCTTTTAAACTTAATCAAAACATGTTCGGCCATTTTCAAACTGACAACAAAACAAGTTTTACAATTGTTTGTAAATGTTACTTTTTGTAAATTGTTTCCGAACATTAAAAATTTTAAGTTTATGTTTTGTTTAAATTCAAGTTTATTTAATGTATTTTCTGTTCAAACCAAAGTTTATTTTTGTATTTTATTTGTGTTTCAGATTTGTGTTTTTATTTGTTTAAGGTTTATTTTTCCTCTATAATTAATCAAAACATGGGTTTATTGTTTCCAACTTTAAACAAAACAAGTTTTAAAATAAAACTTGTTTTACAAATTATAAATGAAACATGTTTATTTAAAAAGTTTTACAATTGTTTGTAACTTATTCTTCCACTATTAAAAATCACAAAAACATTCAAAACATGTTCAAACATACAAAATTAAATTTATTACAAACATGTTTTAATGTGTTTTCACACCAATTATTTTTAATATATTCTTCCCAACATTAAACTAACCACTTCATGCCCCGCTTCAACCAACGTATCCGCAATTCTTCCCAAATATTGAGCATGACTCCAACTTATTGAAGGGGAATGTACGAGTATTTTAAGAGGCCTTTTAATTGAATTAGTGTTTCGTGGAAAATCATTATTGTTTGGATTTTTAATGGGAGAGGAAGCAGAAGTAGTAGGCGAAATGCATAAAATAACCAAATAAAAAACAAATAAAGAGGAAAAAATGAACATGACAAATTTTTGATTGAACTGAAAAATTGGGGGAAGAAAGGAAAATTTATATAAAGAATAATTTTTCTCTTTTTTGTCAGATAGATAAGGAAAATTTAGCAATGACAAACGTTCTTAAAAATTACTAAAGAATTTTTGGACCGAAAAATTGAAGGTAAGTAGATTAGTCTTTTGAGGGTTTTAATTGATAATTTCTTAAAAATGAGGGGAAATAATAAACTAAATTTTTTTATGACTACAAAGTTGTAAAACATTTGAAAGATAAAAACAAGTTTCACAATCCATCAAAACAATTTTTAAAAACATCGAAACATTTTTTACAAAACATCAAAACATTTTTATATTAAAACTTTTATATCAAAACAAAGTTTAAAAACATTTTTTTACAAACATTACAACTTTAAGGAAACATGTTTTTTTTTTATTTTACGAGAAACAAAACATTGTTTACTGTTTATACAAAAAACATGTCTTTTATTTATTATTCACGATGTTTTTAATATGTTTTGTCAAACTTTTGATTTTGTTTTAATTAAATTCTGATTATATTACAACTTAGTTTTAATTTTATTCTGATTTTAAATTATATTTGTTCTCTTCATTATGTTTTGGAACATTTCTGATTTTGTATTTATTGAAATATTTTGTTTTTATTAAATTCTGAATTTATTGTGTTGAGGTTATTGGTATATACTGATAGGTACGGCCCACTTAGTCGCGCGGCCACTTAGTCGCAGAGCTATAACTTCCTTCAAAATTTCCGAATCTTACCAAATTTAGTATTAAACGATTCCTCTCATCGAGCTAAAGAGATTGGTACCAAAATTGATAAGGTCCATCAATTTTTCAGGTAGTTATGGCTTTGCGCCTACTTGGCCGCGCGCCTACTTGGGCGTGTCCCTGATATGTCCATGTTTGTGTTTAAAATTTAACTCTTGTGATGATTTCACTCCCTTTATGATATCACTTTCATTCCTTTTATGTGAAAATGAATATGGAGTGAACGTGAATGTCACTCCTTTTATGATTTCACTCCTTTTAATTCTATTTGAGGTCCATCCCATAAAATCAAATCACACTAGAGGACAAGACCATGGAGATCAAATTCAAATATTTTCTATATTTATTTTTGTCCAAATTGTGTATGTAAGTGTATGTAAAATCAAAATCTGACTTGAGGCTTTTATTAATTTTGAAAAATAACAAAAAGAAAATTTTAGGCTGCCAATGAAGAAAAACTCTAAAAATTGAAAAGAAAAAAATTTTCGTAAAAAAGGCAGACCCCATATTTCTTTTTGTTAATTCTACTCCTAACAAACAAACACTAGTAAAAAATCAAAATCCGTTAAATGTCAAAAAAGAATTGGAAAATTTTGAAGGCCTTTCTGTAAAAAATATTTTTTGGTATGTGTGAATATAACATTTTGAGAAGATTTAGAAAAAAAAATTCTGTGAGAATAACCAAAAGACCTTCAAAACTCCAACATAAACAAAACAATACTTTAAATAATTCAAAACCTAATCTTTGCCTCGCCTGCCAATTGATTCCTTTAATGAGGCAGACATTGTATTAATCATCTTGGAGATATTAACCATTCCCTCCTTTATTGAGTCAATCGATTTTGAAAGAGCTTCGGTTTTGGTTGAAAGAGCTTCGGTTTTGGCTTCAAATTTTGCTTCCAAAGACCCGAGTTTGTCAGATGTGAAGAAGTAGACAGAATATATGATAACGAGTGCTGCAACGCCAAGAGTGATTATAGCAAGTGCTGCAGTCAGATATGAGATCCAGTTATTAATACTTGGAACACACATCGGCCCACATTTATGCTGCTAAATTAAAAAATTTTAAAACCTCAAAGCGTTAAAAAACTCGATTTAAAATAAAATCCCTGACAAATAAAAAAAGTCCCGGGTACAGCCTTAGTAGGCGCGCGGCCAAGTAGGCGCAAAACCATAACTTGCTTCAAGGTTTTCGAATCTTTCAAAATTTAGCATTAAACGATTCCTCTCATCGAGCTAAAGAGATGCGTAACAAAATTGTTATGGTCCAGAAATTTTCAAGCTAGTTATGGCTTTGGCCCTATCTGGCCGCGCGCCTACTTGGGCGTGTCCCAATGCCGTTGCCTAAGAGATAAAACTAAACCTTCTCGGAGTCATTACGAGACAAAAATTTTCCAAATTCTGCCAAGTTCTTTTTCATCAGAAGGTCAATACGCTTTTCATTTAAACCTGAAATCAAACATATCATACCAACCAATCTAGACCCCCGGGAAATTTAAAAAAGCCTATGCATAGGCCAAGCTTTTGAAAGGATTGGAGGAACTCCAAAAAACTTTTAAAAAATTGGAAACTCTGAAAATCAAGGAAAGCCCGCCTAGACAGAGTCCATGTTTGAACGATACAAGCTTTTGGACTATGTGTAAACCTCCAAGAGCGATAAGGCTTTTGAAAAGCTGTGGAAATCCGGAGAACCGGGGAAAAATGCTTGACTGAAATGTGTCACGGAAACCTCCAAACCTCTCCAGACTAAGCTTGAACGATACGAGATCTTGAATGATAACCTATTCCTACGACTACACCAGCTCCGAAATTAATAAAATAAAAACCTTTCACTGCTGAATTTCCATCATTCCCTCCCGTAGATTTGTCAACTTCTTCATCCACCGTTATCTTATTATCGTCAGCTTCGTTTTCATCACTTACCTTATTTTTGCTAAAGCAGGTCAAAGCAATATATTCGTTGTTGAAAAAAGATTGTTTTTTAGACATATTTAGTAAATTACCTAAAAAGTTGAAATAAAAAAAAAATTTTATAGAAAAAAATATTTTTTGTGATAAAAACTCGAAAAAATAGGTCAATGGACAATAAACAAACAATTTATCGATTTTAAAGGTTGGGAAATTTTCTATAAAAAAATAAGTAATGAAAGCGTTGAAAAAGAAAAGAAACTTGGGAAGAAAAGGCATCCCCGCCTTTCTTAGGAACAAAAAGCAGAAGAGCTGAAAATTTTATAAAATGGTCAAAAGCAGGAAAAGTTGTAAAAGGGTCAATGAGCTTACAAAAATTAAATCGAGTCCAAAAAATTAGTTCAGCTCCCCTTTTTAATTTAAAAAGATTTAGAATAAATAGTTAATTAAAATAATAAATTATAATACGGTTAATTCAAGATAAGAATCACAATGGTACAATTAAGGAATGATTATATTAATCGTTTAGATAGATCAGAATTTTAGAAAATAAATAAAATTAAAAAAATCAAAAAACCCAAAATTAAAAAAAACAGAAAAATCAGAACTTTAAAAAATTCTGAAAAATCAGAATTTTGAAAAAATTCAGAAAATAAAAATCAGAATTTTGAAAAATTCAAAAAAATCAGAATAAAATCAGAATTCCAAACCAGAATAAAATTATCAGAAAAAATATTAAAATTCTGGTATCAAAAATTCTGAAATTGGTTAAAAGAAGAAAAATATAACAAATCAGAATTTCAAAAAATCAGAATAAAATATATGATCAGAATATTCTGATTTTTTAAGTTCCAAAAACACATTGAAGCCATCAATTCTTTTATTTTTTATCTCAACGGCTAATAAGTCCATATTTTTCTGGTTGCAACAAAGTTTGCACAACATTGTTTTCTAATTGGTTTAGTTCATTCTCGACTTGTTCCAGATCGCTAGAGAAAAATTTTTTTTAACTAAATTTTTTATTTTCAGCAACTTTTCAGTTTTTCCAGGCTCAGTTTGTAATTCGATATAATATTTAATTTTTGGTTCAGTTCCACTTGCACGTAAAGTTACTAGACTGCCCGAAGCTAATGTAAAAGTTATCATATCTGAAGTTGTGCTTAATGGGAGGATTGCTTTGTTGTTTGGTTGGGAAGAATCAAAACCTGGAAAAAGTTTTAATAAATGTTTAGATTAAGAAAAACATAACAAAACAAAGAAAACAAAATATCAAACAAACCATTAAAAACAAAACTTATTGAAAATAGGCAAACAAAACATCATCAAAAATATTCAAACACAAAAACATTCAAAAACAAAATAATTACAAAACAAGCAAAAACATTAGAAATACAATTAAATTCACTAACATTCGATAAAACATTCGAAAACAAACGCAGAACATCTAAAAACAAAAACAACAAACAAAACATCCAAAAAACATTGATAACACAATTACAAAACATCGAAAAACATTCAAAACAAATAAACATAAAACATTACAATATTAAACGCAAAAACATTAAAAACATCCAAACATAATTAAAAACAAGAAACATTCAGAAAAACATTTAAACATGCTAAGAAAAATACAAAAACATTGAAAACAAAATTTGAAAATAAAAACAACGAACAAAACATCCAAAAACATTAAAAACACAATTACAAAACATCAAAAGACATTCAATACAAAGAACACAAAAACATCCAAACATTGCAATATTAAATGCAAAAACATTGAAAACATCAAAACGCAAGTAAAAACATAAGCAAACATTCAGAAAAACATTTAAACAAAAACATTCACAAACATCAAACATTCAATTAAAAACATGTTTTTACCAGTATTTAAATCTCGAACATGCTTCACAACATATTTTTCCTCACAATTGTTTCCATCAATATTAACTGGATATTTTCCATCTTCTCGAAGATTATTAAATAATTTTTTGGTTACATTATTTTCTGGAACTGTCCAATAAGAATTTCTAATTAAATGGAAGCCGTATTTGTTGTAAATATTAAATAATTGTTTTTTCATATTTAAATTTTGGGAAGCTAAATAATTGGCCATTTCTGCAAATACTGCTGCTGCGCTTACTCCGTCCTTTTGAGAAAGAAAAAAAATTTTTTTGATGAATTTTTTTGTCTTTTTAGGGGGGAGGGGAATTCAGATTTGTTATCAAAAAATTTTTTTACTTAAAAAAATCAAAAAAATTTCCAAAAAAAAATTTTTTTAATAAATTTTTTTTATTTTTATCGGGGAGGGGAATTCAGTTTTGTTAAAAAAAATTTTTTTTGAAAAATTTAAAATCAACCTTATCAAGAGTTGTTCCTGTTGCGAACCCTTAAATCGAAAAAAAAATTGTAGAGATAAAGAAAGATTGTAAAGATAAACTCCACCCATTTTTCCCGAGATATAAATATTTTAGGGCTTTTGTTGTTAGTGTGCCATTCCCGTTCCTTCCCACTTCACTTTCCTTTGTATTTTCTCGCTATGCTGACGTGAACCCCTCTGCCCCCTTTTTCTTCATATTTATATTTTATTTTTGGAAATAAACATTTTAATTGGAATTTGATGTTTTCTTAGTTTAATCCCCAAGTCCCCCGTGCTACCCTTTACAATTGGAGGTCCTAGGCTTCGTCACGAGCTGAGGGTCGGAATTCCGATTTCCGACGTTTATTTCCTTCCGATTTCCAACGTTTTTCCTTCCGATTCCCGACAATTTCCAAAGCATACCCCGGACTAAAGATTTTTCCAAAATTCTCAAAATTTTCGCCTGTATTAAATTTTATAAGTTTATTTAGAAAAATATATTTATATAAATAAAATTAAAAATAAATATTTCTTGTTTATTTAAAATAAATTATTAAATATATATTTTTTTTTCTTTCTTTTCTTAATTGTCGGCCCAATGCAGGTCGATCTCATGCATTCGGACGCCATGGTCACGAAGGCGACGGGCTGACTCTAAAGGCGCACGAATGCCACGAGACGCATTCCGCCGATTCAGACCAGTAATCAAGCGCAGGATGCGCAGCCCAATAGCAAAAAACACTCCAAAAACCACAAAATTCAACCCGCCAAAAACAACCACAATAACCATGATGGACCAGGGGTAGGGACAGGCCAGAGTAGGCGCTTGGTCGAGTAAAGTTGGAAGACACAAAACAGGCTCGTACATACTGTAAATGCACTTTAATATAGTTTAGCCAAAAATCGCATGTTTCAAATTCAAACGAAAATCCCTATTTTCCTTCCAAAACCCCCCATAATTATGTTCCAAAAATTATATTCTCATCAACAGTGTTTATAAGCTCGTACCAAAATTCGAAAAATAGGCTGGTACACACACACATTTTTTTAAATTTTTTAAACATAAAAACAATTTTTTGTCCCCAACCACAATGCCACACAAATTCTCACAAAAAAAAAAACAAAAAAAAAATACTTTTAACGTCCCAAAAAATGTTACCACCCAGAAACAGAAAAAATGGCTGAAATGCCATGCTCGGGAGAAAGGGGAATTAGTTGGCCAGACAAAAGTGCACCATTTTTTTTATCCCCACATTTTTTTGTTTTCGCCCCGCCGAAAATAAATAAAGCCAAAATTTTGGCGTGAGGCTCAAAAAGAGACCTCGGTGCAATAAGTCTCACAAGACTTCAAAAAATAGGGGCAACACAAAGGATTTTTTTTCGGAAATATACAATCCTTTTAAAAAAGTGCCGGCACGCGTTTTTTTCTCCCTCTGTCAAAGGAAAGGGCCCTCCAATGGCAGAAATTTGGCAGTCTCCATTTTTTCATTTTCACGCATATAAAGTATTTTTTAATATTCGCCGAATTTTTTAGGCTTTTAAGCATTCACATTTTCACTATTTACAAAAACATACATAATAGTGGCACTAACTAAACACCAACTCACAAATATATTGTTTTATTTTTCAAAAAATTATATAAATTCTAATAATTATTTAGGTTAGAGCTGTTCAAATTTTCATTTTTAAAATTTCATTTTGAATTTCGATCCCAAATATAAAATATATTTACCTTCGATTTTTAAGGCCATATTTTTAACTAATTTTAAACTAAAGATTTTTTTGTTTCGAAACATCTAAGTGAAAGATAAGGAAAGATGATATGAAGCAAAATCAAGGTTTTGGTCAAATCCTGAATAAAATTACTTAGAAAGGTCTTATTTTCTGACTGTCAAATATTCCAAATTTAATTTTTCCGGAAAATGTACATACTTTCAAAAAACCCAAAAAATTTATTTCAAAATTTTAAGTTTAGAATCCTGAAATTTTTGGGGAACGTAAATAAATATTCAAAAACATTCTTGTAAGTTACCTAAGTTAGTTTAAAATCAAAACGGCAATTTTAACAAAAGAACTGTCTTAAACATAATTTACTTAATTGTAAACTTTTAATATGTTTTATCTTCAAAATAAAGTACGTCCGAGTCGAGCAAGTCCCCGAAACAAATTCCCGAAATAATCACTAACAATTACTGTGAACGAATGCCCAATACCCAGCACTGAGGACTAATAGTTTAAAATTATACAACTACTCGAATTCGACAAAAAACACAGGTTTTTTAAACTCGGCATACTCCAACCAGAGGTGTTTCCTAATTTCGATTTTCAAGGTTATTTTTCTTTTGATTCCAAAGATTTTGAAAAATATTTTCGATTTCAATATTTTTGGATTTCTTTCGATTTTCGAAGATTTTTGTTTCGAAACACCTCTGACTCCGTCTCGATTTTTCCCAAATACTCGGTGCTCGACGTACTCTACTTCAAAAATTATAAAATTTTATACTAAAATTAAAGTTTAAAATCCTGAAATTTTTGGAGAACTTAAAAAATTTCTTTTACCTTACCTTGTAGAGACAAATAAAATAATTAAATATATTTACATTTCTATCTAAAAAATTAAAATAATTAGTAAAATTTAAAAATAAAAAATAATAATAAATAAATATAACAATAAAATTAGAAATTTTAGAGAAAATTAAGGTATATTTCTAATTTTAAATTTTTCAACAAACTCATTTATTAAGCCAAACTAATACATACTAACACTCAATCGCGCAACCAACACAAAAGCATTCAACAAAATCAAGAATCGACTTGTTCTCTGGAAGACAGTCAGGTTGGTAACGTTTCTACGGAAACTACTCCCCCCAAAAGCGAAAGATCTAAAAGGTATAAAAATAGGGAAAAGAGAATATTTAAAAAGAAAATGGAAGAACTAGCTGAAAAGCTTGAAAAGTTGGATGTAAAGATAGGAGGCCTAGGGAACAAGCCGAACATAAGCATTAACCCGTTCATGGGAAGGCGCGATCCACGCACATTTTCTGCATTTATAACCGAATTCAACAAAGTTGGGACAGCTTACTCATGGAGTAAAGCGGATATGGCTCGAATGCTCCCTCTTTTTCTAGGAAAAGAAGCCCAGGTATATTATGACAATTTAACGACCCCACAGAAAGGAAACTGGGAAATTTTAATTGACCAGCTAGCCCAAAAGTTTTCCATCGGCAGTAGCGTTCCCCACTTCCGACGAATGTGTCAAACCCGAAGACAAAGAGCCAACGAATCAATCCCCGAATTCGCCGAAATTATATCCCAATTGGTCGACAAGGCCTACCCTGATTCGGGCGGCTTTAACGCCGATATACGCCGTGAGATGGCGATTGACCTTTTTCGGGGAGGACTTAAAATGGACTTGCGCGAACAACTTAGAAGGATGCCAAAACCAAATAGTATGCCCGAAGCCATCCAACAGGCTATTGAAGAAGAAGAATCCCAATTAGAATTTTCCCGCGAAAAATTAACCAATGCCCAAGTTGAAAGTATTAACCAGATTGGAAGAGTACAAGCCCAACAGAATCAAAACTATACTAATAATAGATTCCAAAGATTTTTGCCCCGATTTCCAAGAAGACCAAATTTTCCTAGACCCAATTTCCAAAATAATTACCCACAAAATTCGCGTTGGAACAATTTCAACCGAACACCGTACAGAGGTAATTGGAGAAACCAACAGAATAAATTTAGACCATACCAAAGTTTCCAACAGACTCAAAATAACAATGCAAATAGAACCCGATTAAACCCTCCAAACCGTAGATCTCGCGGTAGAGGAGGTTACAAAATAAATGTCGTTGAAAATAGAAAATCTCCATCACCTATTTTTCCCCTATTGACATTAATTAGTTTAATTTTCCTTCAAAGCGCTGCAGGCTACCAAGTCTGTCTAAAGGAGGAAAATCCAACTTTGTTAGCCCCACCCGAAAGAATGAATTGTACTGTTCCAAAAGGTAATTTATATGAGGAGTATGATGTTGAAATATTTGTCCCTCGTAAAAGACCTTATATTTTTACTGGATTTAAATGCGAAAAATTAATTTTTGGAAGAAGTACTTACACATTTATGCGAATTTATAACACAGAAATTGAGATTAAAGACATGATTGAGTCAGTACCAGTAGACGAGTGCTGGAAACTAATAAAAAAAGGCCGACTAGGGAATAAAATATTAGAGAGAATTGATGAAAACACACTAAGGTCTATAACTAATTTGAAGATTGATTGGGGAATTTTTGGCACTAGTTATTTTTATGATTTTGACTTTATAGTTTCAATTGGAAATGTTTATGTAAATTTTGAAACTAAAATGGTAAAAACGGATTTAGGAATTTATCAGAATTGTTCAATAAGCGAAAATAGTTGTGAAAATGGAAATAGTACTATTGTTTGGGAAGACCCTAAGGAATTACATTGTACATACGAGTCCGCTGGATTTTTTCGAGGAATTGTCTCCAATGACTATATTCTTGTTGAAAATCTACAAGCAGCCTTTATCTTCTCGGAATTCGCCACAGGCAATGTAACAGACGATAAACAATTATGTTTTAAAAATAACACATTCTACATGGAAAATGACGTATTCATCTCGATTCCAAAACTTAGAGATTTTATTGATAAAGATTCCGGTTTGAGAATACCCTTATTTTTAGAAATAGGATTAGGTAATGAGGAAGAGGATGAGATAGTAAGGAAAAAGAGAGAATTAAAACGTGCAAGAAAATTAACCACGATCTCACTCACATATCCTACAATAAATACAAGTCCCACAATTCAAACCACCACGCAAAAAGAAACTGAAATAACTACAAAAAGTATATTTAAAACAGAAAAAATAACTAATAGACAAACACAAAAATATACCACACCGCAGCCCCAAAATATAAACCAAAATATAAAAAATTTAAAAGAAACAAATATTAATAAAGTCCCAAATATAAATAAAGAAAATATTAAAATAACAACAGAAAAAATTATAACAAACACTTTCACAACTCCAACGATACAAACTAAAATTTTAAAAACAATAAACCCAATTTACAAAAGAACCACGCAAAAACCGATAGAAGAAAGAAAAACAGGAATACCATTTAAGATCGTAACCAGTACCAAAAGACCGAACTTAGATGAAACCGATATTAGAATTTTAACAAGGCCAACAATTAAAATAGAACAAAAAATTTTACCGACTAGTCCAATCAAAATATCAACCCCCTACTACTATCCTACAGGCACAACACAAACAAATAAAAATTATTTCCACATACATCGTCCTGAAATAATCACCAGTACTCCTATTAACATATTAAAAAGAGCAAGAACATTAATCCCAAATACACAAAATAACCCTGAACCTGAACCAAAAGAATTAACAAAAATAATAAATATAATAAATAAAGAAAATATAATAGAACCCAAAAAGATTATAAAAATAAAAAATATAGATAATAAACAAAAAATAGTTGTAAAAGACATGGCCAAATTTTTTGGAATTAAACCAAAAATATTTAGAAGAGACACACCCTGGCAAATAGGGAATAACCAAACACGCCCCAAAACAATAAAAGACTCACAAATAAATAGTCAATTAAACACAAGGTTACAATTCCTGGAAATACACACAGCAGAAATGGTTAAGAAAAATTTCGATAAATTATGGGGTGAGATTTGTAACATTCATAATAAACAAATTGAGACAGCCAAAACTATGATGGGTATAGATACAACGCTTGGAGCAAGACTATGGCTAAGGAGACAGGACATAACCGCACGATTTTTAGGCGAAGTTATAGAAATTTCGCGATGTTTTCAATTAAATCCCACAAAAATTTTTTGGAATCACGAAGTCAATGGGACTTGTTACAAAAGAGTCCCAGTCGAAGTTAAGGAAGATAATGTAACGAGAACCCTATTTTTAATCAGCGGTTCATACGCTCAAGATTTGGTATCTGAAAGTGAAGTAATTAATTGCGAGGACCGTCCCAAGTCAGTTTTTAAGGATGAGAAAGGCCAATGGCGCACAACAGAAGGATTAACTCCAGTGGAAATGGTACCCAACTTTCTCCCATATAAACCAGAAGAAGCCAGAAAAATCTTTAGGGCAGAGACTATATTCCAATCAGATTTAAATAGTTTAATGGCTTCAATCTCAGTACTTCACAGCTATGCGAACCGAATAAATAAACAAGAAAAAATTTTAAATATTAGAAATATTTCAAGAGAAAATGTTTCAAACATACTTATAAAACTTGGAGAAGAAACAGGTTCCCTAGTAGCATCAGGAATTGAGTCAATGAAAAACATCTCTCAAAACCCTTTAAGCATTTTGACAGGTCTAACTAAATGGAAAGAATACCTAGAATGGCTTATATATATTATTCCAGTAGTTGCTGTAATAGGTTTAGTAATATATTTTTACCCTTGGATCCAACCATTTCTAAGTTTAAGGCCAAAAAGAAAACAATTAAAAGAAGTTGAAATAAATAATATAACAAATATTAAACCAAGCGCCCCTTTAGAAGAAATTGAAATGGAAGCTTTTATTCACTCAAATATCCCAAAAATATATCAGATATCAAATTTAGAACTAGACATAGAATCCGAAATAAACCATCCTTTAATAGAAATTAAAACAAATAATTTTACAATGAAGGCATTAATAGACTCCGGCGCGTCAATAAGTTACTGTAAATACTCAACCGCTTTAAAAATAGGAAAAATAAAATTCGACCTTTTACCCAATACTCGAGCCCGTGTAGCAAACGGTGAAGAATTTTTCATGATAGGAAAAATAGATATAACAATTGAAATATCCCAATTAAAAATACATACTCAAATTTTTGTCGCAAAAGACGAATTCTGTCCATACGAAATTTTATTAGGATCGGATTTCATGAAACAATTACAGACAAAAACAGGCTTCGAACTTATTTTTGATTGGCTAAGAAAAAAAGTAAAATTTGTAAATTTTGGGAATAACGAATTAACACACTTGCCAATGATTGCAGCAATTAATACAACACCCATAAAACAAAAAGTTAAGAATTTAGAAAAAATAACTTTAGACCCCCATACAGATACACTAGTCCCTTGTTTTATTGAAAATAATCAAAATCTGGAAAAGGACATTTTAGTAAGCAAAGGTAATTATTTCGACGAAGATTCAATACTAGTAGGAAAAACAATCTGTAAAGGCAATAATGTTTATGCTAGAATCCGAAATGGCGGAAATTCAAAAATTATTTTGTTCCCCGAAAAATCAATAGGCTTTTATGAAGTATTAGAAAATAATAATGTTGAAGAAATATTTTCAAATACACTAGTAACTGAAGAAAATAATAAAGTAGTTAAAGACAAGGCCAAAATAAAAGAAATAAATTGGGAATATTTGGAAAAAAATATTGATTTTAAAAATTCCTGTTTGTCTGAAAAAGCTAAAAATGATTTAAAAAATATTATTTATAAAAATAGTAAAGCCTTTGTGGGAGAAGACGGTAAAATAGGTTTTTTCAATGGCCCCATTCAACATAAAATCGAACTAATTGACGAAAAACAGTATGTCCAACAAAGACCCTACAGAGTCCCGCCAGGATTACAAGAGGAAGTACATAAACAAATACACGATATGCTGGAACAGAATATTATTAGACCCTCCGAATCAATATTTGCATCCCCAATTGTACTAGTAAAGAAAAGAGACGGGAAATATCGCTTCGCTATTGACTATAGAAAATTAAATCAAAACACAAAAAAACAAGTTTATTTTTTGCCAATGATCTCAGATATCCTAGACAAAATAGGAGGAAAGTCTATTTTTACGACTTTTGATTTCCAGGCAGGATTCCACCAAATAGGAATTTTACCCGAACACATAGAAAAAACAGCCTTCGCAACTTTTTGCGGAGTTTATGAGTTTCTTCGCATGCCCTTCGGCCTCTGCGGCGCTCCTTGTACTTTTATGAAAGTCATGGAATACCTTAGAAAAGATCTGTCAGCATCTTTTCTTGTTTATCTGGACGATGTTATACTAGGATCAATAGACGAACAAGAGCATTTAAAAGACATAGAGAATTTTTTAAAAATACTTATTAAATATAATTTAAAATTAAAATTAGAAAAATGTTCCTTCGGGAAATCTGAAATTAAATACTTAGGTTTTCTAATCAGTGAAGAAGGAATTAGACCAGACCCCAAAAATATTGCCGCAGTCCAGAAATTTGAACCCCCCAAAACTCTCACAGAACTTCGCAGCTTTATCGGAGCTGTATCCTATTTTAGGCGTTTCATAAGAAATTTCGCTCAAATAATGGCTAAATTACATGAATTAACAAAATCAGGTGAATCGGTTGACAAAAATTGGACCGAAGAACACCAAAAAGCATTCAATACAATAAAAGAAAAACTTATAACAGCCCCAGTACTAGCTTCTCCCAATTTTTCAAGACCCTTTATAATTGAAACAGATGCTTCAAAAATCGCAATCGCAGGTTGCTTACTCCAGAAAAAAGACGACGGAGAACACCCTATTTCATTTTCATCTAGAAAAACAACTCCAAATGAACAAAAATACACGACAGCCGAATTAGAAGCGCTTGCGATCGTTTATTGCTTAGAGCAATATCGCCCCTATATTGAAGGTATTGGAACGACAATTGTCAGGACAGATAATTCAGTCGCTTGTTCATTAATGAAAAATAAAAATTTAGTTGGAAGAATGGCTAAATACCAACTAGCTGTACAAGCCTACGACATTAAAATCGAACACCGAAGTGGAAAATCCAATAAATTTTGTGACCATCTCTCAAGATACCCAAACAATGAACCCAATGCAAATAAAGACATTTTTGCCTTGGAAATAAACGAATGGCAAGACTTTGTAAATAAATTTAAAGAAAAAACCCGAGACAATCCCATCGATTTTGAATTACCAAAAAAGCTGTACAATCCACCAATAATTTGGGAAAAGGTTTCTTTAGAAGAAATAAGGGAAGAGCAAAATAAAGACAGAAATTATAAAGAAATTATGAAAAAGTTAAACGAACGAAAAGAAAATCCTTTAATAGAACTAGAGACAAAATGAAAACCCACAAGAAAATTTTTCAATAATCGATAAAATCTTATATAAATGGATTGAAAAAGGAAATGATACATACCCAGTAATAGCTATACCACAACCCTTAAGGGAAAGAATAATCAGGGAATGCCATGAGAATGAATTGATAGGAGCCCATTTAGGAATTACAAAAACTTTAGAAAAAGTAAAAAAGAGATTTTTCTGGAAAAGATTAGCATCAGACGTCTACAATTATGTAAATTCTTGTTCAAAATGTCAAGAAAGGAAAACAACTTCAAAAAATGTATTTAAGGAACCAATCCACCCAATCGCAACAGCAAAAGTCCCATTTTACAGAGTACACATTGACATTATGGGCCCGGTCCCGATCACAGTCGAAGGTTATAAATATATATTTACAGTAGTAGATTCCTTCTCGAAATGGTTAGTCGCAGTCCCCATGGAAAACCAAACGGCATTAACAGTATCACAAGCATTTACAAACAATTTTATTACAAAATTTGGTTGTCCGAGAGTTGTCGTATCAGATAACGGCAAGCAATTCATAAGTAACATTTTCAAAGATATTACAAAATTATATGGGTTCAAACACAACAAAACCACTATTTATCACCCCCAAAGCAATGGCATGGCTGAGAGGTTAAATAGAGTTATAGGAGATATGTTAGCAAGTTATGTAAATCAAAAAGGAAATAATTGGTCTTATTTCCTACAAAGTGTTGTTTTCGCATACAATACAAGTATTCAAGCAAGTATAAAGCAATCCCCATATTTTGTTTTATTTTTTCGAGACCCACTATTACCAATAGATTTAAGATTATCAAACTGGGAAGAAAATGGTAGGGAAGAAAATATTTCAGATTATTTAGAAGAGAACGTTAAGGGAATTGAAGAAATTTGGAATTTAGTAAAAATTACGTTAGAAAAATCGCAAATAAGTCAAAAAGAAAACGCAGATAAATCCAGAAAAGAGCACAATTTTAAAATATTTGATTTAGTCTTTGTGAAAATTGACCACTACGAAGGCGAAAACGCTCACAAATTTCGCCCGAAGTGGAGCGGGCCTTGGAGAATTTTATCAATAAACTCTCCCGTTTTAACTGTTAAAAATATAGACACTGAAAAAACAATTAAAATACATATGGATAAAGTGAAAAAATTTGTTCAAAATTGCACCATACCCCTGAGAAAGCTAACAGAAAATTCAAGCGAGGGGGAACAGGAACATAATTCAGAAAATAATTAACAGAAACTAATAACGGAAAAAATAAACACACAATTTAAATAAAATCCCCATATCTAATAAATTAATTTTAAGTCATCCACCTTCACAACTTCAACTTAAACCAAAATGGAAAATTCAGAAACCATTATACCAATCCTTATAGATTATTATTTTACTAAATCTTTTCTTTCGGAAAATTTTAACTATAATTATATCATGCCCCATCACGTTGAAAACATGAATCTAATATGCGAATACCTTGACCCCTTTGAAAAAGTTGACGGAAACCAGAATATCAAAATCGTAGGAACCGCACAAGCCTACATATTCGACGGACAAAATCAAGCAGAAATCCCATTTTATATTACCCAAGAAACCCTCCAGGCAAATACATGGTCCTCTGAAATAGTACTAGGGAGAGAAGCGATCCATAAATGGCAACAAAATGGCTTTAGACCCCTCAAAGACTCCTTTAAATGTAATAATTGCGGACAATAATAAAAATTTTTAGAAATAAAATGGAAAAATAATATCCCTTACCCTTAAATTAAATTGGAAAAATTATCAAAAATCTTTACAGGTGATGTCGGACTACAACAACCTCGTTACACCCTCAATTGAGTACAATGGAAAACAAGTCATACCTTTCTTCGGAAGAACCCACCCCTTCAGCAATTTTTTCCCTGCAACATTCGACCTTTGGGGTTTACGATTTTCCTGTTCAGAACAGGCTTATACTTACATAAAAGCCTGGTATTTTAAAGATGAGTACTCAATAACCCAAATAATGGAAGAAACCTACCCCCATATGATTAAAAGATTAGGTAGAACAATTAAAAATTTTAACCGAAGAGAGTGGAATTCGGTAAGTAAAGAATACATGTTCCAAATTCTAACAGCCAAATTCACCCAAAACCGAATCCTCGCCCAAGATCTAATAAATACAAAACGCCTACAAATTATAGAAGTGAATCCCTACGACTCAAGGTGGGGGTGTGCCCTCTCCATAGACCAGCTAAAAGCTGGAAAACCACTTAGAGGTGAGAATTTAATGGGAAAATTACTAGAAGAGGTGAGGAAAAACATTAAAATATCCACCCCATACAAACCAAACATATATACACAGGCATATGGAAAATTTAAACCAAAAATCCCATCCCTAAACGAGGTCCCCTGTAAAGAACCACCCAATTTTTTTAGAAATGTCTACTGGCAGATTTAACCCAATAGCCCAACCCCAAATATATTAAACACACAAAACCAAAAATATACAAAAAAATACAAAAAAATCAAAATACAAAAATCCACAAATAAACAAAATAAAAGAAAATATCGCTTTAATATTTAGAATTAGAAAAAATAAATAACCATTTTTAATATAGCTTAAACAATAGCGACGCATCTTTTAAAACCAACCACTAAAATAAACAAATAGAATTTTTTTCAAAACCAAACCAATGTCCGAAACTTACAAAGGTCGGCGAGCTGGAGAATTTTTTTTTCAAAACAGAAATAATTAGGAAAAACTTTGAATCAGATTAAGGAGATCAGGGACTAGCCAAGTCGCGTATGATCCAACTAGACTGACACTAGCGTTTACATATTGTATGCTCGCCCGCTTTTAGGGACACTTAAACAACGAAGGTGCAGAGTGACCAAACTTCCCAAAACTTTTAAAGAAATTGCGTCTTGTCAGGTTTTACAAACAGCACACGCGGCGCATTAAACCGGTAAACCAAAATGAGAAACTAGAGGAACAAGACTGGTCACTCTACACACAAGAATAGAATTAGAAATAACCAAAAGATATAGAAACAAAACACAACCTTTCTTGGTTACTCCCCCTATCTTTATACGAAAACAGGATGAATTTAAATATCTTTATCTCATAATCAAATAACTGAAAGTACAAATTCAGCCTGCTTTTGCCCATACCATTTGTTTTATTTTTGCTTTTGCACTCTTTTCTATTATTCATTTTTCTTCGCCAAGAAAGGTAATGTTTGACTAGGAGCTTTGAATAAATTCTTGTTTGAATAAATTTTAGAAAATATTACAGTCGGACCTCACTATAAGACATTCCGAAAATATACACACTTTGAATCGTAAGTCGAAGTTCGACTGTAATACTTATCTAGTTCGTAATTAAATTGTATTTTAAATGTAAATAAAACATAACAAAAAAGAAGAAAGTCAAAACATTTAACCACACAACAATACAACCAAATTAATCAAAACATCTAGTCACCCATCAAAAAACCTAGTCAACCCAACAATAAATTAAAAATTCAAACACCTAGTCAACCCATCAAAAGTTATATACAACAACCATCAAGTCACCCCAACAAAAACAACAATAAAAATAAGGAAGAATCCACACGAAAATATAAACCACCCCCCCCCTTTTTTTTCTTTCAGAACCCTCAGAAACCGAAACTGAAACAAAAATAGAAAAAGGAACCAAAAGACTAGGGTTGCCAGCTTGCTCGACCCGAAACTAGAAAGAGAAGATCGAGCTCTTCAGCTTGAAAACGAACCGAATCGAAAAAAACCAAGCTCGAAAAATATGCACCGAACGTCGGCTCGAACCGAAAACGGCAACCCTACAATAGAACATATACAAAATATAAAGGGAATTTAAAAAGAAAGAAAATTTTTAGAAATAAAAAAAAAAAAATAAAAAAAAGGGAAATTTTTTTTTTCGAAATAAAAATAAAAAAGAAAATACGTTTAAAAAAGGGAGGAAGAAGAAAAAACTCGAAAATTAATAAAATGGAAAAATGAACAAGATCCTATTTTTTCCCGGCTTAAATAGTATAATTTTTAAAATTGGAAAAAAATACCAAAACGACAAAATGCCACAATAAAAACGCCCACAACAAAAAATGGTAAAAAACAACAAAATGGACCATTTTAAATGAAGTTGCGGGGCAACTTCGATTAAGAAGGGATGGATGTAGAGATAAAGAAAGATTGTAAAGATAAACTCCACCCATTTTTCCCGAGATATAAATATTTTAGGGCTTTTGTTGTTAGTGTGCCATTCCCGTTCCTTCCCACTTCACTTTCCTTTGTATTTTCTCGCTATGCTGACGTGAACCCCTCTGCCCCCTTTTTCTTCATATTTATATTTTATTTTTGGAAATAAACATTTTAATTGGAATTTGATGTTTTCTTAGTTTAATCCCCAAGTCCCCCGTGCTACCCTTTACAAAATAATAAATTTTATTCTTAAAAAATAAAATTAAAACCTATAGATTCTTCCCAGGCAAGAATAACCAATTTTCCTTTCTTACGAATTTCATGCGCCAAATTGCCGATCCATTTAAAACCAGTTAAAGAAACGTCGTTTTTGAAGCCTAGGAAATTTAAAAAAGTTTAGAAAAAATTTTTAAAAATTAGATTTTATTAATTGAGACTTTCTCTTGGTTTTATTAGAATTGAAAAATTAAACCCGACTTTTTTTGCGGATTTTTCCACCTATTTTACTCCAATTGTCTTCTTCTACTTTTTTTCCCTTAATGAAATTAATACATTTCGAGTAAAGTTGTCGGTTTCACCAACTTCTTCGGTTAACCCAACCGAAAGGTTTATCACTTCGGTTTGAAACCTACAACCCTAATTTTGAGTGATAAAAATTGAAAAGTTAACCCAAAATAAAAGTGGTGTGAAAAGTCAGTAAAAATCCGCAAAAATTACAATATAAAAATTCAAAAATAAAAAAAGAAAACCTTCAATTTTAGCCATTGTAGCAACTATTTGAGAAGAAACTGCGCTATTTAGAATATAAACATCCTCAGCTGGAATATTTAAATTTCTCTGTTTCCATTGAGTCCAAATCCACCAAGTTAACAAAGTACCCATTTCATTACCATTAAATAAACGCCAATCCCCGCTAAAAAATTAAATTTTAGAAAAAAATTAATTTAAAAAACTGGGGAGAACTTTTATAGTAATATTTCCCCTCAACTTTCTCAATTTTAAAATTTATTGGAGCCCCCCCCCCCCCCACTTCATTTCCTCTCTTTAGCTTTCTCTTTTGGTTTTACTAAAATTGAAAAGCTAACCCGAGAAATAAGATAATCAATCAAAAAGAAAATTAATGGGTAACTTCAATGAGGATAGCTGCTGTCTGACCTTATATTTATAGAAAGTTTCAACCTCGTTAAGAACTCCAAGAAAAAATGGGGCTAAAATAAAATGGAGGTCTCTAAAATCCAATTCTTTCGATTCTTTCCAGAAGTACAGCAAAAGATAATAAAGCCTAAAATTCCCCAAAAGTGAGAAACCAACCCCAAAAACTATCCCAAAAAATAAAAACTAAATACTCAGGCTGTCTTTCAGCAATTTGAAGTCTATCAGCATCCGGATCATTTGCCAAAATTAAGGTAGCACCAGATTCCTCAGCTGTTTGATAACAAAGTTTGAGAACAGCATGGCCCTCTTCTGGATTTGGAAAGGAGACAGTTGGAAAGTCTGGATTGGGTTCGTCTTGTTCCTAAAAAAGGAGAAAATTTTGATAAAATTAACTTTTTGAGCAATAAAATGTTGAAAAAACTGTTTAAATTTCAAGCGCTTAAGGGGTCTGGGTTCGACCCTCGTTGATAAACTTCAATTTTTATCTTAATGGGAAATAGTCTATTTTCGTGGAAAAATTAAATTTTCTCGTAAGAAAGATAAATTTATTATTTAAAAATTTAATTTTAAAAAATTTTTAAAAATTCAGAAAAATCTCAAAAAATTTTTCAAAAAAAAATTTTAATGAAAAAATTCGAAAATTCAGAAAAATAAAATCTACCAAAGAAAATGTTAAAAATAAACAAAACCTTAACATAAGAAAAAGCATCTTCTGGAAATCCAAATTCTTTAAACATTCTACGAGCATATTTAGAACCAACACCATGGAAGGCAGAATAAGTAAATTTAAGTGAAGTTTTTGCATTTAATTCTCTAGAAAAAAAGTCTATTTATTTATTAAAATTGTAAAACAAGTTTTACAATTCCAAGTTTATTTTTTGCAATTTCAAGTTTAATTAATATGTATTTTGTAAAACAAGTTTATTTAATTTTATTCAAGTTTAATTTGTAATTACAATTTGTAATTTCAAGTTTATTTATTGCAAACAAGTTTATTTTACAAATTAAATTACAAATTGTAATTCAAGTTTCTTTTATTGTAATTTCCAAGTTTATTTTTTTAATTAAATTACAATTTGTAATATATTTTTTTCAGGTTTTATTTTCAGGTTGTATTAATTACAAATTGTAAAAAAGGTTTATTTATTGTTAACAAGTTTATTTTACAAATTGTAATCCAAGTTTATTTTATTGTGATTTACAAGTTTATTTTTCTTAATTATATTACAATTTGTAATTTATTTTATTAAAAGGAAATTCTGATTTTCAAGTTTATTTTTCAAGTTGCAATTACAAATTGTAAAATAAGTTTATTTTTTGATTTTGGTTTTCACTCAAGCTTATTTTTATAAATTACAAATTGTAAAACAGGTTTATTTTATTCTGATTTTCAAGTTTATTTTTATAACCTAAATTTACAATTTGTAATTACAAATTCTGATTTTTTACAAACTACAAAACAAACCTATAAAAACAACAAACAGCAGACTCATTACAAAAATATTTTTCCAGAACAGAATCAGCCACAGAAAATAAATTGTTTGTTGTATTTAAAGTTGTAATATTCCAATAATCTTCTTTTGGGGGTGATTCTCTTGCAAGCAGGCAGATTTTTTTGTCGTGAGGGGAAAGTATTTGAGCTCCATTATTCCAATAAACTTTGTAGCCATTATATTCTTTTGGGTTGTGGGAGGCTGTTATCTGTGAAAAAATTATTTTATTTAATGAAGGGAAAAATTAAAATTTTTAAAAAATTTTTTGAAAATTTTCTGAAAAAATTTTTTTAAGTTTTTGAAAGTTTTAAAAAATTTTCGAAATTTTCAAAAAAAATTTCGAAAAAAAAATCAAAAAAAATTTTCGAAATTTTTCTGAAAATTTTTTTGCAATTTTTCTGCAAAAAAATAAAAATTAAAAAAATAAACCATTAAACCAGCATCACAATTTAATTCGACAACGGCAAAAGAAACAACAGGTGTTGGAACACATTCAGAAAACAAAGTTACACATATTCGATTTTTAATGAATACATTGGAGGCTAATTGAGCGAATCTAGAAAAGTTAATTTTTAGACATTTTTACGCTTGAAAAGATCGAGATTTTTGCGGACAATTTTTGCGGATTTTTATTTTGTGGACATTTTTTCTGCTGATCCAAAGAAAGAAAAGAAAAATTGGTGAAAAGTCCGCATAAAATGTCCGCAAGAATTTTTGCGGACATTTTTTGCGGATTTTATTTTGCAGAAATTTTTCTGCTGATCCATAGAAAAATAATTATGAACAGAAAATTGGTGAAAAGCCCGCAAAAATTGTCCGCAAGTTTTTTGCGGATTTTTTTACAATCTAAAAAACCTCAAGCTATTATGACGTCCATCAAACCCAACCACAATTTTGGGTATTTTATTGTTTCCTTTACTAGCCATGTCTTGTAATAAATGCTGGGCCATTCCATGTGAGAGTTGTATAATTGTAAGGTCGTTTAATTGAGTGAAGCCTGGTCCCATTTTTGTGCGCACACCTTTAAATAAATTTTGTTTAAATTAAATAGGGTTGTAGGGAGGATAAATAAAATCAAAACCCAGAGGGCAGAAGGTAAAAATTGCTAAAATTTTTTCAAAGTTCCCGTTTCGACCCCTGGTTTCGATGCGTATCTCAAGGGAGATAAAACTGTTACGTCCCTGATTTCCCTGAACTTTCCTTTTTCCGGTTTCCCTTTCCCTGAAACGTCCCTGGTTTCGATACGTGTCGGGTCTGAATGGAAAATAAAACTGTTACTGTGAGAGCACCTTCTGGCAAGCAGCCTTTTGGAAAAATCTCCTGGAAATTCTAGAAAGGCAGAAATTCTCAAATTTAGGAAATGAATTTAACCTCTAAGGTTCCCAAAAACAAGGCAACAACCCGTTTTTAATGCGTGTTTCAAAGAGATAAGACTTGTTGGATTTATTGATATCCATTAGTGATCGAGCAGGGTCGAAACAAGGCCTTAGCTTTTCTTGTATCCAGACTCCAGGCATTTTTGACCTTCCTGGATTTTTCTTGAATTACAGGCCCAGGTCAATAAATCAAACCTGGAACCCAGGTACAAACCCAGGCTTTTAAAAAATCTCGATCACTAATATGCATGTATCAACAATTCCGTGGAGCCAAGCTTCCCCAAAAACAATCCAAAAAAATTTAAAGAAACCTGCAGTTCCAAAGGAAAGTTTGCCAATCATCAAAGCTTCAAGTTCTGCTAAATTGTTTGAATCAACCAGCTTTTGAATTTGCCTTCGAGTGTTTTCATTCTTCAAAAGGGAATTTAATAAATTAAAAAACAATTTAAAAAAAACCTTATCCCATTCTAGCCAATTATTAATTAATTTTTGCAATTCTTCATCCATTGAAAAAAAATTGGTTAGAAATTTTTCTTAAGAAATTTTAAAAATCTGAAAAATCTTTGAAATAAAAATTAAAGGTCGGCACGGGACAGGATCGGATTTTACGGGATCCTGCCACCAAATCCCGTATTTTAAGCGACGAACGGGATTTACGGGCTTTACGGGATTAATCCCGCGGGATAACCTGTCCCGCAAAAATTTTTGAAAAAGATCCCGTTACGGGATCCCAGGAATGCGCTTTTACCGCCCTCTAATAAAAATTAGAGCTAGGAACGGGTCCGGGACCCGAACCCGTTTCCGGGTCCGTTTTCCCGGGTTTTTTAAAATACCGGGATGAAACCGGGAACGAGGTTTCCCGGTCCCGGTTCCCACCCGGTCCATTTTTCAGAACCCGTTTTCCGGATCCGTTCCCTGTTTTTTCAAAATTCCTAGCTCTAATAAAAACAAAAAAAACTGGCAATGTAGCCCTTCGACAAAATGAACGTGTTAATGTATTAATGGTAATGTCATTTTGTAAACTAATTTTTTGTTCCTTTCCTTTCTTCGGATTTTTAGAAATATCTTCATGGATTTCGTTCCTATCTGATTTTTTATTTTTTTTTTAAATTTTTTACTGTTGTACACATCAAAGGTATATCGGAAATGACGAAGGTGCGGAAATCGGAACTGACGGAAATCGGAAATGGCTCAAAAGTCGGAACTCGGAAATCAGCCTAAATTTTCGGAAATCGGAATTCTCAATTTTCTAAATTAATTTTATTTAGCTTGACCCATTGTCTACAAGTTTCTAACATTTTTCCCTCAGGCCATTTTCCCATTTTTATCATGTCTTCCTTTATTTGCTTGCCACTTTTTCAAAAATGCCCATTCTATCCAACCATCATTTCCTTTCATTAAATAATTGTTCAATCATATTATATATTGCTCATGTTTCCTTTATTTATTTATTTGCTGCCCATCTTCCGCTTTGTCTGTATTGCCCTGTTGTTGCTATCAATAAATAAGCCTGCCTCATTATTGGGGAAAACGCTGCAATTTTGCAACTAAAATTTTTTTCCTTTCCTTGTCTTCGCCTATTTCCCCCAAATTTTCTTTTTTATTTTTTCATCTTTTTAGTCTGTTTAGCAAAATGGAATTTGACCAAATGGAAAAAATTAGTTTAAAAGATTTTGGACGGCGCTTGGCTCTTTTGCTTCAAGAAAAATATGGTGGATATGAATCTCTAGAAGAACTAATCAAGGAATTCAGGTTATTTTTTATTTAAAAAATTTATTTATAACTTTATTCTCCTCTATGTTTTGTCAGAAACAATTTTTTTACAAAATAAAATTAATTTCCCCTGAAGGGGTTCGAACCTTGGACCATTTTTGGCTGTAAACCTAAAATTTACCCACTTAACCAAAAAAGTATTTTAGGGTGAATTTTTGATTTTTAAGCTTTTCTCGGATTTTTTAATTCAAAATTTATTGAAAAACAATTTTTTTTATTTTTTTAAATTATAATTTTTATTTGTTTTATAGAGGATTTCATCAATTTGACCCTGAACAGAAGGCGATATTACTAGGCTTTTCGTCTCTTCAGCAATTATTGCACTCTAGAGAGATGTTTGAGTATGTTAATGTCCTTACAACAACAAAGGAGAATGGAGAGGTTTTTTCTAAATTTTTTATTAGAAACTCGGGAAACCTCAAAAAATCGAAATTCGCGCTTAAAATTAGTTTTTGGTTAAGTGGGTAAATTTTAGGTTTTTAGGCAAAATAGGTCGAAGGTTCGAACCCTACTGGGTGAAATTAATTTTTATATTATAAAAAATGTGTTTCTAGTCAAACTAGGCAATTCTCTTTTAAACCCGAATTTTTTAGAGAGTGACGATTTATACTGGCAGACATCTCGACGGTGTAAATGCAATTAAACAAGCAAAACGGTTGGAGATGCAGGAGATTGAAAAAAGGTTTTCAGTTTTTTTCTTTATAAAATTTACTCATTTAGACGAAAGCAGAAACAACTTCGGCAAGAGAGGAGTCAATTTTGGCAGAAAGAAATGAATCGAATGGAGTAGGGTTTTTTAAAGTTTTTTTAATTTTTAAAGTCTACCCAAAGACGTAGCCATGAGAGTCCTTTTTTGGCATTTTGACCGGCAATTTTCGAACAACTATTTAGTTTTTAATTTTTTGTTTGTCGTTCTATGCTTTCCGCCTACCGGGGTTCGAACCTTCACCTCCTTTTGACTAAAAACTTAAAATTTACCCACTTAACCAGAGAGTACTTTTTGAATGAATTTTTGATTTTTTTGTGTTTTCTTGTTCAGAAGTTATTAAAAAAATTTTTCTGGCTTTTTAATTATCCCCCTCTCATTTTTTTGAGGAGGGGAAACCACCTTTCTTTTGGCCACGCCTTTGACGTTAAAAAAAGCACTTAAAAACACATTTTAGCGAATCTCAAAAAGAAAATCATGGACCAAGTAAAAACAATCAAAATATTGGAAATCAACAGCCGAGTAGAAATACGGTTAAAATTTAATATTTTGAAAAATTAAAAAAAAATTTTTTTTTGTACTAAAATTTAAAAATGATGTTGAGAGATTCAGACTTGATTTTCTTTGGGTCCAAAGGCAAGATAAATAGGCAGTTCTCAGTTTTTTGGACCATTATGAGTCTGAAAGAAGAGGGGGGGCAAAACTCGAAATTAACGAATCAATTCCAAACTTGTTTTTTTTTAATATTTATTTTATAGTTTTCAATATTTCGTTCACCTCGACAGCCTCCTTCAAATTTTAATTCTGCAAAATTAATAAGAACATTAGAGGAAATTCGAAATGATGAAAGACGTCAACAACAACAAAAACAACAAAAAATGTTAAATATTGAAAGGGAATCGAGAAGGGTTTCTAAAAGAGACGTGGCTACAGAAACTGAGGTTTTTTAATTTTTTTTTGGAGAAATTGGCGTTTAGGGGCTTCCTTTTTTCTTTCATTTTTTAACGGTAATGTACAAAAGGGTCAGAATTTTCTTCTAAAACAAAATAAAAAGTTATTTATATGAAAAGGCGAATGGGGAAGAAGGCCAGCAAAATCTTACCTCTTCATCATTCAATTTAAGGAAAAAAAAATTTTTGTCCGCAAAAAATTTGCGGACAAAATATAATGTCCGCAACAGGGTTGCCGCGGGTACAAAAAATCTTCGGGTACGGGTTTCGGGTATCGGGTTGGAGCGTTTTCATTTCGGGTCACGGGTTTCGGGTTGGCAAATATATCGGGTACAGGTTTCGGGTTATAAAATTTTCATTTCGGGTATCGGGTTTCGGGTTGGCAAAAATTTCGGGTTTTAACCAATTTCGGGTCACGGGTTTCGGGTTGGAAAAAAAATCGGGTACGGGTTTCGGGTTGGAAAATTTTCAATTCGGGTATCGGGTTTCGGGTACAAAAAAAGGCCGGGTTTCGGGTATCGGGTTTCGGGCGGCAACCCTGGTCCGCAATAATTTTGCGGACAAAAAATTAATATATTTTTTGTCCGCAAATAGTATCCGAAAAAATTTGGGGATGAAAAAAGGAGGTCAGTAAACGACAATTTGTGCGAATTTTTAAAAAATTATTTTTAAATTTTTAGAAGACTTGCACGAAATGTATTTGTACAGGCTGTGTTCGCTTTACAAAATTGATTTATAAATTGGTTGCTCTAGTAAAGGAAAAACGACGGAAAAATGTTGAGGTTGTTTAATTTTTAAATTAAATCTTAAAAAATATTTTTTCTAAGATTAAATTAAAAAATTTTTTTTGACAATTTTGGGAGAGGGTGACATTTGATCCCACACCTTACTCAAATTTTGAATGTTTAGTTTTTTTGGGAAATTAGTTTGATATATATTTTTAACTAAAAAATTAAATTTTTAAGTTTTTAAGCCTTAATTTTCAATTAAATTTTTTTGTCCGCAAGTATAGTCCGCAAAAAAATTTTTTGTCCGCAAATATTGTCCGCAAAAAAATTTTTTGCGGATTTTTAAAAATAATTCTATTCTAAAAAATTTTTTTAGTTGAACAAGACATATGATAAGAGAAGCAATATTTCAATTAGGTTAAATGATATATCTGAACAACCCGAAGAAGCAAATTTAATTGAATTATCGACTCCAAATGTAACTAGAGCAAGTCTTAAAATGGTAGAAGAAATATTATTTTTTGGGGTAATTTAATTAAATTCAAAAATTATTTTTATTTTTTATAGCAAAATGGGAGGAATGAAAATGAGTCTGTCAGTGATTTAATTAAATTTTCTGGAAATAGTTCTAGATTGGAATGTGAAGTGGGGGTAATTTTTTATTAAAAAAATTTTTTAAATTTTATTTCAAGCGCAATTCTGTTGTGGATTCACTCAATAATATTGGTAATTTTGTTTAAAATAATTTTGCGGACAAAAAAATTTTTTCGAGGATTTTTGGTTAAGAAGTGTCTGCGCACTTTTTGAAATGCCTGGAAATTTTTTTGCGGACAAAGTAATCATGTCCGCAAAAATTTTTTGTCCGCAAAAATCTTGGCTGTAGTTTAGTATACCTGAGTTTTAGTTCCGATACAAGACCCATACCATTCGATTCGTCTCGACGAGTTGAGTCGAACGGTACCATTCTTTTTTTCCGGAGATGCCTGTGGACCGAGATATAGGCCCCCGAAAATCGAAAAACCATAGGGGTTTTTCGAAACCATAGGTTTTTTTAATCAGAAATAAACTTTTTGGGGTGAAAAATTCGAATATGCAAATTATACCTCATTCGAAAGAGCTCGTCGAGCTGAGTCGAATGACACCAAAATCAACGAAATCCGACTTGATTGGACCGAGATATAGACCCCTAAATATCGAAGATTCCAAGGGAAAAAAATTTAATAAAAATTTTTTTAAGATATTCAAGAAGCATTTAATTCATTTATGGAGGATAGAATTGAAAATTTAAATGAAGATGAAATTAGTGGAGATGTAACATTTTTAATCTTTTTTAACAAAATTTTTTTTATTTTTTAGTTTTCGAGTATTCTCAAAGAGTTTCTTGTTTTTGATAATGATGAATCTAATGCTAGCAATAAACAGCAAGAATTACAGCAAAAAACAAATAATAATAAAATTGCAATTCCTGGGAAAGGTAGAATTAAATAAGCTTTAAAAATCATAATTAATAAACCAGAATTTTAAATTAGTATTAACAAATCAGAATTTCGAAAAAAAATTAAATAATCAGAATTAATAAATCAGAATTTTAAAAAATCACAATTAGAAAATCATAATTTTTGAGACCAGAATTAATAAATCAGAATATACAAATCAGAATTAAAACATCAGAATTATTAAATCAGAATTTGTAAATCAGAATTAAAAATCAGAATTTTAGATATCAGAATTTGCAAATCAGAATTAAAAATCAGAATTAAAAAAATCAGAATTTAAAAATCAGAATTAAATATCAGAATTAAAAACCAGAATTAACAAGTCAGAATTTACGAATCAGAATTAAATATCAGACTTAATAAATCAGAATTGAAAATCAAAATTTTAAAAATCAGAATTAATAAATCAGAATTTTTAAAATTCTGATTTTAAAAATCAGAATTTAATGATTATGATTAATTAATTTATTTCAGGTTCATCCACCTATATTTGGGACAGAAAGTATTATAAAAGATGCCCAAAATGCCCACTTAGACAAACGTTGGAGCATGTAATGCTGGTAAACCATCCAACAATTGAGGAAAGTTATCAAGAAATTGAAGATGAAGAGGAGGAAAATGAAGAAGAGGATGAATTTAATATCGATGAGAATTCTGGCAATTTTAGTGGAGGTCAAAGAAATGAGGGAGGAAATTTAATATTTGAACAGGAAGAGGAATATAATGAGGATAATGAAGAAAATAATATTGTGGAGGAGAGCGATTTGGTAAATAATACTAATGAGGAAGAAAATGGGTGGGAACTTGTTGAGGATGAAAATTATATTAGCGGTGAGATTTTTAGGGGGTTTTGACATTTTGAAATTTTTTGGGGTTTTGACATTTTGAAATATTTTTTGGGTTTTTTGACATTTTGAAATTTTTTGGGGTTTTGACATTTTGAAATTTTTTTGGAGTTTTAACATTTTGAAATATTTTCTGGTTTTTTGACTTTTGAAATATTTAACTAGAAGGAGAAAATTCGACATTTACTGATGATGAAGAACAACAAACTCCAACAACTTCAAACAATAACAAAACACAATTAACGGTTAAAAATAATGAAAAGAAAAATTTCTGTACGCTTTGCAATATGCAATTTTCTTCTCCAAGAGGATTAAGCATACATAATGGGAAAAACAAAAGGCACAAGGATTTGTGTAAGGAAAAAGTTTTTTTGGTAATACTTTGCAAGTCGCCCACCTTTTTTTCTACATTATTATTTGAAAAAAAAGCTCTTCGAGCTGAGTCGAAGACACCAAGATCGGTTAGATTTGATCATCTTGAAAACAAAATAATGAAGCTTGCCTTTGCAAGGCATTTTGAATTTTTTTTTTATTCGACTCACCTCGAACTATAAAATTTGCTATAAAATGAAAAACAAATGGAAACAAAAAAATGAAAAAAGTAGGGGAGGGGGGCGACTAAGTATTACCAATTTTTATGTAAGATTTTTTTGTAATTTTTTTTGATTTTTTTAGTATTAACAACAAGTCGAATGGCCAATTTAATGGTTAGTGATGCTAGTAATAACACTCCCAACAATAACACCACCAACAACAACAATATTAATAATACTTCAAATTTATTTTTATGTGATTCCCCGGGATGCAAGTCTATTTTTGAATCTCCAGATAAACTTAAAATACATCAAAGAAAACAACACACACAAAGAAATTATATTTGCCAAGTTTGTCAAAAGTCTTACATAAATGAGGGATGGTTAAAGAAGCATAAGAATGAAAAGGGACATTGAAAAAAATTAAATTTATTTGATTAACGCTTTTGATTTTGAAAAAAAATTACTCATGATTCTCTTAATTATTTTTGATTTTTTAATAAATTGTTGAAGATTCAATCAATTCTCTCTTTATTTTAAATAGGGTTGCCAGCCACATTTCTGTTAGGTTCGAAAAATCAGATTAGGCTTCGAAAAAAACGGAAAAAACAAATAACTCAGACGTTGGCCTAGTTCGAAAACGGCAACCCTAAATTTAACATTTTTGCTTAATATTTTAATTTACTTTTTTGTAAAAATATCATACTGATAAATATTTAAAGGATTAAAATCTTTATAAATTATTCTGTTAGAATAATTGTGAAATACCTAGAAAATTGTGATACTTTAATTCTGTTTTAAATTTTTTTAATGTTTTAGTGTTTTGTAATTGATTTTTAATGTTTTTGTGTTTGAATATTTTAATGACTTGTTTGTTTTTGTTTCCCATGTTTTGTATGTTTGTTTTGTTTGAATGTTTTATTTATTTGTTTTTGTTTGAATGTTGTTTATTTGTTCTTGTTGAGTGTTGTGTTTATTTGTTTTTGTTTGAATGTTTTGTTTATTTGTTTTTAAATTTTTAGAGTGTTTTTTATTTCTTTTCCTTGTTTTTCTGTTTTTAAACAATTTATTTTTAAAACTTTCCAGGTTTTGATTCTTCCCAAACAAACAACAAAGCAATTTTTCATTAACTTCAATTTCCAATATGATAACTTTTACTAACGGTTCGAAACAAGTAAAGATTGGATCACGTCCATTAGAACCTAATCTTGTAAAAACCTCAAAAAAGGTAATTCTATAAAAATATATCAGCTAAAAAAATTTTCAAAAAATTTTTAGCCAATACCAATGGAATTAATTTTTGATCTTTTTAAAACGACGATTACAACAATTCCTTTTAATTTTCTATGTGAAAATAAAATGTTAAGAAGTAATGAAGATATTACAATAGTAAAAATACAGCAACAAAGATGGACAAATAATTTTATAAAAAATATTTTAACTTCGTCTTTCGTTGTTTACACACTTGTTTGGGAAGCTTTTTCAAAAAGAAAAGTTTGTTTTCCATTAAATTAAAAAAAGTTAAAAAAAAGAAAAATATTCTAATATTTGTTCAAGCAGGGGTGGTCGCATTGCGTTTTGCGTAAATTTGGCCCAAATTAAGGCAAAAGCAAAAAAATATACTCAATCTGAGGAAAAAATTGAAGAAATCTGGCGTCTTGGCCTTCCAAAATTCTCAAAATTTTCGCCTGCCTCGCAGGAAAAGAAAGACCATTAACAATTTTTCAGTTAATGTCATCGCAACCTGCCTTAATTCCTCACATATTGGAAATTAATGAACAAATATATTTTCCTTCCCATGCCTTCTGGGATTTAACGAACGCTGTAAACGAAGCAATACACCAGAATTTGGTTAATCAAGAAGGAAACCTGCTTAATACTATGAAAAATGTTGTCTTCGACACGCTCTTGGAAGAAATGTAAATTTGAATTTTGAAGTTTAGGTTTTTATTAGAAATGGGTTCCTAATAAAAATTATGTTTAAAATTTGCTTTATTTTCTTCAGAAATCCGAATACGAATCTTCCAATTTTTACTGTGGTTGACAATCAATCAAAAATTGTTGATAAAAATTATAATTTTGATTCGCTTTTTATCGAAATATCTGATCCACGTCGTTTTCCTGGGAATGTCTTCCATATCACCAAGCATTACAATTTGCGGACTAATATATTTGCCAATGTAGCGGATTTACTTGAACGAGGCTTTAAAAATGTTGCAGTAGCTGGTGATGTATATTCCCGCGGTGTTCGAAATATGGTAAGTTAATTTTTAAAAATAGTCAAATCAAAGTCAAAATTTTGTATTCTTAATTTAAGGGTGATGTCCCCTGCTTACATCAAATCGGGGGTAATTTTAAATGAAATTTTATAACTTAAGAATAAATTTAAAAATTTTTACAATAGATTTTTAATAAAATATTTTTATTAAAAATTAAATAAAATAAATTTCATTAAAATTGACTCAATTTGGAGTCAATTATAAAAAATTAAATTTATATTTTTTAAAACTAACTAAGTTAATATATTTAGTCGTAAGAAGCTACACAGCACAGGAATTATACAAAGGTCGTCGAAATGAACCTTTATTTAATGAAGTTGAATCTGGTGCTGTCATGGGAGGCGGCAACAGACAACACATTCATACGCATGATACTTGGGTTGCATTGTGTCAACGTGGTAAAGCTGGTATGAATAAGGTAACTAAGTTGTTGATGTACTCACTTAAACTATGATATGGCGTGTCATAAATAAAGTTGGGGCAATTAACATATGACACGTCATACAATTCGAATACTGGGGTAATGTTAATTAAGGTGCTTCGTAAACTTTTGGTCGATAAACAATATGTATTAAACGATACAAACATTCCTTTTTTTAATCCTGCATATGTTATAAATGCTACGCACGATGGAATGCAAGTTCCGGTATGTATGTGAAAAAAGTTTTTTTAATTTAATAAAATTTTAGATTGGCGAATGTGGGATTCTAGATCAGAGAATAGTCAACCATGCGTTTGATGGTGAACAAGTGGCATGGGGCTATTGGCTTTGTGAGTTTTTTGATTAAATAAAAAAATTTTAAATAAAAATTTAGATATGGAGAACATTCTGATCGTCTCCAAAAAAATTTCCAATTTACACCAGCTTTGGAATTGATGAAGTTTGATCAAAAAAGATTAAGAGGAAGAACAAAACTGTTTGAATGATAAAAAAATTTAAGTAATATAATAAAAAAAATTTTTGTCTATTTAAAAAATTTATTGTTTAAAAAATTTTAAAAATAAAAGTCAAAAGCTACACTGCACAAGAATTGTATAGAGGTCAAAAAATTAGGCCTTTGTTTGCTGAAATTATGGGGGCTAGTGGTTCTACTGCGGGAAAACAACCAATACACACATATGGCTTATTTTCATAATCTCAAATAAAATTTATGTAATAAATTTGAGTTTGTCAAATTTAATTGTAGTATGTTAATTTGAAGTTTGTCAATTCGAATAAATACCTAGGCAATATTTAATTTAGATGCTTGTGTAACTGTTGCCCAACAAAAATTTTACATATAATTATACAACAGTCCCTTTTTTATCCAGCGTATGAAGTAACTACTAACATCGAGGGGTGGCAAGTCCAGATTTCAGTTTTTATAAAACAAAGTTCTTTTAAATATAATTTTAGATAGGTATGTGCGGTATATTTGATCAGTGATCTAAGGGGGAAAAAGTTGCATGGGGATACTGGATTAGTGAGTTTTTAATTTAATTACTTATGTATTTAGTAAAATTTAATTGAAAACTACAAAATCTAGTTGTCACAACAATATTAAATATCTAAAAGTTTAAATTTTTTTAATAATTCAATCAATAGGATATATTATATGTATCTAGTATAAAAAATTCGAAATTTTATATATAAAGAATTCAACAAAGTAAAAAAAAATTAATTTTTTCGTTGAGCTCTGATTGAAATGAGAAAACACAGAAAATAAATCTTGAGATTTGAAAGATGAGAGAAAAAAGGACTTTTTTAAATTTTAATTAAATTTCTGGGAAATTTTTTTTGTTAAAAATAAACAAAATCCCGCCCTAAAAATTAGGAAAAAATTTGGAAAAAAAATTTAAAAAATACACCCATAAAAGATCTGACAGAATCCAAAGATTAAAATCAAAAATAAAATATATGAGAATAGGATATAATAATAAAGAAAAATACACGTAAATTATATCACGTTGTACTGGTCTATACATATAGATAAATATAAAATTAAATCTAAAAACAGTCGAACCTCACTAATAGGTACCATCAGAATTACTTAATTTAGAATATTTTTTTCTAAATTTTGGGGTCACTGGGTATGGGGTTGGCCTGAGCGTGACCTCTAACCCACAGAGGATATATCTAGTATACCTTGCATGTTTTTTCTAAATTTGATTTTTATCATGAGGGATGTGGGGGAGGTAGTCAAGTATTGCTTCTAGTTAAGATAACCCATTTATAAAATAACAATTTTTCAGTCCCAAATATGGCATCTTCACGTGAGGTTCGACGTATTATAAAACAATTTATTTATTTTTTACACAAAAAATTTTCATCAAAAACAAACTTTTTACAAAATTACCGGTGTCTTCTAATGTTGTTTAAACAATTAATTATTGAATGAATTATTTTTAACAAAATTAGACTGGAAATCTGAACAATAATAACTAAGACGATTACTTCATTTGTCTGAAAAATGAAAAAAAAATTTTTTTAATTCTGAAAATTAAATTGAGTTCTGGTATTTCTGTTTTTTCCTATTTCAGAAATTTATTCTGATTTTTTGAAATCTGTTCTGATTTTTTAAAAATTCTGAAAATTTATTCTGATTTCTAAAAGTATTCTGATTTTTTCTGATATTCAAAATTTTCTTCCGATTTTTAAAATTTACCGTCCACAACCCTTCTTGCCTCACATTAACATCCTCGTCCCTTCCATAACCAATAGCATTACGTAATTGAGAATAATATGTTGAAGGAGAAATATAAGAAGAACTTCTTCTAAAATCACTCATACAGGCTAAATTTTAAAATTTAATTTTTTAATTTAAAAAAATTTTTTACTTTTCCCATTGCATTGATTTTGTTGTTTTTCATTGTTCATATAGCGTTGATAATGTGATAAAGGGGGAGGTGGATAAAACCCATTTCCATCGGGTCTAATTGTAGTAGGCTGAATTGAGGTAGCGACAGCTTGAAGTTGCTGGGAAAGACGACGCAATTCTTTTTGAAGTTCATTAATCTTTAAATTTGAAAAATTTTATTTATTGAGATTTTTCTGAAATTAATTCTGATTTTTTTCGAAATTAATTCTGATTTTTTCTAAAATAAATTCTGATATTTCTGATACTAATTCTGATTTTTTTTGAAATTAATTCTGATTTTTTCTGATAATTCTGATTTTTCTGAAAATTAATTCCGATTTTTCTAAAATTAATTCTGATTTTTCTGATACTAATTCTGATTTTCTGAAAATTAATTCTGATATTTCTGAAACTAATTCTGATTTTTTCTGATATTAATTCTGATTTTCCCGAAAAAATTCTGATTTCTCTAAAATAAATTCTGATATTTCTTAAATTAAATTCTGATTTTTTTCCGATAATTCTGATTTTTCCTGAAATCAATTCTGATTTTCTAACCCTAATTCTGATCATTCATATTCCAAAAATTATTTTAAAAAACCAGAATTTCATAAAAACAAGCAGACCTTTTGTTCATGTTTAGCAACAGTTTCAGCTGTTGTTCTAGTTATTTTCTCTTGTTTTGCTACAAATTCATCAGTTTTCGTCGCCTTTTTATTTAGCTCAGTTAAATGTTCAGTAGTTATAGAAAAATTTTGTTCTAGAAGTGATATTCGCTTATTTAATTTCATAAATATTGATTCTTTGCTGTTGGTGCTAGTTCCAGGCAATGGTCGACTGACTATAAAAACAAAATTTTAAAATGTTTATTTAAATTAAAAACATTTGTTTGGATGTTTTAGAATGTTTTTGGGTAAATGTTTTTGCATGAAACAAACAAAACATTATTATATTTAATGTTTGTTTCACTTTTCTGTTTTATTAATATGTTCGTTTCACTTCATGTTTTTGCATGTTTCAATGTTCGTTTCACATTATTAATGTTCGTTTCGACATTAATAATGTTTTTTTCATTAATTTTTATGCAAACTTAGTAAACACAAAGTGAAACGAACATTAATTAAACAAAAAAGTAAAACAAACATTGATTATAATAATGTTTTTGTTGATTAAAACATAAAAACATACAACAATCAACAAAACATTATTAATTAAACAACTGAAACAAACATTAAACAAATGAAACGAATATCAATAACAACAATGTTTTTGTTGATTAAAACACAAAAAAATACAACAACAATTAACAAAAACATTATTATTACTAATTAAAACAACTGAAACGAACATTAAACAAGTGAAATGAACATTAATAATAATGTTTTTGTTGATTAAAACACAAAAACATACAACAAACAATAAAAACATTGTTGTTATTAATGTTCGTTTCACTAATTTAATGTTTTAATATTCAAACAACACAACAAAAACATTTTGTTTCTTTACCTTTCTCATCAACAAGAGTGGGCGTGACTTTTTGTTGTTGTTGTTGTTGTTGCAATTTAACATTTCCAACATTCTCAACAACATTCTCCACAACATTAGAATTTAATTGTTGTTTGTTTTGTTGTTGTTTTTGCTGCCCAACATTGTTTGTTTCACTTTTTCTGTTGCTGCAAGTTAAAGGCAAAGAAGGCAGAGGGCAAAAAGACGATGTTTGACGACGCAAAACTTTGTCAAGAAAATAATTTTGAAATTTATTTGCCCCAATAAATTTTTTTGTTGAATCAAACAAATATTGTTGTTTATGTTTTATAATTCTATAAATATTTGGAAAAAATGCCCAACAAAATAGAGTTAAATAATTTAAGGTTGAAGCATGTTTTGTTGAAAAGCATTGTTGGCAAGAAGTGAAGGTATACCTTTTTTGAAAATTAAAAAAAAATTTTTTTTGAAATTTTTTAAATTTATTTTAATTAGGAAATTTTAAAAATAAATTATTCGAAAAAATCCAAAATTAAAAAAAATTTCAAAAAAAAACAAAAAAAATTCCGAAAAAAATTCTTATTTTGACGGTGACATTTCATCCCACAAAATTTTTAATTTTTTTAAAAATCAAAAAAAAAAAATCTGAAATAATTTCTGAGGGATGACACTTGATCCCATCATTCTTAGAAAATCAAAAAAAAATTTTTTGGAAAAATTTTTCAAGAAAATTTTTTAGGGATGACACTTGATCCCAATTTTTTAAAAATCAAAAAAACAAATTTTTTAATCAGAAATTTTAATTTTTAAGAGATCCTCCCATTTTCATCCTCCAATTTTTTTGAATTTGAAAAAAAATTTTTTTTTGAAAAAATTTCAGAAATTTTTTGGGGGATGACACTTGATCCCAATCTCTTTTTTTTAAAATAGAAAAAAAAATTTTTTAATTAGAAATTTTAATTTTTAAGAAATCCACCCATTCTCATCCTCCAATTTTATTTGAAAAAAAAATTTTTCAAAAAAATTTTGAAAGATGACACTTGATCCCAACCTCCCATCTTTTTTAAAAAATTAAAACAAAAATTTCCCCTACCTCAAAACATTTTTTCTTCTATTAAAAACATCCTTTTTATTCTTCTCCTCTTCCTCATTTCCATTATTATTTTTAGAAAATGCTTGTCCAATTACATTTTTAATATTTGATCCTAATTGTTCTACAATTGTTTTTAACATATTTCCACCTCCCGTCGCTTCTTCTTTTTCCAATTTTTCTTCCTTATTCGCTTCGTTTGTAACATTTTTTGCTGTAAAATTGCTTTCTTCCTCCTTTTTAAGGCCATTTTTGGGTATTATTTTTTGCTCATTTTCTTCTTGTATCTAAAAAATAAAAAAAAATGAGAGAGAGACATTTGATCCCAAAATCCAAATAAAATAAAAAAAATTTTTTTCGAATAAAAATAGATGAAAAGACATCTATGACATTTAGACTTATGACAGTGTGACCTATAAAATAACCCAACAAGCTACGCTCAAAAATTTCCAGAAAAAATTTGCAAATAAAAAATGGGTGACATTTTATCCCAAAGTCGACCCTATCGTTTTTTTTCATTACCTGCAAGTAAAGGAAAAATAGAGACGAACGGACTCGGACAAACCAAACATGGACGGACTCGGGTTGGTCAGACGTCTTCTGGTCCGAGTCCGTCCATGTTTTGTTTGCCCTGTTTTGTTTGCCCGTGTCCATCCGTCTCATTCTTTCTTTCCATCTTTCTCCATTTTTCTTTTCCTTGCAGGTAATGAAAAAAAAAACAATTCCGCCCTTCTTCTGGGATAGGGCCCCACACCTTATTTTTCCCCCAGAAAATTCAAAGAAAAAATAAATTTTTTAAAGAAACCTTGCTACATTCTTTTATTGTTTCATTAATTGTAGTAACATTTGAACTATTTATTTCCTCCTTTTTATTTAAATTTTCATCGATTTGTGGAGTAAATTGTTGTTGCTGTATTGTGCTACTACTAGCAACTTCAGCTTCATATTCTTCAATTATTGAAGTTCCATAGACTACAAATGTACTTAAAGTACAAAAATGTTCATTTCCATAATGTGTTAATAATTCTAACTAAAAATTAAAAAAAAAATTTTTTTGCGGATTTTAAAAATTGTCCGCAAAATATTTGCGGACAATTTTTATTTTAAATTTTGAGTTAAAAAAATTTTTTTCGCAAGCCTATCGATTATTCTAAATATATGAAAATTTTAAAAAATAAATTGAGTCAATAAATACAATAAATTGGGTCCACAAAATTGGGTCCCAAGACAAAACAAACCTTAACAATCCGCAAATATTTGCGGATTTTTTAAAGAATAAAAAATTTCTTTATGTCCAAAAGTTATTTAAAAAAGGTCAAAAATAGAGAATTATGAAGAAATGTTGTTGAAATTAGCACACCTCTTAGGGGGTTTACTCCTATTCCCCAACAAAAGGTTATCCGAGCGGAAAAGAAGTGAAGAATCAAGGATTTCTCAGCTTGGTTCTTCGATTTATTTTCCGAACAGACCGAAGCCCTATTGGTGAACAAAAGGTACACTCTTAACAATAAGTGTATAAATTTCAAAAATTTTCCGGCATTTCTCTTTTTGCCTTCGAGTCTTTTAAAAATAAATTGGGTCCGCAAATAAAAATCCGCAAATATTCTATTTGCGGATTTTTTAAAATGTCCACAAATATTTACGGACCTGGTTTATTTTTAAAGATTTTTGTCTAAAAAAATTTTTTAGCCAAAACTGATGAACTTTTAAGAAACCTAACTATAAATTGGGTCCACAAATGTAAAATCCGCAATTATTTGCAGATTTTTTTAAATGTCCGCAAATATTTGCGGATTTTTTAAATGACGAAAAATTTTCAAAAAATTTCAAAAAAATTTAAAAAAACCCCAAACCTTAACAAATCTAATATACAAAGTATTTTGTTGTTTAACATCAAAAGACTGCAACTTTCTAATATTTTGTGCCTCAAAATCCCCAATTAAAATCCATTCTTGTGTCGGATATCTTTCACTTCCCCATAAACGGAAATCTTTTGGATTTGAAGAGAATAATTCAAAATTGGCAATTTCAAAAGAATTGAGCTTTAAAAGGTAAAAAATTTTTTATTTAAAAAATAAAAGAAAAATCGAAAATTAATGAGGGATGACATTTGATCCCAAAAAATTTTTTTCCTCAAAAAAATTTTTTTCCCAAAGATTTTTTTTTCTTTTTTTTTTCTCCACAGCCCAAATTCTAAAAACTCCTCCCGTTTATAATAAAAAACCCAGAGAAATAAATTTATAAATCGAATTGGACAGGCCCAAAGAAAGGAAACCCCAAAAATCAGATGATCAGAAAAAAAAATTAAATGGAGGCTCCCCCAAAAATTAAAAATCATAAGGACGTCATGTCCATCCTAAATCCATATATTCTCTCCCCAAATACAAACAAAAAATTTTTTTTGGATTTTCAAGTAAAAAAAAGGAATAGGTGACATTTGATCCCAATCCATATTTCCTCTCCAAAATGCCCTAGAATTGCCAAAAAAAAATTAAAAAGCATAGGACATTTGCATCCTAAATCCATATATGCTCTCTCCAAATCCTCTCCCCAAATACAAACAAAAAAATTTTTTGGATTTCCAGGCAAAAAAAGGATGAGGTGACATTTGATCCCGATTCATATTTCCTCTCAAAAATGCCCTAAAATACCCCAAAAAAATTAAAAAGCATAGGACATCTCAATCCCAAATCCATATATTCTCTCCCCAAATACAAGAAAAAAATTTTTTTTTGGATTTTCAAGGAAAAAAAGATTAGGTGACATTTCATCCCACCTCATATTTCCTTTCAAAAATGCCCTAAAATCTCCCAAAAATGCCATAAAATTCCCCGAATTCAAAAAATAAAACCTGTATAATCTCACACAATTCAATAATTAAAAATTTATTTTGTGCACGTTCACAAGGATTCCTCATATAATCATCCCTTTCTGGATCGTTTAATATTGCCCCCTTATTTTCAGCTTCCTCGTTTGAATATAAAACTTTGGCTCCACATTCTTTAGAGGCATAATTTCGTTTTGAATGGGGATGTTGTTGGGTGCTGTCCTCTTCTTGTTGGGTAATTGACAAAGTTGTTGTGGATGTTGAGGAAGTAGAGGAGGAAGAAGAAACTTCAGGTTGGGCAGATGTTGACTCTATAGGCGATTCTAGGGATGCTTTTGTGGAGGATTCAGGGACTTGTTGATTTTTAAAGATTGTTGAATGACTGAAAAATTGAGAGGGATTATGAATAAGGGATAGGATGAGGTGAGGAAAAAAAGAAAATTTATCAGCACCGGAGAGGGTTCGGAAACCAGTGGAAAAACCGTCAGGGATTCGGAAACCAGTGACAGCTCTGGTATAAATTTTTGCTACTTAAAAATTCTAGGAGAGATATAATAAGTTTATCTTTGAACATTTTCGAAGGATGGGATCAAATGTCCTCCTAAACCAAAAATCTAAATTCCCTAGACCGGAAACTAAATTGAATAACCTTCCGTCCCAAAGGTCACAGAAGAGGTCCTTTGGCAATTTTAAAATTTTGGGATTGAATCTATGGGATCAAAAATCAGTTAACTCCGAAGAGCAGAATATTTGGCTGACATTTGATCCCATCCACTAGAATATTCCAAGACTTACTTATATATAGGATATTCCAAAAAATATGGACAACTAAACCTAGCAGAGAACCAGAAATAATTTAAAAAAACCTTTTGTCAATTTCTTGCTGCTGTTCCAACCCTTCCTTCTCATTTTTAACAGAATCTGTCTTCACTTCTTCCAATTTATTGTCTAAAATAATTTTTAAAAATAAGAATTCTTGGTACCTGTGTAGTTTACCCCCCACAAGCCCCATCCCTCTTCCTTCTCTTCCTTTTCTTTAGACGATGACCGAAAGTCCCGAATTTTATAGGAGAAGGGGTGGCAGAATTTGCGGTCATTTTCCAAGGAAGGGAGGGGCGGGGCTTATGGGGGGTAAACTACACAAATTGCGAATTCTTTAGCAAAAAATAAACCTCCTTTTAATTCACCAGCCTCATCCTTTTCCAAATTTATTTTTGCCTCTTTTTCCTCTTCAACAAAAGAAAACATTCTGCCTCTACTCAACAATAACAATATTAATAAAATAATTGGGGTTGAAATAAATATATTTTGGTGTCTATCATTGTTGTAGTTGAAATGGAATAGTGGCGGCATTTTCTTAAAAAATTTTTTAATAAGAAAAAAAGCCGGACCTCAATTGTAAATAAGAGGGTTGGAAAAATTTTTGGTATTTAATTTGCGGACTTCATTTGCGGACAAAAATTGCGGACTAAAGAACTGAAGACATGTCTGAGGAGGTAGGGGGAGGGGGTAGGCAAGTAAATAGAGGAACGCGTTGGACTACTAAAACTGTGGAAAAGCCAACCCCACTTTAATCCGTCGAAATGCCAAACAGAAAATGCGGATTTTATAAAGTTGCGGACTTTGGGAACATAAAAAGGAAACACGAGGGAGTATGTAAGCGAAAATTGTACCAATTAGAGGCTCAAAAACGATAAATAGGGGAACGTGCCGTGATCGCCAACGGCATTCGTAACCTTCCAAAAGCCTACATACTTTTTGTCCGCAATTTTCAAAAGTCCGCAAATTTTGTGTCAACAAGTCCAGACTTTTTTTTTAAAAAGCCAAAATTCATAAAAAAAGACGTCGAAAAGCCCAGAATTAAGGAGTTTTTTTTATTTTCCCTTAAAAGTTTATACATATGGGAAAATATATAAAAAAGATTTAATTAAAAGATAAAGCATCAAAAATTAAAAAATAGTGCATACAAATATAACACGTCATATGACGCGTCATGCATAATAATATGAAAAATAAAAAGATTTAAATTATTGAAAGTAAAAGTTTGAGAAAATCAAAGAATGAAAATTATAAACAAGGCTTTCGGTCTTTCTCCGTCCGCAAGTTTTGTCCGCAAATTTTTAAAAAAATTAAAAAAATTTTAAGAAAAATTTGCGGACAGAACTTGCGGACTTTCAATAGACTTGCGGACAAAAAAATTTTTGCGGACAGAAACCACTGTAGATCCAAAACAACTTGAAAATAATCATTGCTTCAACACGGTTAAATGAAAACAGTGAAAAAACTAGGAAAGAGCCATGGAAGCATTTTAAAAAAATAAAGATAAAAAATCACAAGAGCTTTACGCGTGATTGACAAGAAGGGAAAAATCATAAGCTAAAAATATTTAAAAAATGGGTTTTTTTGACCATTTTAAATCGTTAAAAAATTTTAAAGATAAAAATATTTATTTTAAAACACAGAAAAAATAAGTCTTTCAAATCAAAAAATGTTTTAATGATAAATAAAGAGAAAAATGTGTGTGTGTGTGTATTTTTTGAATTCATAAATTACTACTTTCAATAGAGTTGTCGGTTTTGCGAAATTTCTCTACTCTTCCACATAAATAAGGATCTGGGACCATAAGTGAGTTGAAAAATTTTGTGGACAGAACCTGCGGTCATTGAATAGAAAAATGCTCTCTTCCACAAGAATATACGAGTATCACTGGCAAACAAAACAAAATCTGGACCATGAATTCCCGCACAGGTATTTAACTTAAATTTTTAGTTAGAAGTTGAGAAAAAAGAAAAAGTGAAAAGGAAATGAAAAGTCTACGACTTAAAAAGTAGAGAAAAAGGCCGTTTTGTCGCGAGAGATAATTTTATAGACAGTATCCAATAATGGCTAGAGAATTTTTGAAAATATTAAGATTTTTATAACATCTTTCTCTTTGGGGTATTAAACAACCACAAACTCTCTCGACTCACACACCCTTCTATGTAGACTGTGAGTTAATACCTTGGTCCCTCGAAATTTACAAAAAATAGATCAGATTGCCCTTCCATTGGGCGTGCTACAGGTTTACTTGTTGTAAAGTGACTACATTAAAGCAGAAGTCACCAAATGTAGCCTGACCTAGAAACTGAGTCTCACTTGAGTGCATGTCGGAAGCTCATCTTACTTGTAATTTAATGAGATGCAACAACCCTGGTTCCGCCAGTCAGTAGTTAGAATTTTGAAATTTGTTTGTACTCGTACATCGTACACAGGTAATGCATGCTCCGACATAAAAATGAAATTTCCGATACAAAAAAGCGTCGGCAATTTCCGATTTTCGGGAATCGAGACGGCTCGTTCTGTGGTACGAATTTTGGACCAATCAGACCTAAAAAATAAATTTAAGGTTTTTTCTTCAAATAACCCCTAAAATTTCCTTGTTATCTGTTACCTTTAAACATTCATTTCCATTCGCAACAAAATAAAAAATGCACAAACTTTCTTTTTCAATGACAGCTTATATTTTACAAATGATAATTTTAAATGAAAAAAATCAATAATAAAAACATCTTTTTCTTTCATTAACAACTGATAGGCTTTTTTAATTTTTAAGTCGTCACACCATAAAATTTTTAAATTATCAAAATTATTTTATTTATTATTTGAAAATTTTTTTGAAAATTTTTTGAAAATTTTTTTTCCTCTAAATAAGAGGGATTGCAACTGGCCTGGGACTCAATTACTGTGGTTGAGTGCGCGACCATATTGGGCAACTTCAGTAAGCGTTTAGACGCGTATATCTTGGCGTAGGGAAGACATCTTGGAAATTTGTTTTAATCTTTTTTTCCTTAGATATCAATGAACACTTTTTAATAGATTTTATAAAATTTAAAAAAATATTTGAACTAAATTACATGCTTAACAAAAGTACGGGAACTTTTGCCGCACCCTGTATACAAATACATCAGCGCCGCAGGCAAAAACAAATTTACCCCTTCTTATGCTAATTCTCATCCTCACTTGTCTTTAAAAAATCATAATTTTTAGTTAAAAATCCAAATTATGTATATGTTGGCTAAATTTATATTTATTTTCCTTTTATTTTTCTGCACCTGCTCAATTTCAAAATCGACTTTTGCTGATATTTATAATGGTGTTAGTAATGATGGCGATGATGGTAAGAAACATTTACTTGACTCTTTCAAGCCCTCTCTCTCAAGCTCTACTCAAGTCCAATAATCTTGGGCAACTACCTGTCTAAACAAAATTGACAAAAACAGCTTTATAAAAATAGTTAAAAGCTATCGACTTGTTAATAAACCTCATACAATATTTTTGGAATTTAAAAATTTATCTCGTTTCTATTATAGATATTATTGAATCAGCACTTAATGCAATATCTGTAGCCTCGACGGGAGCAGCCGATGAATTATTAGCTTTGGGCAATTTGAACCAAAATACAGCAGACTTTATGAAAATGATCATTCCAGTTGGAGGAATCGTTGCGAAGGAGATTAACCCTAAAGTAAAGCGATTTAACAGTCATGAATAGATTAGATTGACAATTCTTTTTTAGGAAGGTTCCCCAGCTTATAAACAATTGGAAAAATTCAAAACTAGAACTGAAGAAATTTGGTCAAGGAGATCCAGAGACAGTAAAATTGGAAACTACCAAATTCACGATTCAATTGGGTTATATTATGATGTAAGCTTTTGATGAATTTGCTGCCAATTACTATCCACATAGGGCCGGGCCTAAGATATTTGGCCCGAAAGAACCGTACCGGCCCAACTCGATAAAAATAAGCCTGAAAAAAATTCCTCGACTGTCGGCCCGACTCGAAGACTGCAACCCTACTTCCAACCCTACACCCTATTTCCACAGATTCTTTAATCTTTAAAATACAGTAGATTCTCTATTATAAGGCATGCCCCTCAATTTTTAAAATAAAATTTCAATGCATAACATACAGGCTGAACTTTTTTTAAGAATACTCCCTTATCGTTTAGTGTTGGGAAGAGAGGAAACTCGAACACAAACATTATTTATTTTTTAGGAGGTTACTGAACCGATTATGATATTAAAAAAGCTAACTGATCAAATTCTCAACCCAAATCTTTACAAATCTGAACAAGACATCAAATATTTTAAAATAAAATGCGAAATGTAAGAATTTTATTGTTTTAGTTCGGATGTTTAATTATGATTTTTCTATTATAAACTCATAGGCTTTATCGTAGAAGTCTAATTTAGAACATTTTTAATAGGTTTATATTAATTAGGGTTGTTCCCCGTCCCGGACCCCGAAAGTCGGGGAATTTGAGAGATTTTTTAAAAATCCCCCCCCCCCGTGGCGCTACCTCCCCAAAAAGTTAAAAGTCCTATTACAAAATTATTTTCGCACGTGAAAATCAAACCTGTAAAAAGGATAAAAATTAAAATCAAGCTCGCTTTGTTAAGAAGGAATATTAAGGAAGAAATATTATAAAAATGTTAGAAGAAAAAATTTAGGGAAGAAAAATGAGCTTACGTTAATACAAAAATTTTTTCAGATCCCCAATTAAAATTCTAAATGTAAGTAATTAAATTAATAAATTATTAATAGTATAAGATTGCACACCAACTATGGGACGACTTCCGCCTCCCGCAAAATTCCGCATTTTTTGCACTTGTGAGAATTTCCCCTCTTCCTTGGTGTGCAATCGATTTTATTTAATTACTTTAATAAACTCATTCAGTTTCTACGGACATTCCTTGTTAGATACTGCCCTGATCCAGTCAAACCATCCGAGGCAGAATCATTTTCTCTTAAAAGAGAGTGGTTAGTCCAAGCTTTAACTCGTTTGTCTGTTTACAATAAAGGCAATTCGCCTGATGTTGGAGACTATATAATGGGTATGTTTGTGGGCATTACTGTATACTGAAGGGCTTTTTAATTCAATAATACTAGAAAATATTCTTACAAACAACAGTTTATTTTACTAAAATTGGTTAAAAATTCCAAAAAAAAATTCCCAAGGCCCAAAAAATCCCAAAAAGCCGATACATTAGTGCCGGTTTATAATATAAATAGTTCATACAGGGATCCCATTTAAATATAAAATTTCAGAATTTTCTTCTATTTATGATTCAATTGGTAAATTACGTTTGCTCAATATTGAAAATTTAGCTACGTTTTCAAATCAGTATGCAACATATAAAGAGGGATTTAAGGCGTTATTTAAAGAATTACAAAGTTTTATCATTACAAAGCATTACGTCTCTAAAATATTCAGGTAATTTTTAAAAACAGGTCTATTTCAAACGGATCTAATTTTACAAAAACACTAGAAGTTTAAGAAACGTTTCTCAAAACGTATGTCGGTTACTTTGAAAATTTTCAGTAGGTCATCTAAGTACAAATTTATTAATCGCATCATAAAATGATGTTAAGCAGATCTCTCTATATATTGGCTATCCCTCTACTATTCCAATCTTATTAAGCTTAATTATCTGTCAGCAAGAATTAAATAAGAATAATTTTTACTTATTTAATATTTATTAATTTTAGATGCTTCATGAAGAATTTTATTCTTGAAATAAATTTTGACAACGTCCAGATAGATGCCTTTGCTGCGCAATTAAAAAACGAAATTATCGATTTGGTAAACTTCTTATTTTAGATACGTATTATCAGAAAACATTAATCGCCTTTAGGCAGACTAGCCACTTTAATTCCAATGAAAAAACATTTCAAAGATTTTCGACAAAAATTTCAAATTTAAAAATATTTAGTTATTTGCTACATCTATTTGTGCAAAAGTTGTTTTTGGAGATCATGAGAAGTCAATAGAAATATATACAAAGAGCATAGTAGATAATGTGAATTATATTACAAACCATACTGCTTGGTGGCTTAATTCATCCCTAGTAAGTGGATTTAGTTAAATAATTCTGGAGGGATAATAAGAATGCAAGCTTTACAACTTGCAATTCAATTTCACATTTTTAAAATTTTCTTTAATCTGATCCTTTACAATATCGAAAAATTCAGGCCTCATCGTGGCCTAATGTTCATATGGGCATTATCAAGACTCAGATATTAATGCAGTCTCTTAATCCAATATCTACCAAAGACGATAATTTCAAAAAGGCTATTGAGCTCTCCATTTCGAATCTCAAAACAACGGGGCTCAAAAGGTATATGTTTTTTTAATTATACAACGTCTAGTGTAAATTTTCTAAAAGCCCAAAATAGGCAAGACTAGAAATACACAACGTAAATTCAAATAAATACAAACTAATTTTAGTTACAATTATCAAATTGTTATAACAAACAAAACTGATGAGATTTATATGGAAGGAGATCCAAATTACTGCTATTTATTAAACAACACCTACGGTTTCGACATTTTTCTGTCACGATGGTACAACAATACGACAGAACACAAACGTAAATGGAAAAGTACATACATATCGGTGTCAAAATTCTATTAGTAAAATTTCAAATTAGACTGAAAGTTTGTTAGATTGCAGAGTTGAAGAATTAATGTAATGTAATAATTAAGGCTGTGATTTATAGGCAAATGCCTTTTTTTCTGCGAGCTTGGCATGATGTAATACGTTTAAAAAACGTGTTTTTAGCTTGGTCCGAAGAGTTTAACATGACTTTTATTTTGCCTATTTTTGCCTATTTCGGACTTTTTGAGCCTTTTTGCCTATTTTGGAATTTTCGGTACTATTTTTGCCTTTTTTAGCGATTTTTCCTTAATTTTGTCTAAAAATCAGTGAAAATCTAAAAAAATCATTCCCAGATTTAAAAAAATCAGTGTCAACTCCCATTTTTAATTTATAGTTCGACAAATTGAGTATTTTTACTCTGAACATTTTGAGATTAGACGTTTTGGTGGCGGGACATTTTGGGGTGGGACGTTTTGTGGGTTGGGCAAGACTTGCTTTTTGTCAATTATCGACATTTTTTAAAAATAAAACCATTTTTGCTCAAAAAATGATTTAAAATGGCGAATAAATGGCAAAATGGTCAAAAAACGACGAATAGGTGGATATTTTCTTGTTTTTATCATAATTTTATAGGCTGATAACCTTTTTACCTGCCTATTTTTGTGCCTTTTTTGGCTTTTTGGTGCCTATTTTAGGCGCCTATTTCACTAATTTTACATGCCTAACTATCACAGCCTTGGTAATAATTTAATTTTATCAACCTTCAGTCACATTTGAAACTTAACGTCCAATTTGAAATTTACGCTAATTTTGACACCGTCTCATACATTAATAAAATAAAATAATTATTTAGGTGAACTGAATTCACGTCTTGTGCAAAATTATTTATATGGCAAAAACTTCACACAAAATTTGCCGGACATAATGATGTAAGTTTTTAAATATATTGCTCACATATAGAAAAACTGAGACCTAAAAATCTGATAATAGGTACCTAAGCCAAAAATATTTGGCTATTGCCCTATACCAAAAATATATACCAAATATATATACCAAAAATATATATACCAAAAATATTTATGTCTTGTCAAGTTTATACATCCAGTCCCGCTCAATCATAGCTTCTCCATATTTTCCTAATTTGTTTAAAAGTACCATAATTTTTTATCTGTAGTAATTTTTGGTATGTCTAAATCAACCACAAAGAATTTATGCACTTAAATGAGGGGTGTTAAGGATTCATATACTTTTGTATTAACCACTATACCGCAGCAGAACATCGATTCTCTGCTAAATTTTTGTTGAAAATAAACTTCAAAACATTTTTAATTTATAGGAAAGTGTACAATGCAGACAATCTAACCGTTGTGGCTGATGCTATTAAAAAAGAAAAGCCGGGAATAATTTCGCCGCAACACTTTCGATGTGGTCTTATACTACGAACTTTTGCATCATGGCCGCTTATTTCTTGTCCAGAAATCATATATAGGAAGTCGAATTATGGACGTGGACTCCTTGACGCTTCTCCTGTTTTTAGTTATAGAAAATCAGGAGGCATAACCCACGTATGTGAAGACTACAGATTTATCTTTTTCATTTAATTGCTTTATTAATAGCTTTATTAATCGTTTATTTTTTACTTTGCTGTATTTAAACTTTTTTTCAAAATTTTTAGTTTTAATAAATTGATAGATATTTAAAAATATTTGACAAACAAATAAAAATATATCCTCCTTTTTCCATTTTATCATTTAAAAAAATAAAAGTAAAAATTGGTGAATCAATCCAAGTAACATTTTTTCAAAATAAAGTCAAAATTTTTAAAAGAGTGAAATCTCCCTATAGTGACACCCCTATGAACCGAAATGAATTGACGCAAAAGGAAGATACCCCTTTAGTCGAAATTTGGTTTACTGACATAAGAGTGAAGAAGTCCAGGGAAGGAGAGTCAAATAAGAGACCAAAATACAGCCCTATGGACCAGGGCCGAATTAAGGCGACTACGAGGAATTTGTTTAAAAAAAGGTGTAGTAATAGAGAGATTCCACTGTAATTAAAGATAAAATTGTTGTTGGTTTAACTATAATATAGGCGAAACCAGAAAAATTAATCTTTGAAATTTTCTGGATTTTTTTGGAAAATTCGCGATTTTTAAAGTTTTACCCAGTGGGTATTTTCTGACTACGCCTATATAATTTCATGTGTCGATTTACTTTTTTTAATTTTTAAAAAACAAATATATAGGTGTTTAAATAATGTCAACAATGGTTTTGTGTATATGTCGTGTTTAAATAAACAAGCGGAGAGAGATGATTTTTTTACGAGAATGGAGATAAGTTAAATTTCAAAATTACACGAAATTTAGATTGAAAAATCAAAAGATTCAACCCCTTCCTTTAATTTTTAACAATCTAACAATTTCCAAAAAAAAATCGATAAAATTCCAAAAAAATGTTCTCACATCTCTCCGCTTATTTATTTTTTACATAAAAATATTTGTGTGGTTTGGTGTTTTCTCAAAATTTATTTTTTGTCGGTTTCAAATTTTTTAAAATAAAATTACATAAAATATTGTTCAACTTGAAAAAAATCCTTGTTTAAAAAAACCTTTTCAAAAAAGTCATTTTCAATTTTCCCCCAAAAATTTTCCCCAATTTTCCATCAAAACTTTCCAAAACATCTTCTATTGACGTTGACCTTTACCTCCAGAACGATTTCCTCCTCCTCCTCCCCCACCACCAATACGTCCAACACCACGAAGTCCACCAGAAGACAAACCACGTCCACCTAAAGCCATATTACGCTTTGTTGGATCTATACGACGCCAAACATAACGCATCATTTCACGAAGTTTTGTATTGGTTTCCTTTAAAAATTTAAATTATTTTTAAAAAAATATTTTAGGAAGAATTTCTGAAATAGAAAAATCAGAAAAATTGAAAATAAAAATCAGAAATTATTTTAGTAAACTTTTTAAAAAATCAGAATTAATTTGGTTTACAGGGTTATTCCTGATTTTTTATTTTAAAGATTTTTCAGAAGCAGAATATTTTCTGATTCTTTTTATACTCTAGAATTTCTGATTCTCATGTTCTGAATTTATAAAACAGAATTTACAATGTTTTTCTGATTTTTAAATTCTGATCCGTGGCCTAATTCTGTTTTTCAGTTTACTGATTTTTCAAAACCAGAATTTATTTTAATTTTTATATTCTGAAATTATATCCAGAATTTAGACGAATCAGAATTTCTGATTTTTCATGCTTCGGCCTTATAAACCAGAATTCTGGTTTTCAGCACCAGAATATTCTGAGATTATAAAAACCAGGATATTTTTACTTTTTCTGATTTTTCAGAATCAGAATTTCTTTTCAGAATCAGAATATTCTGGTTTAAAAATATTATTCCCAAAAAAAAACCTCTTCCTCCTGTGGTCCATTAAATTGATGTGTCTTCTTCAACTCATGACGCAAATTCATCAAAATTTTCCCTCCTTCATTCTCACCATCCCAAAAAACTGGCTTGTTAGACTCGTCACGGTTTTTACGCCAACCAGTGCCGAAAAACTTGAAAAAAAATTTTTTTGGAATTTTTTTAAAAATTTCAGAAAAAAACCTTATCCTCCGAAGCTACAGCCAAATAAGTCGTCTTTGTAAGCACAAGAAGATTACATATCCAACGAACTTGGTCAAGTTTTAAACGCTGTCCTTCTTCCCAAATGTCATGTTTGACCTTTAAAAAATGTGTATTAAAAATCAGAATTCTGATTTTCGAAACCAAAGTCCAGATTTATCAGAACAGAATTCTGGCCACAAAAACAGGAATTCTTCTAATGTCTCAACCCTTCCCTTTAGAATCCAGTTGTGGTTTTAAAAACCAGAATCAGTATTTATCAAACCAGAATTCTCGTATAAAAAATAGAATTCTCATTTTACGGAAGCAGAATTCAGATTTAAAACATCTGAATTCTGACTTTTAAAGCCAGAATTTTGACGTTTAAAACCAGAATTCTGATTTATACAACCAGAATCCAGACGCATGAGAAAAGTTTCTGGTATATTAATGACCAGAATTCTGAGACTTTTTAAACAATTCTGATTTCTAAAAACCACGAGACTCTGATTCTTTAAAACAAGAATACATACATTTCAAATCGCAATTCTGATTTACCAGAATTAAAATATTAATTCAGATTCTTAAAAACCAGAATTTTGATTGAAAATCAGAATTATTGTGTATTAAAACCAGAATTGAGATACCTAATTCTGATTTTTAAAAACCAGAATTTGTTATGTTAAAAAGCAAAATTCTGATTTCTAAAACCAGAATTTTCGATTCTCTAAAATCAGAATTTGCGATGTTAAAAATCAGAATTCTGTTTTTATAATAAAAAAACAACAATTAAACCTCATCCCAAACTTTGCTGTCAAACTTTTGAATATTCTTAACAGCTTCCTCAGCGGTCTGAACATTTGGTGCTTGCATCAATTTCTTCTTACATTCCTCATCCCCAAATTTCTCAGCCATTTTATACCAATAAAAACGCTCAGCAGATTTATGTTCAATACCTTCCTTGTCTCTAATAGTAACTTCAAAACGAAGACTTAATGGGTCTGAAAATTGAAAGGGGAGATAAAATGAAAATGTTAGAGAAATAGGAAAATAAATGGCAAAATAAATTAAAGGTCGGATCCCCTTATCATAAATCAGAAGAAAAATCAAAAACAAAAAATACAAGACTCAAATTAGGGAAATCTCAGATCTTCTGACCATCTAGAAGTTATTTTGACTATAAGAGGTCGTGGTTTGTTTGGAGGTCTACGTAGAAGTTATGTTGTTGGACAAAAAAGAAATCGTTCAAGAGGGAAAGATCAATGGCAATAAATACTGTCAGAAGGTCACTGAATCGGTATCTACCTAGTGACATGGGCTACCTGAGTTACTTTCACCAAAAACTCAAACCTAACCTGATTCCTAAACCCAGCCTGATTCCCCTCCCCTCCCTTAAACTTGAAAAAAATTTTTTTAATAAAAAACCATGTATTCCTCCAATCAAATAAAAGTCTCGATTAAGATCGTCATAGTCATATTCAGATTCCGGAGCTCGCCCATCGTCAACATCAACAAGCTTTTCATTTGTCAATTTGCCAACTTTTTCATTTAAAGTTTTAATTTTAAACTTCATACGGCCATTTTCAAGCTTTAAATTTTTTTAGATAAAAAGAAATATAATTTAAGCAGATTTTAACCATTTATAAGAGGCCAAACCCGATACTAAAAAGCCTTAAAAAATGTGTGCGTTTCTGAAAGGCCTCACCCAACTAAAAAAAAATTTTTTTGAAAGTTCTGGAGATGATCTCAATGCCAAAAATTTTTTAAAAAGTATCCAAAATGAGTGTACATTCAGAAGTCCGACCCAAACCCAAAAAAAAATAAAAAAATTAACCTTCAACTTGCGAATAGCCTTACGCAAACTTTCCTAAAACAAAAAAATATTTTAAAAAAATAAAAACAAATTAATTTAAACCTTTTCGTTCTCCAGCAAGATGACTGCATTACGAACCAGCATTGCATCTTGCTTGATTATTGCAAGCTGAAAAAAAATCATGGTAATAGTTTATTTTTTTCTTTAGATCCCCCTTATTTTAAAACGGAATAAGTGAGATAAACTAGCAATAAGACTAGGGTTGCCAGCGCGCTTGAACCGAAACTCGAAAGATCGAGCAAGCCAAGGCCTTCCAGCTCGAAAACGAACCGAAAAAACCCAAGTCGAAAAAATGCACCAAACGTCGGCTCTAACGAAAACGGCAACCCTAAATTAGACGCCTAAAAATTGAGAGAAAAATGGGGCACTCAAACTGAACTATTATTTCAGTACAACTTCTAACCCCATAACAACTTTTCCCCAAACCTTTCCACCAAAAATTCGCTTAATATTTTTATACTTAAATTTCAACAACCTCGTTTTGGATGTTCACATTCACCGCCATACTGAAGTCAAATTCTTTAAAATTTCAAAATTTAAATTTGTAAAATTTCCTGAAAAAAAAAAGAAAAATTAAAATAGAATTAAAATTGAAATTGTTTTCCACACAAACAAAGGAAGGAATTTACACTATTTCCCATCGAACGATTATAAAAATCGATTTATTTTTTTACAAAAAAATTTATTTAATAACTCATTCTGTTGTGGCATTGAAAAAGAGAAAATTAAATTTGCCAAAAAATGACATTTTGTCCCAAAAACCAACTAAGTGACATTTGGTCCCACAATCGATTAAATTACATTTTCCCCAAAATCAAAATTTTCTACATCCCCATAATGCTTACTAATTCGTCAAGAAATCCCCCTTCCTTACCCCATCACTTTATCCAAACTTGTATAGTTTGGTGTAGTTGGATAGATCCCATTTTTTCACACTAGAGGGGCCGAGGTTCGAACCCTTTTGGTGGAAAACAATTTTAATTTTCACAAAAAATAAATTTTAAAATTAAAAAACAATGAAAAATGAACAGAAAAAATTTTTCTTTGGTCAAAAAACCAAATTTCATAAAAATTTAAAAAAAATAAATTAATTAACTTTTTATTAGTCAAGCACTTTTTTTAGCAAATTAAGAAGCAAAAAAAAAGAAAAAAATTTTAACAAAAAAGAGTACATAATTAATGCAAAATTAGTTTTGTGCAATAATTAATTTCAAAAATATAGAATTCGAGGATATATAATTTATTAAATATAATATAAGGTTGCGTCAGAAAACTTCAAATTTTTGCGGACAAAAAACTTGCGGACAAATCAACTGCCTTATTTTTACTTTGCAAATAAAATTTTTATGGATATTTAGGAAGGGTCTAAAACAATAAAAATTTGCGAATAAATTTTTGCGGACAAATCAATTGCACTTAAAAAGCGAAAAAAATTTTTTCTAATTTTTGCGGACAAAAAACTTGCGGACAAATAAACCTCATTTTTTCCCTTGCCTTCAGACACATTGGGACATTTATAAAGGTTTTCTTAACATATTAAATTTTTAATAAACCCAAGAAATTTAACAATTCATTATTGTCAAAAAATATTTGCGGACAACTTTTTGCGGACAAAAAATTTTTGCGGACAATCAATACCCTCATCTTTCCCCCACCCACAAACCTCATCTTTCCCCCACTCTTTCACATTTTAAAATAAATCCAAGGTTTGTTTAATTTTTATGGGAAACCATAACAACTTCACTTAATTTGTCCCTTAAAAAATATTCATGACGCAACCCCTTCAAATAATTTGGAAGAAAAAAAATTTTTTGCGGACAAAAAAATTTGCGGACAAAAATTAAAAAGTCAAAAAATTTCAATCTCCTAAAACCTTTCCTCTCAAAAAATAATAAAACCTTTATCAAAATTCTTTTCACTCAGTCTTTTTAGTTTTTAACAAACTCGAATCTCCTTCTCCTCCACCTCCTTCTTCTTCCCCATCACTAACTTCACGAATATCATCAACACCATTATTTACCGATTTAATTGCAATTTTAAGTAAAATATAAGTCCAAAAGAAGTGAAGAATTAGCAGAAAGCACAAAATTAAGAGAAAAACACGTGGAATAATTGGTCGTTGTAATAAATTTCCCCATCTATAAAAATTTAAAAAAATATTTAAAAAAAAATTATTAAATCTTCAGGACGGCCGTGTAGTTGACCATCCTCTCCCGTTTTGAAAAGACGCAGAAATTCGAATAAATTTTGAGATTAGAGCAGACAACAAGACGAGTCACTGACCGCATCCGACTCCTAGACAGTTTTTCTGCGTCTTTTCCAAACGAGAAAGTGGTCAACAAGACAGACGCCCCGAAGAGAGACATATAATCCAGTTAGACGAAAAATTGCCGATCTCTATCAAAAACAGCAAAAGACCATTAAACAACACTTTTAGACCCCAAAAATATTTTTAAAAAATATTAAAAATTCAAAAAATTTAAATTAGGTCAAGACTCATTACGGTCAATTTTTAAAAAACAACAAAAAACTAACGATATCGACTCCTAGCCTTGGACATCCCAAAATTATTTTAAAAATTCTTAAAAATACAAAAAAATTAAATTAGGTCAGAACTAGGGGTGCCAGTAAATGAAAAAAATTTTCCAGCCGCAATCCCAGAAAACTACGCAATTTACGCAATCCGCAATTGTGGACACCCCTGGTCAGGACTTATTTCGGTCAAATTTTAAGAACAGCAAAAAATCATTGAATATCAATCCCAAGCCTAGGAAACCCCAAAAATATTTTTTTAAAAATTCCTAAAAACACAAACCGATAAGATTCCTGTATTAATGTTGGTCCATCAAAAATCATACATCGAAGCATTACAAATGGAAAATAAAAAAGTCGAGTTGATATCCAAACAAACATAAAAACACTAAAGTCAATGGTTACAGCTTTGTCCCAACCAGCATAGCGAAATAGTTTTCCAAGTTCTCTAAAAAAAGATAATTTTTAGTGAAAAAATGGTGGTCTGAATTGGAATTCTTTATCGATGTTTTTTCGGTGCCATGATAAGCTAACAGCTCTGGTTTATTTTATGAGTTTACTAAAAGTTTATGAGTTCAGTGAAGCTCTATGAGGCTGGTTATTAGACTCAAAAAAGTTCACTGGACTTATGTCATTGAACTTATAAAAATTCAATGAACTAATAAAAGTTGACTGGACTCATAAACCAAACCAGAGCTACTCCAAACAGTTCTTAAAAGATCTTAGGCAATTAATCAGAACCTGACCGCCTTGGAAGAACTGATAAAAAACCAGAAACGGATAGGACATTTAATCAGACGAAACATGAGGATCGGAACGAAAAGATCCAAAATAAAATCCCCAAAAAAATTTAAAAAACCCTACAAGAAAATATCCGCACAGTCATGGATCAAAAGAATCATGGATCCAAATCGTACAAAATTTACGGTGAAACTCATAGCCAATAGAATAATCGTAGCCATATGATGCAAAGCCATTTCAATGTGATCTGATCTTTTTACATCAAAAGTCAAAATGCTTAAAATTTGGGAAATTTAAAAATTTTGAAAAATAGTAAAATAAACCTGAATATTAATGACCAATAAAATCCAGTTTGAATGACATAATACCACCAGACGGGGCTGAAAAGGATAAAAATTTAGAACGAATATAAGAAAAAGTTAGATATTTCAAATGGGAGCAGAACAGTCATCGCAAGCCGAAATGGGAGAGGAAATGAGAGTAGGCTAGTTTACGCCAAAGACCACTCCTCTCCTCATAAAAAATTTTCATTAACCATGTGACTGACTTGACCCAACTTTTATAAGCCTAGTTATAAGTTCGCCAGTCATCGCGAGCTCAGTTTACGTCAACGACCCCATCCCCTCCCTTCCTTCCAAAAATTTTCCTTGATATGTGTCTGATTTGCCCCAAACTTTATAGGCCTAGTTATAGGCTCTACTATAATGCGTTAAATTTGACTATACTCAATGTCAGGATAGGATGACAAAATTTATTTTAAAAGAGTTGACGATTCTTGAACCTTCGGATATCCAGAACCGAACCAAAGTATCTTAAGTTTGTTTCCGAACCGATAACCCCCTTGGCCCCCGCGAAAAAAATACTGGCTACGGCGATGCCTGAGACTCCCAAAAAAATTAGCATTCAAAGAGAAATACTAAAAAAAAATACGTTGGCAAATGATGATTAGGCCAGTTCCTAAAACTTTCGGCAATAAAAGTAAATTGTGGTTGATCACGAAGAATGTAAAAACCAGCAATACAAATACAAGAATAATAAGTAAAACGCCATGCAGTCTCTGAAACCCGTTTGAATTTGCTACGACCGGCAAAACCAAAAAATAAATGCGAGTGGATTCGTTGTAAAAGAGTACCCTGCAAATTATGTAAAAAATGGCATGAACTCCACAAGCATGTAAGTCAATTGGCGAGAACCCCAAAAGTTAAATAAGCCTAGGTGGTAGAGATGTCCGAGACTCTTGGTCTTGGTCTTGGAACCAAGACTTTTCTTGGTTTTTTTTCGGTCTTGGTCTTGGTCTTGGGGTGTTTGTCTTGGTCTTGTCTTGGTTTTATTTTTTGGTCTTGGTTTTTTGGCCTTTTTGGACCTAGTGCTTGGCCATCCAAAATCCTCAAAATTTTCGCCTGCGGCGCGGAAAAGGGAAGAAATCAGGCTTTCTGAGCTCCAAAATTCAAAAATTTTCGCCTGCGGCGCTGAAAAAGTCAAATTTTTTGGTCTACGGCCTTCTAAAATTCGCAAAATTTTCGCCTGCGGCGCAGGAAAAGAAAGATTTTTGGCTTCTTGGCCTTCATAATTCCCAAAATTTTCGCCTGCGGCGCTGGGATGAGAAAATTTTTGGCTTAAAATTCCTGCAAAATTGTAAAAATTTTCGCCTGCGGCGCAAAAAGATAGGGATAAAATAGAGGATGGATATCAGCAGCCACCATCACTCAATCACCCAGGTCCCCAACATCATAATATTCCTTTTGATCCCAGTTAATCCACTTAAATTCCCCTTTAAACCTCAATATCCTCCTTAATCCAAGGGCGTAGCCAGGGGGTTGATTTAGAGGAGGGCCTAACGTTGGGTGTCGCCAAAATTTTGGCTTTACACTTTGATATCACTAATATCCCTTTAATCCACCCAAATCCTCTGAAATAATATATCTCATTGATTTTCCACCCGAATAAATTCCCCAAAATTCTTTGAATTTCGCATAGATTTTTCGAAATTATAGGTGATTGTGCTAAAGTTGACTGTGATCGTGTCAAAATAACAAAAAATAAACCAAAAATTTGACCTATGGGACCTAAAAATTGTCTCGAGTTTTGTATTATTTTTGGTCTTGAGTCTTGGAGTTTTGGTCTTGGTCTTGAGTCTTGGTCTTGGAAAAAATTTTGTCTTGGGTCTTGAGTCTTGAGTCTTGGAAAAATTTTGGTCTCGGACATCTCTACTAGGTGGACCTTTCTAGCTTTAGTGGACTTTGTAATTCGAGGTCTTAAATTTGAAACAATCAACGAATCAGCCAACCTAAGCCGAATACTGACAATGACCTTAAAAAATTGGGTACAAGGAAAAAGCCAGATATCCGAAAAATACCTGGACAAAGTAAAAAACCCAGACCATGTCCCATACCCAACTCGACCTCGAATTATAGTCCTTAAATTGAGAGAACAACATATATACCCGTAGTATAAGGGCACAGGCCCGTAGCCAGGGGGGTGAGGGGGGAATTCCCCCCCCCCCCCCGAAATGGGAAAAAGGAAAAAATTTGGGGAAGGGCTGGGGCAAAAAAAGTGAATTTTTTTGGCCTACGGCCTCTGAAATTTAAAAAATTTTCGCCTGCGGCGCTAAAAAAGGAAGAAATCTGGCTTCTTGAGGTCCAAAATTCAAAAAATTTTCGCCTGCGGCGCTGAAAATAAAAATTCCCCCCCCCCCCCCCCCCCCCCCCGAAAAAATCCTGGCTACAGGCCTGTAAGGGCAGCATGTTGGATTTTGATTGACTGTCGTCTCCCTATTAGATAGACCAACTTCGTACTAAAGCCTATCCATATTTATAACAGTAAAACCATAAAACCCTCCAAAAGCAAACCTTTTTATTATCCATCCAACCAGAAAGATAACCAACAGGAACAAAAATAAAAGCTTCAACTAGTATTCTCAGCAAAGTAATTAAAATCCCAATAAGCAAAGTATTGCCAAATTCATGAAATTGTGGATATTGGATTCCATTTTTTGAACGTAAATCTGACCAAGTAACATTTTCGGGTAACCAAAATTGTTCAGACCAAAACCAGTTTAGCGAGTTGAGATTACTCATTTTTTAGGCAAAAAGTACCTCCCTTTCCTAGAAGAAAAAAATTGAAAATTTTGAAAAATGAGCGTTTATTCAAGAAAAGGAACACGCCCAAGTAGGCGCGCGGCCATAACGGCGCAAAGCCATAATTTGCTGGAAAAGTTCCGGCTCTTATCAATTTTGATACCAACCTCTCTAGCTCGATGAGAGGAATCATTTAATACTAAATTTGGTAAGATTCGAAAATCTCGAAGCTAGTTATGGCTTTGCGCCGTTATGGCCGCGCGCCTACTTGGGATGTACCCTTAAAAATATTCAAGAAAATCAACGAGACTCTAGAGGACATTTTAGAAATAAAGGAAGAGAAGAAGAAATGGAAAATAGAGAAAAAGAAGGAGAAAAAGAGGGAAAAAAGAACAGAATTATTGATTTGATGGCGCGTCCCTTTCCGCGATTAAATGGAGTATTTTGTGAAAACAGAGTGGTACATAGCCGCGATTAAACGGGACACTGAGTTGAAACTAGTTGCGAATAGACGGGGCGGCGTTCATGAAAAGAGTGTAGAGATTAGACAACAGAGAAAACAATAATTTCTGAATGGACATTTTGCCAATTCCATATTTTGCCAATAAGAGTAAAACTCTACATTTTGTCAACAAGCTTGATGACAAAAAGTAAATTTTTACACTTATTGGCAAAATATGTGTTTGCTAAATTTTAGCCTTGAATATTTTTCTTTTGAGTCTGCAACAAATTTTTGAGTTGCTTGCGAATAGTTGGACTCAGTCTTAAGAATTTTTTGAATTTTAAAATTTGTTTTCAATTTTTTTATTTTTTGGTTAGCGTTGTTTTTCCCTATCTTTTAGATTTTATAGAAGTATTGTTGCAGATTATTTATTTATTGAATATGGACAAAGAATTGAAGGAGGTTAACGAACAAATTTCTAAATGTGAGTTGATTTTCTGTATGTAAGTCGAAGGTTGATTGATCTTCCTTGATTTGGGAGGGGTTTTTCTATTGTGTTTTCCCTACTAATGATCGAAATTTCAAGATTTCTCTGGGTTCGAGCTTGACTTGTTTTTCGAATCAACTGACTTTGAAGACGTGTGGGCAGGGTGGTAGAGATTGATTGGGCCCGGGCTAACATGGGCCGGATTTCCTAACTGTCTTGGGCCTCTGTACAAGGATCATCAACTCATCAGGCTTGTTAAATTCATTGGACGAGGCTCTGGATGCAAGAGAAAACATGGGTATTTGCCCAAACTTAGCCCGACTTTCCTTTGACCTTACCAGATTGATTTTTTGATTTTAGAATAATTTCACCCAATTCAACTTCATTTTAAGTTTAAACTTTTTTCCAGTAACGAATGAAGTCGCCAAAGATTTCGAGATGAAATATCGTGATTGTATACCCGATTTTCTGGTGCTAGCTGATTGTCAGGACAAAATCAAGAAATCGATTGCTTATGGAGATGAACAGCTTAAATTAATTGAAGATCAAATATCTATTGTTGAGAAGACTTTGGATACTTCAAAGGTTTGAATTTTAATTAAAGGAACTCGATTTGGTAGCCCCTTAAGAGCATAGCGCCCTTAATAACAGGGATGTCTTGGTCACACGATACACGATATCCAAGAAATTCTCCAAAAGCCAATCCAAACCCTTGACTTTTTTCGGTCCGAACTTTAGTTCCTAGGAAAAATCTTGGACCAACCCGACTTTTTTCCTTTACCCATCACATCCTTGCTGGAGAGTCATGTTCTAAAAAGAGCTGAAAGTGCCTATTTTCCTGATTTTTTTCCAAAAGCAGAGTTTTCTACTTTTGCCTTACAATTAGGATAAATCTGACAGCACCATTATGTACGTATTAAGGGACCCACAGCCTCTCCTTTGTGAGTGAGGGGACCAAATAAAGTACCCGAAAACTCTGTATTAGGGAGAAAAAATGGAAGAGTAGGCATTTTTCACCCCTTTTTACGGGCCATTACTCTTAAGGATTACCTCTTCTAACAAATTTAATTTTGTAGAATGATTGTCCTGATGCCAAGAAGAACATTATCGAAGATTTTCTTAAAAGATTGGCCACTCTTAGCGAAATTGAGAAGTGTCTGACTGCTCTTTCTTTGCTTCCTGATAGTTTGGAAGTGGATGTTTTGGCAAATGTTCGGATGATTTTACGACTGGATGAACTCACAAAGGCACTGGAATCGGTATTTTTTATAGGGTTTTTAGGGAAGGGGGAAGGCGGGACACCTCCAAATGGTCACTCATAATTCAATTGTTTTTTTGTGCCAGGAAAACCCCAGTCCAAGTAAGAACCCGGAAAGTTAAAAAATTGCCTGAGCCTGGACTCTTGGTACAGGAAAACCCCAGATCTTGATCCAACCAGGCCGATCTCTAGTGTGCACCTTTGGTTTGGAAAAAGATTGTACTTTATACGAGTTGAATCCAAATAACCCAATGTCGGTTAGATAATCCAACGCTAGACCTAACTAACAATAAGCAAGAATTTTTTCACCCCAAGGGTTTACATCCTTCACTCGAGTCAACCTCAGTTTTAGAAAATATACTACAAATCGAGATAACTCAAAAACACCGGTCCTCAAGGGCGTAGCCAAGGGGGGGTGGGCTTCTGGGGCTAAAGACCCCCCCCCCCCCCCCCCCCCCCCCCCGAATGGGGAAAGGGGAAAAATTTGAGGAGGGGATTGGACAAAAAAATGAATTTTTTTCGCCTATGGGCGTCTAAATTTAAAAATTTTCGCCTGCGGCGCTGAAAATAGAAGAAATCTGGCCTTTTGACCGCCAATTTTCAAAAAGCCCCCCCCCCCCCCCCCGAAATTGACCCCCTGGCTACGCCCTTGCCGGTCCTTTAAGATTGACCAAAATTTCCAAAACTTTTGACTAAAAAAACTCTTAAAATTAGGAGACAACAAATATGGAAGCTGTAAATGAACGTATTTTGCCTTTACTTTCCATGGAAATTCAAACAAGGAAGACGGAAATAATTCATCAATTGGACGAGTTTTTCAAATCTTTTCTCAAATTTGAAGACAAAAATCGCGTTTTGCCAGCAACTATGCTTATGAGTATTTATTGTCCGAAAACGAATGCTGCGAGTGATGTAAGGAATTTTTTATTTTTTTGTGGGTTGGATTGGAATCTTTTTTGGGCATTACTGGGATGAACTAGGTGAAAGTGACCAACCGATGACCAAGGAGGGAAATACTAAATTAAGTTAGAATCGATTGTGTCACTTCCAACATGTGAAGAATAATAGTGATTGATTTGAAGAAAAGGCTAACTTGGAGTAATTAAGAATAACTTGATTATGAACCCTTCCAACCCGATGAAGGATAGTAGTTTATCCATTCGTAATCTCTAATATTTTTGGATTTTTTTGTTTAGCCCCGCTTATTATAACATTTTTTGGTTCCTTCTATTTTAAAAGCGTATAAAAAGATTTTGGGCTTTAAAAAGTTATTCATAGGCCACATGTTTTTTTCTTGAATTTTCATTCTTTCTTGACCACTTAAGACATTCTACCTTTTAAAAATTTAATTTTTAATTTTTTTAAAGAATTTTTCTGCAATGCTATTATTGAACACATTTTCTGCACATTTGGATTCTTTTGTTGATTCTGTTTGGGAACAATTTTGTATGAAATTAATTTATTCTGATGAGAAAATAGACCAAATCCTTAAAATTACAAAAGACAAATTTTCTGAACATTCAATGAATTTTGAAGTGAAAAAAGATGTTTTAACTACAAAGAAGCCTGATCCTAAAAATGTTTTTAGGTTTGATTTTTTTTATTTTTTTATTGACTGGGAGGAAGTATATGCGGAAGTAAGTTAGGGGTTTGACCTTTTTTGCCTGACGGGCTCTTCTTCGGTTATGGCCGGGGACGGGCTCTTCCCCGGTTAAAAAATATTTTTTTCTCACCCTTTTCCAACAGACTTCCTTTCCTTGTTCTAAACAGACTTCCTTCCAGCTATTTTTGAGGGATTTTGTCTTGTTTTTTGTCCTTTTTTATAGACTTTTCCCCTATCTGTGCAGTTCCTTCTTAAGTTTTTTCTTGTGACTTGATCTTGAATCAAGTATTAAGATATTTTAATTAAGCAATTTTAATATTTTTTCAAAAAAAATTTTCAGTTCACTTACAACATTTTTTGAAAGTCTTTACCAAGCTTTGGGGAAAATTCGTATTGAAGGACGTCCATTTACCGAATTTTTTGGTGATTGTATTTGTGTTCGTTTAATCTCTGCACTTGAAAAAGGCTGTCTAAATCCAGCAATTCCATTCGATAAGGATAAGGCAACTATTGTTTATGGTGAACTTAATACTCTTATTACAGAGTTTCTTCAGTTTATGAAGGTTTTTTTAATTTTTAAAAAAATTTAAGAGTTAATAGCAATCTTTTTTTACACTCATGAAAATCCGCAAATTTTGTCCTTAAGTATTTTTATCTAAAAATTGTTCTTGTTAATTTTTCTCTTTTCCATTGCATATGCAATCTTTTTTTTTGACAATATTATTTGCCTGACTTGCGGAAAAAATTTGCTGACTTGAGAATTTGCAAGTTTTATCAGCAGATATTTTCTGGCAAAAATATTATTGATTTTCTTTTCTCATTTAAATATGATCATTTGTCAAAATTACCAATGAGACTTAAGGATTCGGGGTTAAAATTTTCTTTTGGGTTTTTGCAACAACTTTTTAGTTCCCTCAAATTTACTATCCCAAAAGAAATTTTAAATTTTTTTTATTTTTCAAGGACAAGGCTTTCTTTACTCCATCAGCAGATGTTTTGTTTGAAAATTTCTTCAATAGTTTTGATAGAATTACAATTGATCGGCGTTGTCATCATTATATAACTACAGCAAGGGAATTAATTAAAAAGCCTTATGTTGATTTGATTGAGGTTTTTATTTTTTATGCTTGGGTTCTTTTTAAGTATTTGGGAGTAAATTAGGGAAACTAATCGAATCTATGACCTTTTGTACCAAACCTGTAACCTTTCTTGCTTTGCTATCGAAGTAGTGCCACTTATTTATTTTCTGTAGTAGGGAGAGTCGGGTTGAGAATAAAACTGGGTCGAGTCCTCGAATTGAGTTTTTAAGTGTTTCTTCTGATCGGATTTTGAATAAAATAAAGCCTTTGGTAGGTAACCCATCCCTTGGCTCCCTGCTTGTTTATTGGGTCTTCCCGTACTGGACAGTTTGAACTGGCTTTTTTTAATTAAAGATTTGGCTCATTTTTTTGAAAAATATTTTTATAATATTTTTTTAGGTTGGCTCTTCCACTGATGATTCTGAAGAAGGAGCAGCTGAGATTGTGGCAAAAATGAATGAGCGCCTTAAAATCACATCTGAACAACCTCATCAATCTAAAGATGTGCATTGGGATAAGGACCATACAAAAATTTATCAATTTCATAAATGCAAAATTAGGTATATATTTTTTTAATTTTGAAAAATGATTGAGGGAATTGAGGCGAGATTTTAAGTAAGATAACCTTTTGGGCTGAAAAATTCGTTCTTTAAATGTGACGGTTCTTAAATTGAGGATATGGCTTGTACAATTCTCCCACCTGATAGCCATCTTGTTTTAGGCACTATTTGGACAGCTCTCCTATCCAATAGCTTTCTAACTTTAGGCTATTTTTTAAGCTGCTTTCCCACCCGATAGCCATCAAAATGAAAGATAGCTTCATTTTTACACAGCTCTACCTTCCGATAGAGCTGCCTAAAAAGGGAGGCAATACTTTAGGCTTTATTTGGGCAGCTCTTCTGCTCGATATCTACAGCCATTTAAAATACATATCTTAAGATTTTTGGGTCATTTTACCTTGATGTTCGACTATAAAATTCTAAAAAATTATTTTTTTTCAATTTTCAGTGTTTCCACCTTTGATTTGGTCAATCTCGTAATAGAAATTTTAAAATCTGCCTCAGATTCTACCACAGATCCGGAAGCTTGTCGTTTGGTCAATACGGCTCGAAATGTTTTGGATATGTTTGTTAATACTGCTGCAGATTATCATATGAAAGCTTTAACTTCTGTTCCTCAAATTGCTGGTATTTTTTTACAAAAATTTTTTTCAATTTTTCCCTTTATATTTTTTCGCTGATGTCTTCTATCGTTTAATATTATTCAAAAAAGGTAAAAATTGAACTACTGCCCATTTTTGGTGTTATTTTTGCGGACTTTTTCAAAAAAATATTTCCATTCTTTTTTATAATTTGTGATAATTTCCTCCATTGTTTGCAGGCCCTTAGCCAGGATTCTTTTCGGGGGGCAAAATTTTCTGTGCCGAATTTTTGGCGGCGAACCCCTGGCTACGGGTTTGATATTTAGCATTTAATGATAAACGAGCTCGGTCTTTTTTTAGTGTTTTTATATGCCCAATATCAATATTTTTTTATCAAAGCATTTAAATAAATATACAAATTGCGAGGGATGTGAAGGTAAAAGTCTGCAATATTAATAAGTCGCCGATAAAAGTCCACAAAAATTGGCACTTTTTTGTCTTTACCTTTCGATGAGCGCTCTCCAAACCCCTATCCAAAATTACAAAAAATTCTTCTCTTTATTATAGCTGTATTCTTCAATAACTGTCACTACATTTGTCATCGTTTAATGACTTTGCCTGTTGATATTATGCAAAGTATGCTTAAAATTTCTAAGGTTTTTTTTGTGAATTTTTTGATTTTTAAGTACTCTCATAAATTTTAGATTTCTCAAGAAAATTGTTCATTTACCGATATGTTTACCGAATTGCGTACTTTGGGTGCTAAAACGTTGGAAATTCATATAATTCATTCAAGACGTTCAATTTCTACAACAATTGGGGAAGTCGACATTTTTGTAAATTTAAGAGATGATAAACAACACAAACATTGTATTAAAATTTTGCAATCTTGTATTCTTCAAATTCAACAAATTTCTAATGTTTGGGTTGAGGTTTGCAATTTTTTTATTTTTTTGTGGGGAATAGTGTCGTTCGGTCCTTCTCTCACTTTTTTTAAATTGGGGAAAGGAACCCAATTTTTTTCAATTTCAGTCTTTTTTAGGGGGTTTAGTGGTCACTTTAGGATTCTGTGACAATGTTTGAGTAAAATCCCAATGATTCAATCGAGCTTCTTATTCTCGCTGTAGCACAATTTTTTATTTGGGTGATCACTGGTACAGGTTCCTCCCCCCACTTTTTTTCAATTTTAGTCTTTCTTAGGGGTTTTAATGGTTACTCCAGGTTTTGTGACATTGTTTGGGTTTGAGACTAGGATTGGCACGAAATTCCTTCCTGCGGGCTTTTTTCGACCCGAAATCCGAACTGATTTTTTCCTCAACCCGTGACATTTATTGTCGAAACTTATTAGTCTGTGATCATCCATTAACTTTTTTCGATGGAGGAAACAATAGACACTATTTTACCTTTTTTTCAAAATATTTTCAAAAAATAAATATTTTTTTAAAGGTAATGCCAAAATTTGTTTTAGCCCAATCTGTGGGTGCAATTGTATCTCATTTGTTGGCTATTCTTTCTGATTTTATTTTGAGCAAAGAAGATATTGCTTCAATGGATGCAGAAATTATAGCTAATTTACTTGAGTCTTTAATTGATGAATGCAAAAAGATTTTGATGGTTTTTTTTTAATTTTTTGGATTCTAAGTGGCCCTCTTTAGTAATCCTTTAGCCTGACCATTTATTTTTTTTTAGAAAAATTCTGACATTGTCTTCTTTTTCATAGGTAAGATTGGACCTAACAGTCAAACGTTTTTTTAAATTTGCTTGGCTGCTGGGTGGGTAAACTACTTGAACATTATCCCTTTTTGAGATATCCATTTCATTATAAGTTAAGATTTTCATCTCCAAATTTGGTCGAATTATGTATTTTCACCGGGCCGATTAAATAGTGTAGTCATACAAGATTTTTAAAAAATTTTTTTGTTGAAGGGGGAGGGTGAAATAGGGGTAAAATAATAACTCTTTTATCTTAAGTTATTATTCTATAAGCGGATATATCCTTTTGTTTTTAAGATGATTTTTTTTCTTTTTTCCTTCCTTTTATTTTAAATTTTTTCTAAAGATTTTTATCTTTTAAATTTTATTTTATTTAGATTGACGATAAACCAATGATTCAAAAAGTTTGTGAAGAGAGTTATTATATGCTTATTGAAATTATATTTTGTTTGAAGAGTAATTTATCGGTAATTTTTATTTTAAAAAATTTCTAAAAAAATTTTCAATTTCAAAGGAAATTGGACATCGTTGGTGTCAAGGAAAAGGGCCGCTTGCAAATTGGTTAACTCCACACCAAGTGAAACAATTAATTCGAGCTTTATTCCAAAATACTGAGAAACGGGCGCAGCTTTTGACGCAGATTAATTAAAATTTTGTTTGAAATATCTTTACCTTAAATGCTTTAATGAAACCTCGTAGGCTTTAGTTTTTCAATAGGTTTCTTTTATTAAGTTTTTATTAGAGAGGGTTTTTGGGCTTCTATTGGAAAGAGGGTTGTGTTTATTTTTCAACATTTCTGGGCTTCATTTAGAGAGATGGGACGTTTATTTTCCAATAGCCTTTTTGGTTAGGCTTCTATTAGAGAGGAGTAGACTTCTATTAGAGAGGGTTTTTACTGGGCTTGTATTAGAGAGAGGGGAGTAGGCTTCTATTAGAGAGGATTTTTATTGGGCTTCTATTAGAGAGAGGTGGGCTTCTATTAGAGAGGGTTTTTACTGGGCTTGTATTAGAGAGAGGGGAGTAGGCTTCTATTAGAGAGGATTTTTATTGGGCTTCTATTAGAGAGAGGTGGGCTTCTAATAGAGAGGGTTTTTACTGGGCTTCTATTAGAGAGAGAGGACATTCATTTTTCAATGGCTTTTTTGGTTGGACCTCTATTAGAGAGGTGTGTTTGATTTTTCGATTGCGCATCCTTGGATGAACTTTTATAAATATGGGCGTTTAATAGGGGGGCTTTAATTAGAGCATTTACGGTATGCTTATAATTTATTTTATTTACTCATACAGTCGAGTCTTGTGGTGAGATTTGACTGTTTTATTCGATTATGGCCTTAAAATCTCATTTGATTAAATTTAAATATTAAAAAATTTATTTTTTTTGTCAATTTTTAAAGGGTTTTTTGAAGCCTTTTTTTATTTTTAAATAATTTTTAAAATTTTTTAGACACTTTTTTTGCTTTAGAAAATTTTTTTCCTACAAATTTTAATTCAATTTTAACCTTTATTTGTTCAAAAAATGCATGTTCAAGGAGGAGAAAATGTTAATACTTTTGACATTCGAATTTTCTTTTCCAATGGAGCAGGTTTGTTTTTTCTCTTTTTTTGGATGTTTAAGAGGTTTTATTTGGATGGAGTTTTTTAGGGTTAGTTTCCCACGGAACGCGTACTTATTTCATGAAATTACATTTTGTTTTGGTCCCGTATTTTTGGGAGATTGACTCGATCTCAGATTTTTTGTGAGCTTATTAGAGCCCTAGTGTTTATTTTTTATACATATCTTTGACTGGGCTACTATTACCATTATCGGGTAGGGTTTGTCGATCATGATTTCGGGTGAGATTCCAATGCAGCTTAACTTTCATCTTCTCTAGCGTTTAAGGAAACGAGAATCCCCCTAAAATGTAATTGAAATTTGTTTGTTTTTTTAGCTGTCCAAGCTGTTTTTGAAAAAAATTCTACAGCAAATGATTTGATTCATTTAATGATTAAACACTTGGAAATTGACGATATTACTGATGGGGAAGAAGCTTTGGCTATTTGGCTTGTTTCTCCTCTTTTAGGTTTGTATTTGTTATTTTTTTTTTAATTTTTTAATGAGTGGGAAATGCAATATCGATCTTGATTCTGGTTGAGATTTGAAAAAATAGGGAGTTGTCAAAGGGAGGAAGGGGGAATTGATCAACAAGTACTTCTATTTTCAGTGGGACCCATTTTCTCTTTGTTCTGGGGGCTCCATTCTTCTTTCCTTTTTTGTGTATCTTTCTCCCTAATTGATCCTAGAAAATTCCTCCCTACTAATCCGTACCTATGTTTTGGTCGGGGATCGAGTGTTTTTGGCTTTTCTGATAATTGGCGCTAATGTGGTCTCAAGCGGTTCACCGGCGATACTCGAAGTCAGCGCCTCATTAGTTCCGGTCAAAATTTTTAACAAAAGGAGAATGAAGGGAAAAATGGGGGAAAGGGAATTGACCAACATAACCTCTATTTTTTCTTTTAGAAATTCAACTTAAACCCTGTCAAATTCTCTACAAAATTTACCAAAAATGGCCCGCATTTTTGACTCGTTTTACAAACGCTGAAGACCATGAAATTTTACTTGACGAACCTTTAATAGTTTTGAGAAGAAATGTTTTGTTGACTTTGGACAGAGAAATACAGGTTTTTTTGTTTTGATTTTTTGCATTTTTAAAAGTCCGCAAATTTTGTCCGCAAGTTTTTATTTTAAATATTAAAAAAAATTTTTTTTCCGCAAGTGTTTTTGGAAAAAATTATTTTTCTAATGGGATTTTAGGAGATCCCTTTTTATTTTAGAGATCTTACATCTCTGAAGCTTGAACAAAATTTAGGTAATTAAAAATAGGGTATCCATTATTATCAAATTTTGGGACTTTAGAGGGCCATATCTTAGTCAGATCAAAAAACGGGCAAAAACGGCACAAAAGCTTTGCTAGAAAGGGCGCATTCTCTATCGTCTGAGCCAGGTTTTGACCGTTTTTAGGTCGGGCACCTCGCAACCTCTCCGTGTTAGTTATCTCCTTTCCTAGCAATGCCCAACCAAATTTAAAAGATGTACTTTTATTTGAGTTGGTTTTTTTGTTTAAAAAATTTGATTTTACGCTTCCAAAATAATTTACTAGATTTTTCTTCTCCTTTAGAATTTTATTTTAGAATTTTTAGTTAAAATAAATTTTTGTTGACAAAACTTGCGGACTTTTTGAAAAATAAATTTTTTTTATTTTTAAATTAAAAAAAATTTTTTAAATTGTTTTTTGCTAAAAATTTGATTTTATGCTTCCAAAATACTCCACTAGATTTTTCTTTCTCCTTCAGAATTTTATTTTAACATTTTTTGTTAACTTAAATTTTTGCGGATAAAACTTGCGGACTTTTGAAAAAAAAATAAAAAAATTATTTTTAAATTAAAAAAATTTTTTATTTTCAAAGTTAACAACAAAATATGAAAAATTAGCCCAAGTTTTATATTTTGATGCTAGAGACAAATATTTGTGTGGAAAATATTCTGTGGACATTGAATCTTCTTTAGAATTGGTTGGACTTCAATTGGCTATTGAATTTGGGCCTTGTAATGGAAATTATAATAAAATGATTGACTTGATTTAGTTTGTTTGATTTTTCTGATTATTAAAAAAATTTATTTTTTTATTAAAAATTTTTAGAAATTTTTTTTTAGAAATTTTTAAGAAAAATTTTTGGGGCTGAAAAAACTTTTTATGCCCTTGCCTAGTTAAGATGTGAACGTTTAAAAAACTCCTTTTTATTTAAGGCAAAAATAAACTCTTCCACTCAGTAGCACCGTGGCGCAGTGGAAGCGTGCTGGGCCCATAACCCAGAGGTCGATGGATCGAAACCATCCGGTGCTATTAATTTTTTCTTTGGCTAAAATAAATTTTGGAATAATTTAGAATGATTTTTAAAAAATTTTTGAGGGTGGAAAAATTTTTTTTGGTGGTTAAAAAATTTTTTTATTAAGTAAAAAAATTAAAAAAAAATTTTTTCAGTGACCATTTAAATGAATTAGCCCCTACTTCACATACAAAATTAATAAAAAGTTTTCGTTTATTCGGACTTTCTTTGATGGAATGTAGAAAAGGATTGGAAAATCAAGTTTATGATGAATATAGAGTTGCTTCTACACATTTTCATAATAATCATGCAAGATATGTTCAATTTTTGAAGATTGTGGGGAGTTCTCCAAGGTTTTTTTTTGAAAAATTTTTTTTTTGGATTTTTAAGGGAATTTTGAAAGCTTTAATTTGTCTTTAATTTTAATTTTCTTTCTGATTTTCTATATTTTTGGGAATTAAATGAATAATTTATGTCATAGTTAAGTCGGCTCTGCTCTGGATAGGGTTTTCAAAAAATTTTTTTTGAATGGGTTTTGGGTCAACAAAAATCTGGAGTTTTGTTATTTTTCCTTCCCTGTTGTAACTAACCAAAAATTTATTTTTTTTGTATTTGCGGACAATTTTTTGCTGAATTTTTTTTTATATTTCCTCTTACATTAGTCCTAACATTCATCTAGTCGTTTAAGGATTACCGTATTTCCTATATTAGAGCCCCATGGGGCTCTATTTTTCAACTATCCTCCAAGGTGGGGGTCTATTAAAGGGTGGGGCTCTAATTGAGGGTGGGGCTCTATTTTTCAACCCTCTTTTGAGATAAAATCCCATTTATTAAATATCTATTTCAGCTAAACGTCGGTCGGAAGTTTTGAGATATTTTTTCGATAAATAGAAAAATATCGAAAAATGACCGATATTTTTAGGGTTTTCAAAAGGTAAATTTGGATTTGCTATGATTAAAACTTGATATTGACGGATTAAAAGGAATTTCAAGGGACTTGTATTTGTCATCGATGGATCAAGAAGGGTATAAGTTGATATTATCGAGGCATACCTATAAGCGGACTGTAAGAGATCATGTGAAATATAGGAGGATTAAGGGATATATCAGAGATTTAGATTGAGCAAGAAGGGCATTGTGGATTTGGGGTATTGGAAGTGATATCAAGGGATTTTTTGGAATATGAGATATTAAAGTATTTAAATATATATCGTGGAAATTAGGGTTGGGGTTTTCGAGTCGGCCGAATACCACGATATCCATCAATCCTTATATCCCCCTAATCTTTTAAACATCGATACCCTTTTTGTTCACTTCACTCTTAATTCACTGAAGGGGAAAAAATTAAAAATTAAAAAAAACTTATTTTTCCTCCAATATTTTTATGTGGGGCTGTATTAGGGGTGGGGCTCTAATTGAGGGTGGGGCTCTATTTTTCAACTATCCTCCAAAGTGGGGCTGTATTAGAGGGTGGGGCTCTAACAAAGGGTGGGGCTCTAATATAGGAAATACGGTAATTCAACATATAAAATAAATAAAAATAAAAGGGAAAATAGAGACCTGTGTCCGCAAATAATGTCCGCAACTTTCCATTTTAATTAAAAAAATGTCTTCAAAAATCGTTCGCAGTGTTTGTCCGCAAAAAAATATTTGTCCGCAAAATTTTGTCCGCAAAAAAATATTTGTCCGCAAAATTTTGTCCGCAAATTAAATTTTTTTTTAATTTTTTAGTGTGCATCTTCAACAAGAAATAAATTCAAATTTGGCCAATAAATTTAAAGAGAACTCTTCCTGTATATTTTCTTATCTAAATTGGAAGAAAACAATAATGGACTCTTGTGGTAATTCAAGTAATGGAAGTAGTTGTAGTGGGGGTAGAAGTAATAAAAAATAAAAGTTTTTTTTTCATTTATTTTTTGTCCTTTTTTCGTGTTTGTGTTTTAACCAGAAAAATTTTTTTTATTTCTCCTCAAATTTTTTTAAATTTTTCCCTCTCTCGCCATAAATTCATTTTATTGATAAAAATTGGTCTGATTTTTTTTATTTTTTTAATAATTATTTGTTTTATAATACATTCAATTTTTTTAAAAATTTTTTCTTTTCGTTTTAAAAATTTGGGAGCGTGTTTGTGTTACAATTTTTGCGGACGTCTTTTTTCGCACATTTTCCGTGTTGGTTTTATTTTTCCGTGGGTAGTCAAGTAATCAAAAACGAGTTTAATTTAACGCGTAAATATTTTTTTATTATTTATTATTTACAAGCTGGGATTTAAAAACTAAAAGGAACGAGTGAGAAAATGTCCGCAAAAACTGTCCGCAAAAAAGTGTTTTTAAAAAAGTGTCCAGAAAATCCGCAAGAAAAAATCCGCACAAAATATAATGTCCTCAAAAATGTCCGCAAAAATCCGCAAGAATGATGTCCGCAAAAAAGTGTTTTCCGCAATAATTGTAACCCCCGTATTTACATTTATTTTAATTGCCATTTTTTAATTTTTTTATAAATTTCAGCAATATTTTAAAAATTTAATTCCACCTTTATGAATTGTGAAGAAATTACTTATCAAGTGGATCCATCCATTGCTGAGGAAAATAAGCGTGTATTTATTCTTGGAATTGGAAATCCGCTTTTAGGTTTTTTAAATTTTTTTTTGAATTTTTAAAAATAAAATAAACTTTTAGATAAACAATTGGAGACGGTCGACACTAAATTACACGAAAAATATAATTTGAAGACGGACTCGGCGTCGTTGGTGTTTCCGTGGAATGAACAGCAATTGCTTCCTTTGTATTTTTTTTAATTTTTTATAAGTTGAAAGGGATAGGAGAAAATATTTTAAGAGTCGATTTTACAGGGCTAGGATAAATTCCTTCCAAAAATATAAGAAAATGGAGGAGAAAAGTCCGCAAGAATTGACCGCAAAAATTATCCGCAAAAAAATTAGGCAGGAAAAATGTCCGCAAAAGTTGTCCGCAAGAATTGTCCGCAAAAATTTATTAAATTTGTTTTAAGGAAATTTTGAGATAAAAACGGGAGTCGAACCTACACCTTCCTGGTCCTTTGACTGAATTTCTGATCTCTCTGTCGTTTCTACCTGAGAAAAAAGATGTCTCTTATGGATATTAGGAGTAGGTCGGGTTGAGAAAAGAATTTTGTGTCGCTGAATCAGTTTCAAAATTTTTTCTTCATCGATTTTGAGTGGAAATAAAAGTTCGGGTTTCGGACAACCCTAGCCTATTCATGAGGGAAACCTTAAACCTCTAAAATTCGTTTTTTTAGATTTGCCGATTTGGATGGCCTTAAAGATTCAATAAAATCCATTCCTGGAGGTTCAGCTCAAAATACATTACGTGTCTTTCAATGGGTTTTGGGAGCGATTGGTGGCCCTGTGAGTTTCGGAAAAAAAATTTTTTTTTGAAAAAATTTCTTGGAAAATTTTTGAAAATTTTCGAAAAAAATTTCAAAAATTTTTTTGAAATTTTCTGAAAATTCTTTTAAAAAATTTTTTAAAAATTAAAAAGATAAAAAATGCCGCTGCCTATTTTGGCGCTGTAGGGGATGACAACAACGCCGAACATCTAAAATTGCTGGCAACAAAAGCTGGTTTAGTTGTTTGGTATCAATTAATACCTCAACAAAAGACGGGGGTATGTGCTGTTTTGGTTTATGGAACGGACAGGTTTTTTTTGAAAAAATTTTTTCTGAAAAAAATTTTTTTTACAAAATTTTCTGAAAAAAATTTTTTTTTAAATTTTTTTTGAAATTTTTGAAAAAATTAAAAAAAAATTTTTTTTTGAAAATTTTTTTTTTTATTTTAAAAATTCAAAAATTTTTTTTAGATGTCTAGTTGCTCACTTGGGTGCAGCAGAAAAATTCACTTCGAAACATTTGGACATTCCTGAAAATAAATTGCTTGTAGAAAAGGCAGAGAATTATTATGCTGAAGTATGGGGTTTTATTAAATTTAAAGTTATTAAAATAAAACCAGAATTTTATCTGAACATTTTAAAAGTTGTTCTAAAATTCAGAATTTTTTCTAAACATATCGGGCTTTTTTTTAAATCAGAATTTTATTTGAACATATCAGAATTTGTTAAAATTCTGATATTTAAAAAAACATTGCTAGCTTAAAATCAGAATTTTATCTAAACATGTCAGAATTTGTTTTAGAAGAATTCTGATATTTTAATAACACATTAAATAAAATCAGAATTTTATCTGAACATTTTAAATGTTGTTCTAAAAATCAGAATTTTTATACACTTTTTTCAGGGCTATTTCCTCACAGTCTGTCCAGAAGCAATTTTACAAATAGCTAAACATGCAGCAGAGAAAAACAAGCCTTTCACAATGAGTTTAAGTGCTGCTTATATTTGTAAAGATTTTTTACCTCAACTTAATTCTGTGTTACCTTATGTTGATGTACTTTTTGGTAATGAAGAAGAAGCTAATGCATATGCTGAAGCTAATAAATTTAAAGAAAATGATTTGAAGGAAATTGTGAAGAAAATTGCTAGTCATGAAAAGGTTGGGTTGTTTTTCTGATTTTTTGTTCTTAATTATTTGTTTTGTATTTGTTGCAATTGTTGGGGTTGTTGAATGTTTTTTTTTTTTTTTTTTCTACAGTCTGTCCAGAAGCAATTTTACAAATAGCTAAACATGCAGCAGAGAAAAACAAGCCTTTCACAATGAGTTTAAGTGCTGCTTATATTTGTAAAGATTTTTTACCACGACTTAATTCTGTGTTACCTACAGTCTGTCCAGAGAATTCTGATATTCGAAAAACATTCTGATTTTGTTTGTTTATGTTTGTAGGGTTTTATTTAATTTAAGAAATCAGAATTTTGTCTGAACAAGTTTGAATTTGTTTTTAAAAAATTCTGATATTCGAAAAACATTTCTGTTATTAAATAAAAATCAGAATTTTGTCTGAACATGTTGGCAGTTGTTTTAAAAATCAGAATTTTTTATGAACAAAAATCAGAATTTTATCTGAACATGTTGGAAGTTGTTTTAAAAATCAGAATTTAATATGAACAAATTTAAAAATTAACAATGTTTTGATAAAATTCTGATTAAGTTTGTCTATGTTTTTGACAATACATGTTTTGAGAATATTCTGATTTTTCAGTAAATGTTTTGTTTATGTTCTGATTGTTTTTGTTTTGAAGATAAACACTCTTCGTTCCCGCCTTGTTGTTATAACACGTGGAGAGAAGTCTATATTTGTTGCAATTGGCAGTGGAGAGTTTCAAACATTTCCAGTGGATACAATAGAGAGGAATTTAATTAAAGATACAAACGGGGCTGGGGATGCTTTTTCTGGGGGTTGGTTTATGTTTTCTGATTCAAAAAAATTTTTTTATTTTCTAAGGCTTTCTTGCTGCTCTGGCAAATGGGCGTCCCTTAGAAAAATGCATTAAAGCAGGCAATTTTGCTGCACGTACAATTATTCAAAATGTGGGTTGTACTTTTCCTGATAATTGTGATTATAAAGAAGACTAAGGTGAATTAAAAGAGTGAGGGTTTTTAATTTTAAGATAAATTTTTTTCTATTCCTCGGTCTGTTGCCTTGCCCCTCCTGTTTATTTATGGTTATTTAATTCTTCCTCAACCAAAATATTTTATTATTATTTTTTAAATTTAAAATTTCAGTATTATATTTTTTTTAATTTTAATTTTAAAAACCAAAAAATTTTTTTTCGGAAACACCAAAAATTTTCTTTTTGAAAATACCTAAAATATTCTTCTAAAAATCGCTGTTGCTTGCCTTCGTTAATTTTTGTGATTTTTTTTCTTTTGAATAATATTTAATATGAGAGATTGTTATTCAAATAAATTTTCTTATATAAATATTTTTTATTAAATTACCGTATTTTTTGTATTAGAGCCCCACGTTGAATTAGAGCCCCACGCTGTAATAAAGCCCCACTTTCAAGGATAGTTGAAAAATAGAGCCCCACGCTGTATTAGAGCCCCACGCTGAAATAGAGCCCTATTTTCTAAAATTTACCTATTGTATAATAAATTATTATTTTTTAATAACTATACTGTTTTTTTTCCTTTTATCTAATGTTCTGTGCCAAATTTAGATATTATATGTGATTAAGAGAATATTTGGGGATAAAAACACCTTAAGCTGCTCCAAATCCTCTACAATAGAGGGATTTGGATGTTATAAGAGATATCAGAGATTCTTTTATATACTGGCAAGCATAGATATTGGCGAGATCAGCCTAGTTATCAGCAGATTCATCTCAGAAATCCTCCGCTATCCGATTAATCCCCAAATCATTTATACTCTCAAAATCACTCGATATCCTTATTAATCTCCAAATATCTTCTTAATCACCTTAATCCCATCTATATTCTTCAATTGGGACTGAACCGAGATATATACACGTAGTGACCGTGCGGACTGAAGCAAAATATAATCGAACCTTCAAAGGCTCGATAGGATTCGAACCATCCACAAATTAAAATTCGGCTTTAAATCCACCTCAAATCCAAATAATCGTGCCATACTGTACACGCTAACTATTAACTTTAGAAATATCACAATGGTGAAATTTGTTTTTGTGACAAATTTCACCATTTGAGTAAAAAATAGGCAGTTGCATACATATCACTGCCTTACTTATAATTGAAAATTCCCTTATATATTTTCAAAAATTGGTTGAAAAATAGAGCCCCACGCTCTATTAGAGCCCCACGTTGTAATAAAGCCCCACTTTGAAGGATAGTTGAAAAATAGAGCCCCATGGGGCTCTAATACAAAAAATACGGTAGTTTGATTTTAAATTTAGTTATTGCGGACATTTGCGGACACTTTATTGTGTCCGCAAAACTTGTTTCTTTAATTTTTTTGTGTTGATAAAATTCTGATGTTTTGATTAAATTCTGATTGTGTTTGACTGTTGTGTATGGGCGTCAGCCCTTGAAGTGTTAGTATAAAAGGATAGCCAATAGTTAGTTCTCTCTCCGAGTTTTAGTTCTTCTGCCTACCTTCGCCTGCTTTGTATTTCTTTGTGCAATAAACGTTTCTGTTAGCTTCGTCTACGTAAGCGGGGACATAACAGATTTGGCGCGGTCGCAAACCAGTTTCGTCTACTTCGAAAAAGGAAAATTCAGCAACAGCTACAAAAGAAAAAGTCGGCAACAGCTACATAAGAAAAATGGCCCTGATTAGTAAAGTAAAAACATGGTGGGAAAACCATGAGTGTAATGTAAAGAACAGTGTTGATATTCTCCATGTGAGTATGAGTGTGAAACCTAAATGGTTAACAAAAAAAGTGTTAGTGAACGGAAACGAAGTGGAATTCATTTTGGATTCAGGGGCTCAAATTAATGGAGAATAATAGTAGTTGAAGAAAGAGAGAATGTGTTTTTAATAATAGATTCTGTTTTGAGAATATTCTGATTATGTTTCTGTTTGTTTGGAATATGTTTTGTTTGGATGTTTTCTGTGTTTGTTTCTAGTTCTGAATTTTTATTTTATTTAGAAATCTTTTAAAAATAAATTAAAAATAATAAAGAATAAAAATAAATAAAATAATTTTTAGAAAAAGCAAAATTAGAAAATTTCTTTCCAGAACCATTAGGAATACATTCTTTAGGTAAATTAGATTCCCATTTTATTTTTAACATTTTTGCCATAGTTTCACGGCTGCTATCAAATAAATTTTCTATTATCTTTAAAAAAATAAAAATTAAAAAAATTTTTTATTTAAAAAACCCTTTGAGAAACAGCCCCACAATATTTGCCGTATTTATTAACCAAACAAATAGATAGATGCCTTAAATGTTCGCAAATGAGAGAAACAAGTATAACGCTAACATTGTGTGTTAAACGTTCAGTGCTATGGTGGAGTTGTCTGTTTATTAAAAACAATGTTTTGAATTTATTCTGATTTTTATTTTTTCTGATTTGTTTAGATTTAATTCTGATTTTCTTCCGAATTGTTTTGATTAAATTCTGTTTTTTCTCTAACTTGTTTAAATCAAATTCTGATTATTTTTCTGATTTGTTTAGATTTAATTCTGATTTTTTCCCAATTGTTTTGGTTAAATTCTGGTCTATTTCAATGTTTTTATTAAATTCTGATTTTTTAAAATTTGTTTTTATTAAATTCTGATTTTTTTCACTGTTCAGAACTTACTGGCTTTCGAACTCACACTCCTGTGTAATTACTTCAATGTTTCTTTTCCAACAACCTATTTGTGTTTCCAACACTGCAAAAAATCAGAAATTGTTTTTCAATCAGAAAAAATTGTTTTTACCCCTTAAATTGTTACAAATTCCTTCCCAAGGTTTAACACCCATTTGTAGAATTTCATTTTCGTTGGATTCTGGACATTTTTGTAAACAATTAAACATTTCAATATTTTGCCTAATTACTTTGAATTTTATTTAATTTTTAAATTACTCGCAAATTGATTTGACTCGTTTTATAATATATTCGCGACTGTCGTCGGATCGTAACATCCCAGCTAATGGAAATACAAAATCTGAGGACCATTCACTTTCCATCTAAATAAGAGAGAAACAATGTTTTAATTAAATTCTGATTGGTTTTAATTGAATTTTGATAGTTTCATGTTTTTATTAAATTCTGATTTATTCAATTATATTCCGAGATGTTTTAATTAAAGTCTGATCTCGCCAATTATGAACTTGTTTTAATTTAATTCTGTTTTTGTTTAATTCTGTTTATATTTAATTCTGTTTTTATTAAATTCTGATTTATTCAATTATATTCCGACATGTTTTAATTAAATTCTGGTCTCCCCGAAGAATTTGTTTTAATTAAATTCTGATTTTTCGATTATATTCTGACATGTTTTAATTTAATTCTGGTCTTATCAATTATTAACTTGTTTTTATTAAATTCTGGTTTTGCATCTATGCTTTTAGTATGTTTTTCCTAAATTCTGATTTGTTTTAATTTAATTCTGATTTTATTTTCTTTTTATTCCTTATTTACCCTATTTTCTTTATACCGTTAACATATGGTTGTCTTTACAACGAAGGAGACAAAGTGGCACAATTGGCAATAAATTAGCTGCCCCACTAGTTAAATTTACTGCGAAAATGAGTTGAAATATTGTAATAATAATGGCAAATAAAATAAATATTTTTAAAATTGACATAAAAATTCAAGAACCTAAAAATTGCTTCAAAATGTTAGGATGTAGTGGACGTTTTGGGCCATAACTTTCTTGATTCTTAACCGATTTAAACAATTTTTATATCAATCGAAAGCTCTTGATGAGAGGATTATTTTAGCTAACAGGATTTATTTGACACGATCATCTTATAAAAAGTTATAGCCGAATAAGTGTCAAAAATCACGATTGCGCGCAGTTTTAAGACTATAACTTTATGTAAACTGATCAGACCAAATTGATCTTGCTAGCTAAAATAATCTACACATCCAGAGCTTTCGATTGCCATAAAAATAATTTAAATCGGTTAAGAATCAAAAAAGTTATGGCCTCAAGAATGCTAGAATTTTACCTTAATTTAGGTAAGCTGATTAAAAATAATTTTAAAAAATTAAATTTTTGGTAGGGGATAAAATAGGATATATATATAACTAAATAAAGTAAAGAAAGGAGTATTTTTGGACAAATGTGATGAACGAAAAAAATAAATGCTAAAAATATTATAAGCTTTCGAGGAAGGTTGGTTGCTTCTTTTCTCTTTTCAGAGAGATTTTCCGCTTTTGAGTAAAAAATAATTTTATTATTATTTATATAAAATTATGTAATATTATTATAGTGTAGGAAGGAAGGAAGATGTTTTCTGTTTTAATTTAAATCTTTTTTTTATTTTTTATTCACTCTATTCCATTAGGAAAATATAATTAAATAAGACAAAATCTTGTTGTTTAGATTTAATTCTGATGTTATTTTTGTTAATTTCTGAGCTTGTTTTATTTTAATTTCTGAGCATGTTTTGTCTAAATTCTGATGATGTTTTGTTTAAATTCTGATAATGTTTTGATTAAATTCTGATTTTGTTTTTATTAAAGTTAGACTTGTTTATATTAAATTCTGATTATATGTATTTCATAATAAATTCTGTTTGTTTTTATTAATTTCTGATTTTGTTTTTATTAAATTTTGCTTGTTTTAATTAAATTCTGATTGTTTTTATCAAATTCTGATTGTTTTTATTAAATTCTGATTTTGTTTAGTTTAAATTCTGATTTTATTTTGTTTAAATTCTGATTCTGTTTTCTATCACTATTTATAGAGAGAAAAGAATTAATTTAAATAAAAGGCTTCTATTTGGATTTTCATTTGTCGGCTCAGTGGTCTAGTGGTATGATTCTCGCTTTGGGTGCGAGAGGTCCCGGTTTCGATCACCGGCTGAGCCCATTATTTTTGATTTTATTTTAAATTATTTTTGAATGTTTTTAATTGAGTTTAAAATTAATCTAAGCATATTTTTGAATTTTTTTAGGCAATAAAAAGAAGAAAAAATCATAATTTGTAATAATTCTGAACTAAATTCTGATTATTGGCGAAAAAACAAGCTTCTACATTGGGTAAATTACCTATAAATTTTAGGCAAATTATAAACTTTTTTATTTTCCTCATTTTTTCTTTTTTCCTCTATTTTGCACCAAATTTTGCACCTATAAACGGATATCCTTTTTTATTTTTATTTTAATACCCTTTTTAAGAAAATAATTTTAAATAAAAGGAAATTCAGGTATTTTTAAGAGAAAATGAATAAAATTTGAAAAATGGACTATTTTCTTTGAAAAAAAGGGAAAAATTATCGAAAAAATTTCAAAAATATTTTCAAATTAATTTTAAAATAAATTAGATTGTCTTAAAAATAATTTAAAATAAAATCAAAAATAATGGGCTCAGCCGGTGATCGAAACCGGGACCTCTCGCACCCAAAGCGAGAATCATACCACTAGACCACTGAGCCGACATTAAAATATTTTTAACAGAAGCCTTTTATTATGTTGCGTTTTAACGAATAAGCAGAAATAAAATAAACGTGTTTTAACTAGCTAATAAAGCTTATTTGATTTTTTCAACGCAGTCAAACACGTTTTTGGTGTCGGCTCAGTGGTCTAGTGGTATGATTCTCGCTTTGGGTGCGAGAGGTCCCGGTTTCGATCACCGGCTGAGCCCATTATTTTTGATTTTATTTTAAATTATTTTTTGTCAAATAAAATTTTTACAGTCAAACCTCATTATAAGATACACCCAATACTAGATACTCCTCTATTTATGACGTATGTTTTTTATTTGTTGGTCATTAGATGGGGGGGGGGGAGCTGGTTAAGCAACACTTCAAATTAAAATAAATCTCAGTATATGTTAAAATATTTTCTGAGCCTAAAGGGTGTATCCTATAATCAGGTTTGACTGTAAATAAGTAAAAAAATCACAATTTTATTTGTCTTAATTTTGGATATTTTCGAAATTTTTGACTGAGAATGAAGAAAAGTTGATGTGACTTGGAGCTGATTGAAGATGGAGGAAGCTCTACAATTTTCTACCTTTATCTCCAAATAAAACGAGTAATATACCATTTTAAAGCCTATACTCTCTAGAATTTTATTCTGTAAAGAAATTTTTAAATTTAAAAATGTTTTGAGAAGTTGTGACGGAAAAAGTGATTTAATTTTTGGGTGTTCCAAGTGTACTCGAAACTTTTATCCATAACATTTTCGGGTTATGTCTAGTGAAAATACTCGTGTTGACAAAAATATAGAGCAGAATCTTGGCTTTTAAATAAAATAAAATTTGTAAAATTTGGTTGAGTTTGAAAAAAGATATGATTTTTTAAAGGCGCTTTGATTCGTAAGAAAGAGACGTCTTGTATTAATTAACAAAAAAATTGAAAATATTTTTTTCTTAAAAATTTTTTTGTAATTTTCAATTTTCTGCGTTCCTCCTACTTGTAAATAAAACAGAAATTAAATTTAAAAAATTTTATAAATAAGATTTTAAAAATTAAAAAATTCAATTTTAATAAAAACCCCCTCAAAGAAAAGCAAAAACAACTTGTTTTATATTAAAAAGAAAAGAAGGCTACAGTGTCGGCTCAGTGGTCTAGTGGTATGATTCTCGCTTCGGGTGCGAGAGGTCCCGGTTTCGATCACCGGCTGAGCCCTTCATTTTTCTTTTGATTTTAGATTATTTTTAAGGGTTCTAAATTTATCTTAAAATTAATTTAAAAATATTTTTAAATTTTTTTGGGGAAAAATAAAACAAAAAAGGTCAATAAAAAATTTTATTGGAACGGTTTCGCTATTAAAACAATAAAGAAAAGAGAGGAATTCGACCTGCTTTAATGACCCTCCCATAATTAATAGTTCATCAATAATAATAAAAAAAAATTTTTGGCTTGTATTAGCAGCAAGGTTAAACAAACATTTATTTTAGTTTACTCTTTTAGGAAAATAAAATTGGTGAAATTGATAATATTTTTTAATTTTAATGGGAGAATGACGCGATTTTTGAAAAGAAACCTCCCATAAATAAATAGAAATTTATTTTTAAGAAATCTGAAAGCCTCCCAGACTTACTGTACACTGCATCAGGAAAAGATAGCGTGCTCCTGTGATGGGTGCATCTTTTTCTGATGCAGTACAGAGGTTCAGGTTTATTTTCACTAGTCATGATTTGCCGTAATATTTTTTGATTTTTTGAGAAATATTTTCAAAAAACAATTATTTTTTTAATTTCAAAAAGGGCCAATGAAAGATAAAAATAATAAAAAATTATTTTTATTATTATTTCCTCTTTATCTATTATTAGTCATAATTATTATGATAAATGGAATGCCTGTTGTGAGTTTTTTAAATTAAATTTTGGAGTTTAAAGTTTGTGATAGGTGAGAAATGTGTCGAGTTAATGTCTCGACTTAGTCGCTAGGATTTTTCTGAGAGGTTGCTATAAGCCGGAAACAATTTCCGGAAAGAATATATATTCGCAAAAACATCTTTAGAAACATTATTATAGGTCATAGAACAAAATAAAGTTTTTCCGGAAATGAAATACTTCTCACTATGAAATACAAACAAAATTGACACTCTTAAATTCCTAATGCAAAAAAATTCCTTTGAAATAATATTGATAACTGAGAGCTGGCTAAATCATAAAACTTTAGACTCATCCATAATAGAAAACTCAAAATATTCATTAATACGTAACGATAGAATTAATTCTAAAAAAGGCGGCGGGGTTTTAGCAGTTATTTCAAATTCTATTCCCTTTAATGAAATTAAAACCTGCAAAAATTCTCACTATGAAATACTATGTTTTGACATATATTCACCTTTTACTTCCCAGAAACATAGATTTATATTAGTTTATCTCCCACCACCTGTAAACAAAATACAACAAAATTGCCTTGTTGAAAAATTACAACAATTAACCAGTATTGATTATACATACTCTATCATTGGTGATTTCAATATTCCTTATATACCCTGGGGTAGCGAAAATTTAATAGAAATTAAAAATGATAATATTTTACTAGAATTTATAAAATACTCTCAACTAGAACAAATTATAAAATTTCCTACACGCCAAAACAATTTTTTAGATTTAATATTTACTAATTCACTTTCCTCCTATAAATCCATAAATATGACTGAACCAATACAATCAAACATATACCAGTCCGATCATAATGGAATAGAAGTCATTTTCAATTTCATAAAAACCAAAAATCTTAATCAAAATTATAAAGATTATATAAACTGTAACTATAATATCATAAACAACTATCTAAATTCAATAAACTGGAATTTATGTTTTGCAAATTGCATAGACATAAATCACCTGTATTCCACCTTCCAAAAAATAATTTCTGAAACTATAGAAAATTTGATACCAACAAAATCTAGAAACAGTAAAAATTTATTACCAAAACACATACAATCATTAATTGAATACCGTCGTAAACTATTTAAGGATAAAAGTTTACACTCAACAGAAAAATTTAAAATTGCATCATTAAAAATAGATAAAGAAATACAGAAATACTTTAGAAATCGTGAAAATAAACGATTAAAAAATATTCGAACTAAATATACTCATATTACAAACCTTTTAAAGACAAAAAATACACAAATTCCAATACTCTTGGACAATAATAAACTTCCTCTAATATCAGCTAAATCTAAAGCTAATCTCTTTTCAAACTATTTTTCACAAATTCTCTCTCCATCCAATCAAAAATCTCTAATCCACAAACCTTCTCTCACTCCAAAATCTTCTTCAAATAAAAATAACCTCATTAACACACACACAAACAAACCATATTTAAACTTTATACAATCATTTCAAGAAGATATATTCTTTATATTAAAATCGTTAACAAATAAATCAAATATATCGACAGATATGATTCCTGAGATATTTTTAAAAAATTGCTCACAATCACTTGCTTACCCTATCTACTACATATTTAACTATATTACAATGAGCGCAAACTTACCCGATATCTGGAAACAGTCCATAATTATACCCATTCCGAAAAATAAAAATTCATCCTGTCCTTCAGACTACCGGCCAATATCTCTATTATGTCCAATCTCAAAAGTCTTCGAAAGATTATTATACAATCAATTAATTAATTTTATAGAAAAATATGAAATTATCCCTAACGTCCAACATGGATTTCGAAAAGGGAAATCAGTAACCACACAACTTTTAGAAACATTCAACGACTTTTCGATTGCTTTGGAAAATAAACAATTTATTGATGTCATATATTTTGATTTTAGTAAAGCCTTCGACACAGTTCCACATGATAAACTTATAAATAAATTACACAAAATTGGAATAAGGGGATCTTTTTTACAATTGCTAAAAAATTACCTCACTAATAGAAAATTTACTGTGATGATCCAAGATTATAAAACTGATTTAATGGATATAAATAGAGGCGTCCCACAGGGGTCAATACTAGGGCCATTATTTTTCCTTATATACATATCAGATCTACCCAGTTTCTGTGAAACAAAGGACGTAAAGATAAAATTGTTTGCAGACGATCTTAAAGCATACTCATTCTCTAAAAACACTAAAGACTTTGAAATTAACCTACAAGAGTTTATCAAAAAACTAGAAAAATATGCTGAGGAAAATTCACTCAAACTTTCAGCCGAAAAAACATCTCTTTTACACATAGGGCCTAAAAACCCTTTGCACACATACACACTCAATAATCAAAAGATAAAAACAGTCTCAAATCAAGATTCTATAAGAGACCTTGGCGTTTATTTTTCACACGATTTAAAATGGGAAAAGCACATCAAAATTATAACTAACAAAGCAAATCAAACAGCATTTACAATAATAAGAAATCTAAAAACTAATGATCCTAAAATATTACTCGAACTATATAAAATATACGTATTACCCATAATAGAATTTGCATCGCCCGTTTTCAATCCATATCTTAAAAAGGATATCGAACACCTTGAACAAATACAAAAAACTTATTTACGTATTATATACAATAGGTCAAATCCACGCACACCAATTCCAGAATATCAAGACCTTCTACAAATTTTTAAGGTAGACTCGCTACAAATTAGAAGACTCAAAACTGACTTTAAATTTTTCCACAAAATTTTACATGGTGAAGTAAAAATCGATCAAAAAGAAACATTTAAAATTACAAAAACTAATACAAGGGGAGACGAATATAAATTTTTTATTCCGGCAAGATCAAATCAAATCAGCCATAATTCCTTTTTTGTTAGGACAGCGCGGCTATACTCTCAGTTACCAATATCAATACGTAAATCAAATTCCAAAATATTCAAAACACTTCTTGATCAAATAGATCTCAACACATATTTATCACGCCCCACACCCGTAACATAATACAATCACATATATTTGTTGTACCAATTATTGACATATATTTGTTTTAGTTTAATTTTCAACTTGACTTAATTTATTTTTTCAATCCATATATGTATTTTCAAATTTGTAATGTCGCCCAAGAGGCAAATAAATAAATAAATAAATAAACATTCCGGAAATAGGAGCATTTGTTCATTTAAATAAACATTCAGGAAAAACAATTCCGGAAAAATATAAACTTCCGGAAAACAAAATATAAAAAATTCCGGAAAATATAAAAATTTCCGGAAACAAATGAATAAATAAATAATTCCGGAAAATATAGATTTCCGGAAAACAAAATATAAACAATTCCGGAAAATATAGATTTCCGGAAAAATCAGAAATAAGTAAATAATTCCGGAAAATATAAAAATTTCCGGAAAACACAAATAAATATGTCAATAATTCCGGAAAAACATTTTTATTTTAACTAGAAACAAATAAACAAAGCGGTTTGGACAATTCCCGTACAGACCAATATAACACTGTGTAGCCCAACAAACAACAAAACATTTGTAATTCCATCAACTACTAAGATTTCTTCAAAAATTGAAAAGAAAAAAGAAAAAAAGCAAACAGGAAAGGACGATTTTGCGGATATGAAAAAGATGATTTGGATGGAAAAAAGTTGGAAGCAAGTGCCTGTTGGAAATGATAAACCTGAAGCGCCTAAAGAATTACCAAGATGCCCAAAATTTATTCCTTCTTCCCTTTTTATGCGTTAAATATTGTCTCGTGTGATATGTTTAGAAAGAATTAGAAACATGGATGAATAAATATATATTCCGGAAGAAACACTTTTGTTAAAACAAGTCGGGGAATAGAATTCCTTAAAATATGTTTAGAGAAATAAATTCCGGAAACAAACATTCCAGAAACATAGTTGTTGAATGTTTTAATAAAAAGAAAATAAATACACAAACATATTTCGGAAACATTATAATAAAAACAAAACAATAACAAAAACAAACAACAAATAATTTTCCGGATAAACACAACCCGGAAACATTTTATTCTAAAAACATTTACACAAAAATGTTTCAAAACATCATATATTAATAGTTTTCAAAACATCATAATAAAAACTTAAGTTTCCGGAAAGAATATTCTCGCAAAACATCAGAAACAATATAATAAAACCTTTTCCGGAAACAAACAGTTCCGGGAAGAAACATTTATAAACACAATCCGGAAACATTTAATTCTAAAAACATTGACACAAACATCATTCAAAACATCTTAGATTAATAAACATTTTCTCAAAACATTTTTTCAAAACATTTCTCAAAACATGTTCGTCATTTTTATTTATTTTTAACACAAACACCAAATAAATACAAACAACAAATAACAGAATATATAAAACATTCTTATCAGCTAGAGTAATTTGTATCTATTTATAATCTATTTTTAATTTAAAAAGGGTAAATATATAAATAATATTTTTCAAAAAAGCATTCAATTATTTAATTCTAAAAAATTTATTTCCTTCATTAAATGTCCCAACAAAATTTCCGTGCCGTTCTTTTCGATGTTGGAGGGGTTATAGTTGAATATAAAGACAGGGAAAAATATGTAAAAACTTTAAAAATGGGTAAGTCAAAGAAAATTAATTTTTAAAAATTTTTTTAAAATTAAAATTTAGTCGAAGAGTCACCCGAACTTTTCAAATTTTTGGAGGAATTTGAACGCGGCTTAATTACTCCGGCAGATATTAAACCTGAATATTTGTCTCTTATAGGCCTTGTTCGATTTAATAAATATTTAAAAATAATTTTTGTTTAATTTAGGATCCAAAAGTTGAGTTGAAGGATTCGTTAGTTGTTAAGGGCGTGGGAGAAAAGGTAAACATTAATAACTAGCAAAACATAATAGAAACAAACTTGAAACATTAAAACATTCCGGAAAGTGTAATAAACAATGTTGAGAACAAAAAATAATGTTTTTCCGGAAAGAATATAAACTTTGATATAAACATTGATGAAACAGAAACATTCGTTTATTTAAAAAAACATTCCGGAAAACAAATAGACAAACAGGGGAAACTTAAAAACATTAAGAATATAACTCACAATACTACAAACATTCCGGAAAGTGTAATAAACAAAGTTGAGAACAAAAAAATAATGTTTTTCCGGAAAGAATATAAACATTCATATAAATATTTTGAAACAGGAACATTCATTTATTTAAAGAAACATTCCGGAAAATAAATAGACAAACAGTGGAAACATAAAAACATTATGAATATAAACTCACAATACAAACATTCCGGAAAGTGTAATAAACAATGTTGGAAACAAATTAAAAATATAAAGTTTTTCCGGAAAGAATTAATCGTATAAACATTCCGGAAAAAACATTCGAACATTTAAATAAACATTACCAGAAAACCTAAAAACATGAAACATACCGGAAAAACAAGAAACATTCCGAAAAAACATGAAACATTCCGGAAAGTGTAATAATAATGTTGGAAACAAATTAAGAAAATAAAGTTTTTCCGGAAAGAATTAATCGTATAAACATTCCGGAAACAAAAACATTCGAACATTTAAATAACATTACCTGATAACCTAAAAACATGAAACATTCCGGAAAAACATGAAACATTCCGGAAACGATAATACAAACAAATAAATGTAACTTTCCGGAAAACAAAAAATAAATACATGTAAACTTTTCCGGAAAAATACATGTTTATTAAAACATTTCAGAATCCATTTGTTGAGCGTGCAATAGAAACAATTTACAATTCAGGCAATTTTACACTAGGAATATTAACAAACAATGGGTTTTGGCGTAAAGAACAAACAACTTTTATTATTGAACCCGACCCCAGATTTAATTTTGTCATAGAATCTTGCCGTGTTGGGCACCGAAAACCTGATGCTTCTTTCTTTGAGGTGTTTAGTTAATTAAAAAATTAATTTTGGGTTTTAAAAGATTGCTTTAAAACAAATGAATCTGTTAGCTAGTGAATGTGTATTTATTGATGATTTGGAGAAAAATTGTTTAGGAGCTGAAGCTGTTGGAATGACAAGCATTTGGGTAAGAAATGAGAGTAAAAACATGTTTAAACTGTTTTGATACAAATTATAGGGAGAAACATTAGGGGAAACAAACATCAAAACATTTAAAAATGTTTTGATGTTTGAATCAAAACATTTCAAAGAACAACAAATCACAAAGAAAATTAGTTATTAAACATGTTTTGATTAATAATCATCCGAACAACTATTTATTAAAAACATGTTTGTTTGAATAAAAAATTGCCTCCACAGAAAGTTTGTTGAAACATCAAAGTGAACATTAAATTAACATGTTTTAATTTAATAAAAACATTCGAACAAGCTCTACAAACATTGAAAACATTTCTAAAACATTTTCCGGAAAGTTAAATTTCCTCGAAACATTTTCCGGAAAACACGCTATAAAAACAAGCATTTCCGGAAACTTGTGTTTAATTTAATTTAAACATTCCGGAAATGTTTGAAACATTCCGGAAAACAAACAATGTTCGGATGTTTTCATAAACATTAGAAACATTGAACATAAAACAAGTCAAAAATTAATTTTATTTATATTGTTAGCTTAAAGACGGCAATTCGATGGAAGCAATAGAAGAATTGGAAAAAATTTTGAATTTTAAAATACTTTGATAAACTCTGATTTATAAAATTTATTTTATTTCTATACACATTATAAAATATTTTCTACTTATAAATTGAATTATTTTTTTAATTTTCTTCAATTTTTCGTCATCCTTCCAATATAATTATTGTCAAAACTAGCCAAATAAATAAATTCACCCCCATCATCGGCTAACTAAAAAAAGTTTTAAAAATTATTTTTTGGATTAAAGAACTTGAGAAATGTCGTTAATTATATTTCCTTGTGGGTCATGAAATGATCGAATTATTTTTCCATCCAAGTCAATTTCGATAGCTATTCCATATCCTCTATTAAAAAGTAATTCAACAATTGTTGAAGGAAATACTCTGAACAACTGAAAATGTTTTTTAGTTGGGGAGATGTGAGACAAACAACATTTTTATAAAAACATGTTTGAAACTGTTCATGAACATAGAAATATTTATGTTTTTCCGGAAACATTTTAGGAATTAAATGTTTTTCCGGAACATTCTAAAAATTAAATGTTTTTCCGGAAACACTTTAAAAATAAAATGTTTTCCGGAAAAACATCAAATGTTTTACCCTTCCGGAAAAACATTTAAAGTTTAAATGTTTTTCCGGAAACACTTTAAAAATAAAATGTTTTCCGGAAAAACATCAAATGTTTTACCCTTCCGGAAAAACATTTAAAGTTTAAATGTTTTTCCGGAAACATTCTAAAAATTAAATGTTCGGAAACATTCTAAGAATTGTTGTGTTTATCCGGAAACATTCATAAATTAATGTTTTTCCGGAAACATCTAATAATTATGTTTTTCCGGAGACTTGTAATTGTTTTTCCGGACAATTTCCAGAAGCTTATACAAACGTTGAATCTTCCGGAAACGGTTAAAAATATTTTCCGGAAACTCGAAAAAAATTCATTCCGGAAAAATCTATCAAAATTAAACATTTTAATCTAAACATTTACCATTCCCAACACTTTACGAGTCATCAACCAATCTCCGAGTCTTTGAAAAAGGTCCGGATTTTCAGCATTTCTATGACTGAACATCGCCACATAAAATGAAGTTCCAGAACTTGATATTCTAATATTATCGGGAAATCCTGGCAGGTTGTCCAAAAATGTTTCGAGTCTTCCTTTTTTAGTTCCGGCAAAATAAAAACTTTAAAAATTGAAAAAAAATTTTCAAAGATTAAAAAAAATTCTTTAACCGATAAATTTTGGCAGTAGCACTTTCACAAAAAAGAAAAGACTAAAAATCATTTTAAATTATTTTTTAATTTAATTAGTTTAGCACCTGTTTATCGGTATGCATTTGCACTCCATTGGGGAAGTCTAAACCGTCAACTAATACTTGTGTTTCTCCCGTAGAAATTTTGAATTTTATTATTCTTAAAAATATTTTTAAGATATTATGGAATGTTTATATAACGTCTCCCCCCTCGGTATGAATATTTGCCCACTTAGGAAATTAAATGGTGTGGGAGAGGGCGACCGACGTTAATGAGAGATTCCTCTATTAATTCACCTTCCATCACCCCCATGTTCTAAGAAAGACAGCAAAAAATCAGTATATCCATAGCGTGTAGAAGCATCAGAAAAGACTATTGTGTCGTTATCAATAAAATCAAAATCATCAGGAAATTTCATTTTTATTCCATCAATAGGCTTGGTTATGGACAATAAAGTTTCCACAGTTTCTTAAATTAGAAGGACTAAATGTTTTTACGGGAAATGTTTCTCCAAACATGTTTTTAAAAACAAAAACATTTATTTTTTAATTTATTTGTTTGGGGAAATGTTTGATAGATGTTTTTATTAATGTTTTGTTGTGTTTGTTAGATGTTTTTATTAATGTTTTGTTGTATTTATAATGTTTTTCCGGAAAAACATGAATTCTATTTAATTTTCCGGAAATGTTTATTTTTTCCGGAAAACATTAGTTTATTTTAAATGTTTATATTATATTTCCGGAAAAACTTATTCCGGCAAGAAGGTAACTATATTTCCGGAATTAATCTAAGTTTATTCAACATTCCGGAAAATGTTTTTATAATACTTGGAATGTTTTAATAATTTGTAAAAACATGTTTATAAATGTTTTCCGGAAGCAAACATTGTTTACTAAATGTTTTTACCCTTTTCAAAATCTATTGCAAGTATGCCCAACACAGCATCAGCAACTATAAATTGTTTCTCATTGCGTCGTCTAATCCCTAGAGGACGTCCACAGTAGGCAATGCTTTTGCGCGTTAATGCTTAAATTTAAAATTTTCTTTTTCACAAATATTTTCTTTTTTCCTCCCAAACCTTCACAACCCTTATTTTTTGTCATTGGAATTTTTTTGACAATTTTTCCGTCGACTATTTTTAAACAATTTCCATCCATTGTGCAGGTATATATAATGTCTTTAAATTAATTTTAATTAAAAAAGGGTTAAGAAATTTAATTTTTCTCACTTTTCTCAACAACAATCGATTCAGGCCCAATCACTTCCCCCTCCAATATTTTTTCTAAAATTTTTGGTTTGTTCAGAGCTAAAGGCCCTGTGAGAGGAGGAGGTGGAGGGAAGCTAGAAAAATGGGGAAAAAAATTTTTTTTAATTAAAATTAAATTTAACTGATATTCCATAGGTTTGAAGTCATTAGAATTAAACCAAATAGCAAAAGCCAAAAAGGCAATGGAGCTAGAGAGTAATAAATTCCCGCAAATTGCCATATTTATTTAAAAATTAAATTTTTAGAGGATGAGGATTTTTAATTTTTTTAAATTTTTTAAATTCAATTTTAAAATTAAAATTTCAAAAATTCAAAAAAAATTTTCAAAAAATTTTTTTCTTGTAAAAATATAATTTCCTATCAAATTAAATCAATTACAAATATAAGAGGACGTTTAAATTAATTTTAAGATTAAAAGCAAATAAATAAGAAAATAATTTTTTTAATTTGTCAATAATTTATTTGAAACAAGAGTACTTTTTCTCTTTTATTTTTAAAAGAAAAATTTAGAGAAAAAATTTCCAAAATTTTATTTAAAAGAATTAAATTTGGAAATTAAAAATAAATTTTAATGTTTCCATAAAATTCCGGAAAAATAATTTCCATAAACATAATAACAGAATTTTCCGGAAACAATTATTTGTTTTGACAGAATTGTTGAAGTTTTCCGGAAATGTTTGAAGAAAATTAATTCATTCTTCCAATATTAAAAATTCCGGAAATAACTAGGTTTCCGGAAAATGTTTCTAAAAGTTTCCGGTTCCGGAAAATGTTGTTAAAGTTTCCGGAAAATGTTTTTCAAGCTCCCCTGATTATTTTTTAAAGTTTCCTGAAAATGTTTTTGAAAATTTCCTGAAATATTTAATAAGTTTCCGGATATGTTTTAACAATATATTTTGCGGAAGTTTTTAAAATAAAATATTATGTAACTAACAAACTTATAAAAATAAAATCAAAAATAAAAATATTTTTGGTAGTATAGATAACATCGCCCAAATTTAATCAAAAACAAAATGATTGTTTGTCTTTCCATCTAAAGACAAAAATGTTTAAAACGTTCTTTTTACTTTGATATTGATAAAATTTTATATACGAGGGAAACAAGTAAACAATTTGTAGTTTGTCGTTGTTTGAGAAATCATTCGAACATTTTATTTTTTGTTTGATACAAAATTCAGAACTAGCAAAACTAAAACAACATAAAAAACATGTTTATTTCGATGACTGTGTTTACTAAAACATACAAATGTTCACACAAAGAAAAACATTTTCCGGAAGATGTTTTTTTAATGCTTCCAGAAATGTTTGGAAGAAAATAGTCTCCGGAAAATGTTTTTGAAAGCTTCCGGAAAATCTCTAATGTTTAGTTAGATGCTTCCGGAAATGTACATAATGTTTATACATTAAAAAACAAGTTTAATTATTCCAGAAATGTTTTGATGTTTGTTTCACTAATATTTGTTAAGTTTATTTTTTTAAAACAAGTTTAATTAAAACATGTTTATTCGATGTTTAATGTTTTTGTTGAAACATTAATTCAAACAAACATAATGTTTTTAATAAACATAAATAATCAACACAAACACAATGTTCGGAAACATTTTTAATTGTGTTTAAATTAAATAAACCTTCCCTGAAACATTTTTATTTGTCATTTTCCCTCGAACATAACAAAAAAACCAATGTTCATAGACACCTCATCTTTCTAAATAAATTCCCGTTAAGTATTCCAAATTGGCTTTGTTTTACACTTTTAACTTTGAGAAGATTTTTCGTCTCCTTTTTACTTTGAATTATGCCATTAAAAATTTATAAAGGGAAGTGTCAATTATAAAAGCACAAAAATCTGTGTGTTCTTTAAAGAATAAACTCGGAAATGACGTTTTTAACAAGTTGATATTTTAAATTCCGGAAAGTTTGACAAACATATTTTAATAAGTGCTGCATAAATTCAAACTTGAAACATCTTCCGGCAAAATAATTAAGAATAGTATTAATTTCTACCGTATTCCGGAAAAACAATTATTAAAACATTTTCCGGAAACATTCAAATAAAACAATTATTAAAACTTACCGGAAGAATATTCAAACAAAACATTTAAACATTTTCCAGAAACAATGCTTTTATTTTTAAAAATTAATATTTATATTTCCAGAATTGTTGCTAAAACAATTATTAAAACATCTTCCTTAAAAACATTTTTAAAAACATCTTCCGGAAAAACATTTTTAAAAACATCTTCCGGAAAAACATTTTTAAAAACATCTTCCGGAAAAACATTTTTAAAAACATCTTCCGGAAATACATTTTTAAAAACATCTTCCGGAAAAACATTTTTAAAAACATCTTCCGGAAAAACATTTAAAAATATTATTCGAACATATTCCGGAAACGTAATAAGAATGTTTCTACAGAAACATTTTCCGGAAGCCCAAACACAAACATCTTAGAGAAACATTTTCGTGCCCAAACATTTTCCGGAAACATTATAATAAATGACTACTAATTTCCGGAAGAATATGTTCCTGAACTTAATTTTTATATAAACAATTATTAAAACATCTTCAGGAAAAACATTTAAAAAGAGTATTCGAACATATTCCGGAAACACTCTTAAAAGTGTGTTTCACTTATAAATGTATTTCTAGATGTTTCTGAATATTTCTAAATGTTTCTGAAAAATTTTTTTTTTATTTTTAATTTTTCTAAACAATTTTTTTCATCTCAACCAAAGTTTAATCTTTTCTAATTTAATTAAAACATTTTTTAGTTTCTCAATTTCAACTTCCCTTTTTTAAAAATACCTCTTTATTCTCAAAATTTTTTCTCTTAAAATTTAAAATGTACTTCCTTCCGTTTTTTACCTTTCATTTTCTGACTAAAAAATTTTTTTCTGTTTACAAAGCTTTTTAAGGCTTTCGTGGAATGAAAAAATAAAAAAATAAAAATGTTTTATAGCTAAAATGAAAATTAATATAGATGATGTTGACTTAAATGCCGTGCAAAAAATAATTTCAAAATACGAAAATAAAAAAAAGACAAATAAACGTTTTAATGGAGAGAATGTTTATTTTAACATTAATAGAAGCAAAACAAACACCCCTTCCTAAAAAGACCAAGTTTCAGACTAGATATTTTAAGAAAACTTATGAACAAAACACAACAAAAACTTTGTTTTCAAACTTGTTTATTTAAACATTTAAATAAACTTTCCGGAAAAGACGAAAACATTATATCGACGGAAGGAACTTTCCGGAAAAAATATGTTTATTTAGTGTTTTACAACATGTTTTTTCCGGAAATATTAAAATGTTCAGAGAGGGTATTTTGTTTCAGGAAAATGTTTAGATGTTTTATTAGATGTTTTGCTTGATTTGAACATTACTTAATTATAATGTTTCCTGAAAATGTTGTGTTCGAATATTATTTTTCAATTATTTTCCGGAAATTATTTAAACTTTCCGGAAAGAACTGGTTTATTTAATGTGTTACAAGATGTTTTTAAAAATAAAACATTCCGGAAGCATTAAATTTGTTTTGTTTTTCTTTCGATTTAACTTTATTTCTTATCAAAACTTGTTTATTCCCATAATTTTACGGAAAGTTTATTAAAATAAATATAAACATTCTCAAAACACTTAGTATTTTATAAATTTCAACATTTTTTATTTAAATTTTTTTTAAATTTTCGTCTAAAAATTTTATTAAAGTTTGTTTCCCGTCCGATTAATTTAAAAAATAGAAACAAAAACTTTTGGAGATTTTACATGCTTGACTTGTAAACATTTACTTTTTACTTGAATAAACATTTTAAACGTCTACAAATATTAGGGCTTTTATCTTCTCATTTATGTGTTTTGAAGTTGTTTGCTTCTTTTATTCAAATTTCCGGAATGTTTGTTAACATTAAAACTTTAAACAAAACAAGTTTATTTAATGTTATATTAAAGTTTAAAAACATATTCCGGAAAAGTTTTAAACATATATTGTCGAACAACTTGATTTAATTTCTTCCGGAAACTTTCCGGAAAGAATGTTGTTTTGAAAGATGTTTCCAAAACATTCCGGAATGTTTTTGAAACTTTTCCGGAATTTGTTTCTTTTAACTTTAATAAAAACATTCCGGAAACAACTTGCTTTAATTCTCCCCAGGACTTTCC